CACAGCTCCAGCAGAAGACCGCGGTACTCCTGGTTAAAGGGTCCAGAGTAGGACAGGAAACCAGCTGACAGGAGGACGTCCCCCACCAGGTGAGAGATCTGGGTCTGGAAACCGGCGCTGCTGTCAGTCCAACGGACCTGAGAACAAAACAAGACCAGAGAGAGTCAGACCAGAGAGGGAGGGATGGATGATGGATGGATGATGGAGAGGTCGGACGCTGACCTTCTCTCCTCCCAGCCCGTCGATCAGAGCCTTGGCGTTGGCCATCTTGCGGCGGCAGGCCTGGGCGTCGTCCTCCAGGTCCTGCTTCTCCTTCATGGCGGCGTCGTAGAGCGCCTGGAGATCAGGAAACATCTCGTCTTCACGTACTTGGTCAAACTTCATGTTTGTTCTGAAATGTAGATGAATATCAAAAAACAAAAAAGTCTGAATGGTTCCTGACCTGAACGGCGTCCAGCTCCTGCTGCTTGGCGTCCAGCTGTTCCTGAGCTTTGGCCAGTTCAGTCTGAGCGACCACCAGGCGAGCCTCCTGGAGGGTCAGGTTAGCCTGCATGACGAACACACGGGAAAGAGCTTTGATCCACGGACCGGGTTTTATCAGAAACCCCTCAGAAACCCCCTCAGGTACCTTCAGCGGTAACACCTCCTTGTTGATGGCGAAGAAGTCAGCCATGGCCTGAGTCCAGGAGCAAAGACCCGCCACGTTTCCGCAGATCCTCTTGGCTGAGTCCAGGTTGTAGTCATCCATCTCCAGGTAAGGAGTCATCAGCTCCACCACCTCCTCTGTGATGGAGTCCTGAGGTCCAAACAGACAGGTGTCCTCAGATCAGGTCTAACAGACTATGACAGGAATCTGTCAAATCTGGATTATTATCTGGATTATTAGAGATTAAGGGCTCTGTTGTCCAAGCGTCACTGTCAGGGTAGGGGCCCATGACTTCTACAGATTTAGGGTTCGGCTGTGTGAACAACAAGGAACCTGGACCAATGTTCACACCCAGGAGTGTGAGGTGGTGTCCCACAAAAACCTGGTCTGAGGTCTGAAGTAGTAGTCTGTAGTTCCCATCAGACCTACTTTGACATTTATGCATCAACAGAGAGACGATTAACATCCACCAATCAACAAGTAAGAGAGAAGATGGACGTGTCGGCCCAAGTCTCCATGTGAAGGACTCGACGGTGTGACTGCTTCACTCTCATCCGTGAATAAAAATAGACGTGTGTAAACTGTAAAATGTATTTAGGATCACATGTGCGCATAAAAAAATCAACAAATGTTTTTTTTCCGGTAAATACGGCGGTGAAGTTAGTTTCAGGTTGGATATATTTTCCTGTAAATACGGCGGTGAAGTTAGTTCAACTCTTTCTTCATGATCCAGACTCTCAGGGTTTAGGAGGTGGACGTTAACATCTTCAGATGAACACAAACAAGATCAGAAACTGCTGCTTTGTTTACGCGCCGGATTCAGTATGATGTTTCTGCTCCTCCTTCACAGTCCTAATTATAGCTCAGGGTTTTTCCAAACACACTGATGAACACCGCCAGCTCGGCTGATCCACGGCTTAGCAGGTATGACACTCATGCTCATACACACACACACACACACACACACACACACACACACACACTCACACACACACACACACACACACAATAACAGCAGGTGATGACTGTCGTGGGTTCAGATGAGAGGGGAGTTTCCCTCTGACACTCTCAAACAGTCGTCTCCTCTTCAGACTGTTGATGACTGTTTTTGTCCGTCTGTCAGCGCTGCCTGTTTCTGCACATGTCCACAGTCTCAGTGAGTCTCAGTCCTCGTCCCGTCTTTTCAGGACAGTGACTAAGACGACTGCTCACTCAGGGACTGAAACCTCCTGAAAAAACTGTTTCACTCTATTTGTGACTGATTTGAAAGTTTGTCCGTCTCCATTTTCCGCCTGTTTCTGACTCTGTAAAGCCTCGTCTTTGTCCATGTCCCCGCTCTGTATCAATTTGTTTGTTTTGGACTTTTATGGACTCATGTCTTCGTAAATAATTTGAGTTTTTTTGGAGTTTCCTCTTCCTGTTGACGGTATTTTCATAAAGACAGTTTGTTATTACAGTGGTATCAGTTTTCCAGATTTCTGCCTGTTTCTTAAAAAAGGACGAGAGGAAAACGATAAAGGTCAAAGAAAGAAAAGACCTTTTTTTAGGTGTTTGTAAAGTTGAAGTGTTTGTGGATTTCCTGCCTGTTTTCTGTCTCAGCGTCTCGGTAAGAAGACGTCACTCTGACCGACCAGCTGAGGAGCAAAGTTTAAAAATCTGTAAAGATCTTTTAAAGTGTGTTTTTGGACCTTGCTGAAGTTGAGCAGCATGCTGAGGAAGGCCGAGTTCTGCATCAGCTTCATCGCTTCAGCCCACGAAGGTCTTGGACAAGAGCGTTCAGGGTCAGAGGTCACGGTGTCGATCTGAGAAAATCAAACACAAACAAAAAAAAGCTTTAGAGGTGGAGCTTCAGTCAGATTTTATATTTCAGAGAATATTTGAGAGCAGAGCAGACGGAGACCTTCCTCTGGAAGAGCAGCAGCACGGCGTCCATGATCCTCATGATGAGGTGAGGAGGTTTCTGCAGCTTCCTCACCGTGGCGATGTCCGCCGGTTTGATCGTCTGAGGAGACAATCGATAAATCAATCATCCAGAGCAGAGCTGCAGTTTCAGCGCCCTCTGCTGGCAGAAGAAGAGATCAAACTCTGTGTGTGTGTGTGTGTGTGTGTGTGTGTGTGTGTGTGACCTGCAGCGCGGCCTCAGCAGCCTCCAGAGCAGGTTTCGCAGCCTCCAGTTTGGTCTCTGCTGCAGATTTATCGGCTTCAATCTCATCGACGATGAGCTGAGCTTTATCCTTCACCTTCTGCACCTGCTGCTTCACCTGGAAACACCGAGGGGGCGGAGTCTTCAGGTTATAATCATACAGTTAACTTATGATACGAATCTGAGGCTTTTATTTTTCTTTATTTTTAACTACAGTGACTTTATTATCCTGTGGTAGTGAAAAAGGGCTTTTATTTTGAAAGGGTTCATCTCTTTCTTCCTCTATCTTACAGAGTTTATCAGTGAGAAGCTGCTGGTCTCACAGACTGAGTGGATTTTACTGTAAAACTATAATAACTGTATTTTTAAAACTCTGCGACTCTCACAGCTGATCATCAGACGTGACCTTTGACCTGCGGTTAGATCGATATTTGTCTGTGTGCGGTGTTGAACCTTCTCGGCAGCCTGAGCCTTAGCGGTGACCTCCTGCAGGACTCCATCTGCCCTCTGGGAGGCGCCGGCGAGCTCTTGCTCCTTCACCTCCAGCTCCTCAGAGAGCTGAGACACCGACTGCTCCGCCTCCATCAGTTTACACAGACCTGCAGACGACGAAGACGACGACACACGTGACTGAAGCTGTCGCAGTATCTCACCATTATTGTGACCATGAAATATCACCATGACGACATTATCGAGATAATTATTAAAAACTAGAAATTAAAAAAACACAGACGGTAAATGTAGAAGAGTTCAGACGAGGGTGGAGCAGCAGGAGAATATTTACACTTTTACTAACGAATACGTTTAATTTCTACGTCAGCATCTGTCTCTAACTGGCGTCTCTAAGCGCCGCGGTCTGACCTGTCTTCATGCGCTCGGCGAGCGTGCCCACATGAGCGATCTTCTCCGCGTAGATCAGCTTGTAGCTGTCGATGAAGGACAGGTACGACTTTGGCGTCACGAAATTTTGACGTCTGAATCGTTCGAAATACTCGGCGCATTTCTCCGCCACCAGGTCCTACAGGAAGACAGAGGTCACGTGATCAGTCAGGTCAACATGATGATGATGAACACTTGATAACACAGGGAGCACTACCTGGAAGGTTCCCATGGTAACCACCACACTCTGCTTTACGTCCTCAGAGCAGCGGAGGTCCTGGTAATGAGACAGGAAGTGATGCGATACGGCCACCAGGGCGTCCCGGGGCCAGCGCTGGAACCAGTCCACGGTGCAGCCCGAAATCAGACCTGGGAACTGATCAGGTCAAAGGTCACAGACACGGACTCTGTGTTTCTGGTCGGTTCTGTTGAAGTCCGACATCTTCTCCTCACCTTTAAGGCGCGGGTCCGAAACTTTTCCCCGACGGGCGAGAAGCAGAGGACGACGTGGAGGTTGCTCCGCACCCGGGACAGGAAGAAGTCGTAGAGGTTCTCGGAGGTCGGAGGCCGGCGAGGGTGCTGTCGCTTCATGACGGGAATCAGGTCCTGGGTGATGTCGTCCAGCTCGTCACGGGCGAACAGGTTGGAAACTTCGCCGCTCGCCAGGACGTTGTTCATGTACTCTGCAGAGAAATGGACGGCGAGCAGGACAAAGCTTCTCAGGACATGGATGTTCATTTTCTCCAGACGACAGAGTTAATCTTCTTTTAAACATATTTCTGAGTCGTTCACTGATCACGCTCCTGCTCCTCAGAGGATGAACCAGAAACAGAAAAAAAACATCAGATCTGCAGAAACCAGAAGACTGAGCCGTGAACTAAAGCAGCTGAGATTCATTCTGGGAAAGTTTTAGACAAAGAGAAACTAACAACAGACGTCTGGAAAGAGTTTACGAACACTTCTCAAACCTTTACTGACGTTTAAAGAACAAAAGAGAAACTAAATCAGTCACTGAAGTTCATCTGCAGATTCTGTAAAAACGCGCTCAGGTACCGAGGAAGGCTTCGTCTTTAATGTCGTTGTCGGTGAACAGGAAGGTGACTCCTCGTCCTCGCTGACCGGCTATCCGATACAGAGCTTTAAAATCCTCCAGCAGGTTAGTGCAGCTGTAAGACCTGCACACACACACACACACACACACACACACACACACACACACACACACACACAAACACAAACACACACACACACACACATGAAACCCCGATGATGAAGTATTTCTCAGCTGTGATTGGATGACTCGGTGGAGGTGGGTGTGTCTCAGACCTGGTCAGTGTGATCTGGAAGGTTTGGTACCCGGCGATGAAGGACGCCAACCTCGTCAGGCTCTGCTTCCCCGACCCCCCCACCCCGACCAGCAGGGCGTTTCCCTGCGGCGTGCGCAGGATCCGAGAGATCCGCATCAGATGGGTCATGGCGTCCTGTCATTGGGGGACACAGAGGGTCATATAACGAGAGCGACATGTCTCCTCCTGCAGCTTCTGGTGGGATTTTTTAAAATAAGAATCAGGACGAATTTGGACCTTTGACCTCTGACCCCCAACAGGACCGTCCATCAAGATTATTACCTTGAAGAAGACCAGGTCCATGGCTCCGCCTCTTATCGCCTCGTTGTACAGCAGCTGGAAAACAGAGAGCCGCTCGGCCAGGGCGTCCAATGATGGGATTGGCTCATACACCTGTCAATCACATCAATCTTCAGTGAGAACATCTGAGTACATCCATCAGAGCTCTCCTGTAGTCCTCTAAATGTTCTGAGCTACAGTGAGGAGGACCAGAGGAAGACCATCTAGTCTAGATTTACACCTGAGGCCCAGATCAGAGAGTTAACAGCTGACTTTGATAAACACGCTGCTGCAGATCCTTCAAACAGACGAGTCAGAAACGAGGATATAAAGTAAAACTTCTGATGATGTTTGAGAAGAAGAAGAAGAAGAAGAAGAAGAAGAAGAAGAAGAAGAAGAAGAAGAAGAAGAAGGAGAAGGTCTGAGGACAGATTTACTTTTGGAGCCTCCAGCTCAGCGTCTTCAGGTTCTTCTCCCGTCGCCTCTGGAGCTTCACGAAGAAAGTCCACAAAGCAGCTGTCCCACTGAGCATGCTCTGTCACTGATCTCCCATGATCCTCCACTGTGATCTGAGGGAGAGGAGGCGGGGTGAAAACCAGAATCTGTGATGTTCTGATCATGTGACAAAGAGGCGCCGTGGAGAAGGACACGTCTGAGAGTTTCTGTGGATTTAAAGCTCCTGTGAGGAATTTTTGGTTTGTGCTGATTTTGGCGCCCCCGCGTGGACAAAATAAGGATAACATCAGTATTGGTAAAAGACTTCATTTAGTTGTCGGCAAAGGTTTCCTCACTGTCCTTCCTGCTGTCCCTCTGTCCTTCATCACCCACCTTCTCCACGATGCTGCTGAAGGTCTGTCGGTCGCTGCTGTCGATGAATCTGTCGGCGATCACTCGACAACATTCATGACGGAAAAGAGCCGAGAGGAGCTCCGGGCTCTGACACACCTCAGACGTGACCGTCAGGATCCCCTGAAACAAAACAAGATCCACAGAGACGCTGGGACACCACAGAAGACCAGAGAGTCCTGAACTCAACCTGAAACCATCAGTGAGATAAACCCGGGTGAGCCTCAGACCTGCCAGATCCTGCTCAGGTCCCTCAGGTTGAAGATGTAGTGGAACTTTGCTGGAGACGGTAACATCTGAGGAGACACAGATCCAAAGTCAACATCTGGTCAGCTGTGGACTCAGCTTTAGTCTCTGAATGTTACAGATTTTTACCTTGGCCTTCACCGCCTGCCACACCCTTCTGGTTGTGGGTACGAGGGCGGCGGCGAGCTGGCAGACGGCGTCGGGGAATCCTCTCTCTGGGCAGAAATATCCCAGAGCCACGGTGCTGAAGATCTTATCGATGGAGGAGTTGGAGGGCAGCGTGCAGTTGAAGATGGAGAACTGCCTCTTCAGGCGCTGAGGGATGTCGTTCCGTCCGCCGCCCGGGTGGATCATGGCTGCCGCCAACTGTTGAGAGCAGCGTTAGTTTTCTCAGATTGATTTAACCACGAGGAGGAGGAGTCGACTCTGTAAAACCCGCTCAGAAATGGCGGTTCAGCAGACCCTCAAGAAAAGAGCGCTGATGTTTGAAATCTGAAATAACGCTCCTCAAACCCACGCCGGGTACCGCCGCTGCTACGACCACGTCTGATTTCGGCGCCACTGTTGGGCTGAGGGGTTAAAGATGATCCACGACTCACCTGAACATCCACCACAGAGATGAACTCTCCTGGACGATCGAGGCTGTAGAAACCTCCCTGCTCCATCAGCTGCCGCACATTCTCATTGGTTATCTGAGGGAAATGGGCGGGGACAGACAAAATATCAACACTCTGATTGGTTAAGAGGGCGGGATCAACAAACAGTGTCAAACTTCATCACAGCCGACACAAGGAGAGACGTTGACCAATCAGAGAGAGTCTGCAGCAGACCTGGTCTCCCCATTCGTTGATGACGGGCATGTTGATGTCATCGATGAAGACCGTCATCCTGCGTCCAGCTGGCGGCCCGTAGGTGGCGCCCATGCGTTTATCGATGTAGCTCTCGATGGTTCTCTGGAACATGCTGGGCAGCGTGGCCGAGGAGAAGTTCAGGGTCTTACTGAGGTGGAGCTCCGGGTCGAGCTTGCTGGTGTAGCCCTGCAGGGGGAGCAAGAGACGCACCGTCAGCGTAACCATCCAGGTGGAGGTCAGATGATCCAGAGACCTTCTCCTCCTCAACAGGAACCTGCTCCACCTCCATCTTTGAGCCTCACTTTGATCATGACGGTCTTGGCGGTTCCCTGCTCCCCGATCAGCAGCACGGCCTTCTTCTGCTTCATGATGGTCTGCATCAGGAAGTCCGTCCTCACGTTGTCCACGTTAGGAACCAGGATGGACGAGTAGTCTGGGACGTGGTCCTTTGGGTAGACATAGTCTGGGACCTGAAAGACAAAGAGGGACCCTGTTTTTACCGGTTTACATAGGGGACGTGGTTTTGTCGGATCTGGGGTTTAAATGTGCTGCTAAAGGACCTAAAGGAGTTCTGGACTTCCTCATCCCTGTGTACAAACACCCACAGACCTTCTTGGACCAGTGCTCCCACTGTCCCTGCTCGTCCACCGTGAACTCAAAGATGGTCTGATCTTCCTGGGTGTGGGGCAGGTCCAGAGACGAGCCCAGACTCTGCACACAGACACACAACAACAACAGACAGAGGTGCTTAGAGCCCCCTAGAGGACATGTCACACACTACAACCAACAAACCTGCAGAAATCTCTGCAGATGTTCTGGAGACTTCTAAGCATCAATTCAACTTAATGAAACAAAAGCGCCCCCCACAGGAAGTCCAGGTCCTCACCTTCAGAAAAGACTCCATCTTGGCTCTGTCGTCCAGCTCCAGCAGCGCCCCCAGAGACCACATCACCGCAAACACGAAGAGTCGACCCACGTCTCCATGAGACCCCTGTTTGTCCTCCACTGTGGGAAGCAAACCCTGAAAACACAGACGCCATCGACGAGCCATGATCGTGTCTGAACTAAAGACTGAGTCAAAGAGTCAAAGAGTCAAAGAATCGAAGAATCGAAGAATCACAGAGTCAAAGAATCATAGAGTCAAATTGTCACCAGAGTCATGGAGTAAAGGAGTCATAGAGTCAAGAAGTCATAAAGTCAAAGAATTAAAGAGTCTAAGAGTTACAGAGTCAAAAAATCAAATAGTCAAAGAATCAAAGACTCAAAGATTCAAAGAGTCAAATCCCGTAGCGTCTGAGTCGTACCTGCAGCAGGTCGATGGTCTGTTTGATGTACATACACTCCAGGACCTGCATCTTTGGAGACACAGCAGTGGACACAAAGTCCAGCAGGGCCTGTAGACCAAATGGGTTTTTAGAGGACGATCGTGTTTTATTAGTGAGTCACTGAGTGAGTGTAAGAAAGTCTCTGATGTCCTCTCTCACATGGTCTGAGTCTTCTGGTCCTCACCTGGTAGCAGCAGGTGAAGCAGAGTTTCAGAACCTCGGCCTGGGGTTCAGGTAGAGTCTGTAACCAGGCCTGCAGGATGGGGCTCCAGCCCAGGACCGAGGAGCTCATGAACACCATCCCGTTCCTGGACACCGTGGCGGGGGAGGCGTTGTCGATGTTGTGGGGCTCAAACACAACCTGGAGGAGGTCACACACTAGACTCAGATCCTTCATAAACCTGGACTAGGATTCAGGACCCAGCTCACTGAAACCTGAACTATGACTGACAGATGGTTCTGGTGATGTCACCTTGCAGCAGGGCGCCATGGGGATCCGGTCTCCGTTCGCCAGTGTCAGAGTTTTGTTGTCGTCCAGGACTGAGTTCAGGTTCTCAATCCAGATGGCGTCGACTGGTCCGTCCAGAACGATCCAGATGTACTCCCCCTGACACACACACACACACACACACACACACACACACACACACACACACACACACACACACACACACACACAGAGTTACTCATATGACCTTTAAACAGAGTTTGAATCAAATCAGGAGTGAGCTGAAACATGAAGATCAACCTTCTTGGCCTTGAGCGTCTTCCTCCACAGTGTAGAAAACACGCCGTCGGTCCAGTCGTTGGTGGTGACGTCCAGCGTGCCGAACATCTGCGAGGCCGTGATGGCTTTGGGGTTCATCCTCATCTCCCTGTGGGGGGAGCCGCACTCCGTCATGGCCTTCATCAGCGTGTGGATGCAGGTCGTCTTCCCGGCACCGCTGGGACCCAGAGTCATCATACCTGCAGGACCACGGGTAAGTTAGACCCTCCTCTAAATTTAAGAAGGAGGAGGAGTTAGCACCACCTGACCAGGACTACGGAGTCTGTTAGTTCCTGTACCGTGTCGGACTCTCTGCGTCTCGTAGAGCTGGACCAGTTTGAGGATCCAGGGAGGATGAGGGATCAGACCGGCCTGCTGAGCCTGACTGGAGATGGACGACTCCAGATCAGGGTATCCAGCTTTATCCAGGACTGCAGAGGAGAACATGTGAACAAAGTTAGAGTCGAACCCTGAGTAAAAAAGTCTCACTGCGAACAAACAGACTGACAGACAGAATAAAGAGGTTTGGAGTGAGACTCTTGGGGGTCTCTGGTTCTTGACTCAGAGGTGGACACGTACCGATACCAGGGAAGAGGTCGTTGATGAGACTCATGAAGAGAGGTTCGTCCTCGTCCACCTGCAGACACACAGACTGAGTCAGTGCTGACTCACAGGTAACTCTGTCGCATTATTCTAACGGCCAGCAGGGGGCCACCTCTAAAGACGTCAGACAGCTAACAGACCAGTTTGGAGAGGTTCATGTCTCTCAGAACCCTCATCACCACCGTCTTCTCGGCCTCTGATGGGTTGGATCTCTTCACGGCTCCCAGCGTCCTCAAAACAGACAAAATGTTCCTCAGTCCGAAGTCGTAGTGGACCTGGACCAGGATCAGGTGTGATCAGAAGTTCTGACTGTAGTTAGAAACTGTTTCATGGTCAGTTCTACGCACCTGTTTGGAGAGCTGCTCCTCACACAGCTTATACAGAGTGTAGAACTTCCTGCTGAGCACCTGGTTGTCACGGAAACCCGCACTGGCTAGTTTGACCCTCATGATGATGGCCCGGTCCGGCACCATCATGGCTACGGTCCGAAACTGGATCTTTAAGTTTTCAGGAAGCTCCTGGCGCCCTGCGTAGCCGGGGTTCTGGAGGAGAGAAGTTCATGTTAACGTCCAGAACTTTGTGGTCCAGAGCTCATCGGTTCTTCAATAATCTACATCTGTCATCCTGGACTTCATGGATCAGAAATCTCAGACTTAGTACAGTACAGGTGTTTCTGAGTCCAGTGTGGTTAGACCATTTCTGACAGGAGAGTCTGCATCATACAGATAAGCCGGTCCAGTTCAACCCGTGAAAGGACAAGACTCTGCATGGGCTTAGATGTTTGGAGGGATAGTTCCTCTGATTTGTTAGTTTCAGAGTTTGGATCACGGCTGTAACAGAATGAATAAAAACAGGAAACCCGTCTCATTTTGGTTACCATGGTGAGGAAGATGCCGAACTCAGGGTCCATGTCGACCACGTCCCCGTCCGTGAAGATGAACTGTTTCTTCTTGTTCTTCTTACACTGCAGGACGATGTAGATCTGCTGAGCGGCCACAGACAGAACGGGCAACTCAATCCGGTTAAACTCATCGAAGCAGCCCCAGGCTCCGGACTGGGCCAGACCTGCAGACCATAAAAACCAGAGGACCGTAGTCTTTGAGACGAGTCAAAACAAGACACTTCTCACCCCCAATTTTCAACACATCCAGAATGGCTCCGTCCGCCAATTTCTACCGGATCTGTCTGTGAGACAAATTTAATGACGGAGTACAGACAGCAGGAATCGCGAGGACTCACAAGAACCCGGGGATTCACGTTCAATCGATAACGAGTTGTCTCTCTAGAGACAGACACATAGACATATAAGCAGTAGATTGTGTCCTTCCAGAGGAGGAAATCTACTTCTAGACTTCTAGAATCAGCATCTCCTCATCCATGGTGTCATCGGGTTGAAATGACGTCTAAAAACCTTTCACTTGTTCGTCTCCGCCCGTTTGCATGGTGTGAAATACGATCCTCCTGAAACACGGAGTGTTTTATTTTGAAAAGAAGCCGGATGTTTTATTTTGAAGTCTGTGCCCGACTTCCTTTCCAGCACGGGTTAATCTGTGCTGAATTTATCCGCCATGCTCCGGCGTCCAGAAAAAATAGAACTCTTGTGATCAGCTGAGGAGTCCGGCGATCCGCAGAGGAACGGAAAGAAGTCGGTGTAAATTGACACGTTAACTTGAATGGTTACGATCAGCTACGATCGGAGGATACGACCTTTTAGGAGACGTTCAGGAGGAAGGTGGAAACTGGGGGTCATACCGCCGCACCAGCACAGGTGAGGTGACCTCTCTCACACACCTTTGTAGATGCGGCCCAGTCCTCTGTAGTCCATCTGGTCTGAACAGTTGAAAACCACCACGTACTTCCCCAGACAGCGACCCATGTCTTTGGTGGTCTCCGTCTTACCTGGAAACAACCAGAACCAGAACCAGAACTGAAGCTGTGCTCAGTGAGGAGGAGCTGAGGTTGTTTGGTGCTGTGTTACCTGTTCCTGCGGGACCAGCCGGAGCTCCGCCCATACTCATGCCCAGAGCCTGGGACAGAGTGATGTAACACCTGGACGGACGTGAAGAAGAGTTCACGTCTTTGTTATAAATGTGGACACAGTCTTAAGGACGGTTTTTACCCAGCATCCAGTGTGTTTGTTCCAGGTGTGTGCGTACCTGTCGGTCAGCGGCGTGATGACCAGTCTGTCCGTACAGCCCAGGTACTCGTTGCAGTAGCTGAACTCCACGTCTGTGATTTGGATGACACACCTGTCCGTCTCCTCCAGGAAGTAGAACCTGGACTGTTTCTGCCACTCAAAGTCCGAGGCAGACCGAACGTTCAGACGCACCTGAGGGGAAGCAGAGCATCATGGGAAATCTGCTCGGACTAACAGTAAGCTGGGGCTCCACCTGTTTCTCTGTCCACCCACCAACTCGTCAAAGATGTCCCTCTGGTGGACGTGGATGGTGATGAGCGTCTCATATTTGGTCCTCTCGTTCCTGCTCAGCTCTTTGGTTGTCATGTCAATCAACTCATTGAGGAGGTCCAGGAACTTCTGATTGGTCGTCTGCATGATCTGTCAACCAATCAGAAACAGGCACGTTGAGAGGAGCGGATCGAACAATGAGAGGCAGGTTTCCTCTGTGGGACTGTTTTCAAAATAAAAGCACCTTCTTGTCCGACTTGCTGAGGACCAGAGCGTCCTCGGCGTCTCTGGTCCAGATCATCTGGATTCCCAGCAGACCGACCTGAGCTGGAAACGCAGACTGGAACTCCAACAGCTTCATACCCGGGTCGCTGATGGCGAGGTAGGCCTGGCGGATGATAGTGTGGAGGGTCTGCCTCACCCCGAGGAGCAGCTGTCCCAACCAGTCCTCCACGTTCCCCTGGACAGACGAGTCTCAAAGTGACCCCCTTAAAGTCTAACTCTGACCATAAACCTTAACCATGGAGTTCTCTCTCTCACAGAGGTCATGACCCAGGTTTTCTGCTGTAAGGTGGACAGTTTTACACTGGGCTCTATGAAGACTGACTCACGTTTGGGCACAGCCCCCAGTGGACACTTGTTGAACTACAGTTTTTGGTACTTTAATGTTGAGATAACCGTACAGGTGTACCTGTGCGTGGACAGGCTGCCTCAGCTCCACCGTCTCTCCTTCCTGAGACTGAAAACTGATGATCTGGTCGTAGATCTTCTCGTTGAAGACAACTCTGTCCACGTTGTCAAACAGGCTGAGCAGATGAACCTGAGATGGAGAGATGGAAACAGAGAAAGGTGGAAAAGGACGGAGGGCAGGAATCACCTGAGTGTTATATAAGTATCACCTGAGTGTTACCTGTATGGTGTGTGAGTCTGAGGCTTGGCCCAGGATCTCCAGCAGAGCGGGATCTGACACAAAGAAAAATCGCGGGAACACCAGCCGTTTTTTCTCCAGGTAACCTGACAGAGACTTCTGACAGAGCTCCAGCTGCTCCAGGAGGTGAGGGAGCAGCTGGAGGAGGAGAGGAAGACATGAGAACACTGTTAGTATCTGATGTTTGGAACTGAAAGACTCTGAGCTACAGAAGGTTTGAGGGGTCACCCAGGTTCACGTAGACAGCACCTGACTGAGCATCTCATCTCCCACGCAGCACTGCACCACGTTAGGGAGCTCGTGCGCTCGCTGCATGATCCGCTGCCATGACTTATCGATGCCCTGGAAACGTTTGGCCTCCTGCACGAGTCAAAGACAAACTTTAATCCATCAGGGGGATAAAAAACTCAGAGTTCATCCTGGTTCAGAAGACTGAGGTTTTATCAGGACCTGAGGAAGCTGCTTGGCTATGTCTCCGCCCACAAACACCGCCTCCAGGTAGATCCAGAGGTTCTGAACCGACAGCCACTTCTCGATGATCTCAGAGGTGTTGGAGAGTTTCTGGACCCACAGCTGGATGGACGGCTTGAAGGGAGCGTTGTACCTGCAGGAGGAGAGACCACAGTCCCGTTTCTGTAAGTTTTCACCTCCATTACCTCCTTCGTTTCCTTTCCTTCCTAGCTTAAGCCCTCGTCTCCTCACCTGTTGCTCAGCAGAGACGTCAGCACCATCAGACTGTCCTCCATCATGGAGATTTTCTCCGCTGTGTCGGCTCCTCTCAGCAGCAGTTCTCCTCTGGTCCTGAAGGGGGCGAAGGTGAGCGTGTGGCTGCTCCACTCGGCCATCACGTCCTTCAGTTTGGCCTCGATGTCCCGCTCCTTCACCGCGCTGATACACACATCCTGAGAGACAAGGTGAACAGTGAGACTGATGAGTGTTCGAATGTCGTTTATTTTCCAGGTTATCGTAGAAGTCGGAATATTATCGGAATATGATCGGAATATGATCGGCATGTGTCAGCAGAGAGAGGGAGATTTCTGCAGATGAGTTGAAAATGTTAAAGATCTGAATCAGAACCTCTCAGGTACCTCTATGTCCTCCTTGTGTTTCAGCAGCGGGGCCTCCATGATGTTTCTGAGGGCGAAGCTCTCCGACTCCACCTGGAAGCTGTGAGCGGTCAGCTGACTGAGGCGGGTCCAGTGTCGGGGCAGCATGGCCTGAGACGGTTACAGTTCATTAAAAAGGAGCGACTAAATATTTGAACACAAACACGACTTCAACGTGTGGATCTGTAACGATCGACCCTGGAGGTGTTTTCTCCAGACGTCGGGTTCAGATGTTTAAAAGTTGTGTGCTGAGGTTCTTCTGAGTTCTGGGGTGAAAGTATGAAACCTGAGAAGCTAATTTCCCGCTCATGTAACCACGGTTTTGTGGAGCTCAGCTGTTACCTTGTTGGCCATCATGTAGAGCAGCGGGCAGCTCTCAGCGAAGTCGTCGATGGTTTTCTTCAGATCTCTGAAAGCCGGCCACTCCTTCAACGCTTTGGGGAGCTTACGGATCCTAGAACCAATCAAATCATTACCAATTAACCAGCTAATCAAACACATGACCAACCAATCAAACATTTCACACAGTCAACTCATGAATCAATCAAACAACAGGTGAACCATCCAACAAATCAATAAACAATGGACTCATCAATCAATAAACATATCAACCAAACAACCGGCCATCCAATCAACTGAACAACCAATCAACCAATCAATCAATCAATCCATCAACTGATCAATCAATCAATCAATCAATCAATCAATCAATCAATCAATCAATCAATCAATCAATCAATCAACTGAACAACCAATCAATCAATCAATCAATCAATCAATCAATCAACTGTTGACCACCAGTTCACAAACCAATCCAACCAGGGTCTCTTCCTGGTCCTGTACCTGTTCTGGAAGTCCTGCAGCTCAGTGTTGATCTTCTCGATGTTAAGCTCCGCCCACATGATGTCATAGTATCCAGCCACGCTGTCGATGACCGCGTTATAGAGAGAGTAAAGTTTGGAGAGCAGAGAGAGCTCCCTCTTGATCCTCTGCAGCTCAGGGTACTCTGAAAGGAGGAGGGGGGTCCGTCAGTCAGGACCGGATCGGCGACATTTCTGTCCCTGACTGATTCAGACTCTGACCTCACCGTTAACAGGAAGTCCGAACAGCTCCTCCCCCCCGCTGTAGGTGGTGTAGTTCCTCCACAGCTGATCAAACTCCGCCTGGAAACTCTGCAGCCGCTCGCTGGCTTCAGCCGGAGCCACGCCCTCCATCCCCGGACCCCTGCCGACACACAGGTGTGGGTCTTTACCTGTCATCTCACAGGGTACAGGTTTGACCTTTGACCCGTTGGCTTACCTGTGGTTGTACTCGCCGCAGAAGCTCTGAACGTGGATCTGAAAGCTCTGCACGGCCGACAGTAGGTCTGCCTTCATACGGGGCTGGATCCTCACCAGAGTGTTCTGGTTCTGATCCACCTGAAACATGATTTCAGTACCCACAATCCTTCACTGCAGAGCGTCTCTCTTTAGTTTGGTCAGTTTAAAACTTTTGAAAATCCAGAAAAAGTTTCAATAACTGAACTAAATTTTGGTCTCAGAATTTTGTTTTTGAAGTTTTAAAGCAGAATTTTTGTCGGCGTGTTTTTTTTTAATCAGCTCTCATATTTAACTCCTTCATCTATTAAAAATATAAAACAGTTTCAGGGTCGCTCTCTCTCTCTTTCTGCGTTCTCAGTCTGGGAACAGTGACTCTTTTGTGTGACCCCGTTTCCTCGTCTCACCAGCACGTTGAGGTTTCTCCAGGCGTACATCAGGCTGTCCACGCGCTCGGCGTTCCCGTCGCTGAAGAACAGCTCGTGTTTGTTGAGCAGAGCGAAGGATTCCTCCACTGGACCAATCGTGGCGTCGATACGAACCTCCTCCTCCCGAACCTCAAACAACAGGGACGAGGGTGAAAAACTGAACCACAAACAAACGACGGACCTCTCTAACGAGGAAACTCGACTGAAACGAATCAGTGCGTGATCAGAAATACTCCTGGTCTTATTTATGGAAGAATCATGGGAAAAAAACAGCCAATCAGAGGCCGGCTGACCTCTCGCAGTGCTGCCATGGCTCCCCTGACATCCTCCAGGTCTGTGATTGGACGCTGCAGTCGCTTTGTCAGCGTGTCGACAAATGAGAAAACCTCATCCATGTCGGCAGACGCTCGGCGGTTCAGTGCGGCGCCGAAGGCTCGTTTCCAGAGCCGACACTCCTGACTGAGCGCCAGCTTCAGCTGGTCGGTGTCAAAGAGAACCGAACCCACCATGAAAGACGCGGGGAGCTCAGAGATCTGCACCTCCAGTTTCTGCAAGAAGAGCAAGGCATCATGGGTAAAGAGAGCACCGAACTTCAGTCTGGTCTGAAGGTTTTTGAAACATCTTCATGATGGACAGTCCTCGTCATGATCATTTTTAACTCCAGCAGCAGCTCCTGGAGTTCAGGGGGGGACTGACTGAAGCTGCAGTTCCTGAAGTGTCCACTAGAGGCTGTCTCCTAAAGTGAGTCAGGAGACTCATTAGCGTAGGACCTGAATTTGAACATAACTCTCCTGTTTGAATCAGATTAAAGACCAAAAATAGCTATAATTGGGGGCGTGGCCTGTTTGAGTGACAGGTGGGAGCTGCTCGCTGTCTGCTAGGTTTTACCTCAGCTGATTCAGTCCCTGACCCTGAACCTCTGGTCTGAGTTTGTGGTGTTGGAGCCTCTCAGGGACTGGTGAATGAAAACTGAAAATCTGTGAACTTACCTGGACCAACAGGTCTTCTCTGGTCTCTCGGGTTTTAGACTCAGTCAAGGTTCTTCTACGGTTTCAGAGACTTTAACATGAAGGTGAATCAAACTGAGATACTCCTGCCCTAAAACCCCCCTGGGACCATAATTTACTAAATGAATGAGATCTGAAAGTAGAAGTCGAGACCATAAAAGATGTGAACTGACGGAGGGTGAGTAAATCTGGTCATGGACTTCTTTTGGTGGAGTAGTTCAGAGCTGACAGTACCAAAGAGCTGAAGTTTGTGGCTTTACTTCTTAAACCTAAAACATCCAAGTGGACTTCAGGGACTGAACCAGAACCTCTACCTGGAACAGAGCCGTGTCACGTATAGATATAAAATAATAGAGTTTGTGTTACAGACTCACAGAGTAGAAGGAGATCTGAGAGCTGAACTCTGTGAGCGAGGGCTCCGACTGCAGGAAAGTCTGGACCTGCTCCTCCGGGTCCTTAAAGACATACACACAGATATTAGGTTCACACATACACACATGCAGACACGCACACTGACACACACTGACACACACTGACCTGGTTCCAGAGGGTGGAGAAGTGGGAGAGCTGGTCCAGAGTCTCAGCAGCCTGAGTTCTCAGAGAGGAGACGATGGAGCCGAGCTGCATCACCGCCCTGCTCCAGAGTTCAGAGACATGATGGACACGGTTTAAAGACAAACGTCGTCTTTATATTATTATTGTTATTTTTATCGTCTTTATTATTATTATAAAAAAAAACATGTGGGAGGATCGGTGGACGGACTTGGTGATGTCTTTGTGTTCAGCCAGCTGTCGCTCTAAAGGCCTCAGCACGGGCGGCTTCACCGGGATATCGTCTCCTCCATCTCTGACCGCCGCCTGCTCCACCTGGCAGACAGAAATACTGGCCTGTGATTGGCTGACTGGCAGCTGGTGTTGAATATGAATGGGCTGAGTGACGGGCGTACCTGCTGCTGTTTGTACTGCAGGTGAGCGAAAGTCCACAAGGGGATGTCCTTGGTCACCGTCAACACGACGCTCACCATCCTGTTCACTGTGCTCTGAAACACACACACACACACACACACACACACACACACACACACACACACACAGAAGAGGTAATACCAGCGTGCTTAAAGGTCTGACCAGCAGGCTTTGGAGTCTACAGAGAGTATGGAGAGCAAAAGCAGGAGGAACTATTTCAGCAAACTGATGACCTGTAAGTGAGGAGGAGAACATCACAAGAACATCAGAAGGAGACAGCTTTCTTCTCAAGTCGCTGTTTGGACTTTCCTCAGTGCAGAGGATGAGAGAGGAGGTATTTATCGCTCGGACCAAGAAGCATTATCAAAGTACCTGGATGTCGTCCAGACTGGGTCTGAGGACGATGTTGGGGATGGCGAGCTGCATGGAGGCTCTAAAGAGAGGAGGAGGAGGAGGAGGAGCTGATTGGCTGCTGGTGGAGGAGGAAGAGGAGGAAGGCTGAAATTTGGTGACGTGAAGTCTCCTCCTCAGGGCGTCCAGAGAAGATTTGGTTGCTGGGAGGAAAAGCGCCGATTAGTGAACTCAGAGGAGACGGGTTCAAAGTTCAGGTCCAAACAGGAGCAGATTTACTCGGGTCTTTGGTTCTGGACTGGTTCCTACACACACTTTATTTCTTGGTCTTTGATACACAGAAGGAGAGAGGTCTGACCTTTAACCAGGGCTTCAGTGTTACGATGACACAGGTGACCAATCAGGTTGTAGAAGCGACATGGAAGACAGGACTGACAGCGAGTCTTCTGTTTGGAGTCTGGATTGAGGCACTGAAAAGGCTCCTGAAGGAGAAGAAGAAGAAGAATGAAGAAGAGGCCCACAGAGATGAAGACCACCTTAAAGTCCACGTGTCGTGTTTTACCTCCAGATTAACCGTCTCTGATGTCTTCATCTTCTTCTTCAGCTCTTCAGTCAGCTCAAAGACGTACCTCTCCACCTGCTGGCTCTGCCTGAGTTCACACACAAACAAACAGAACATCTCAATGACAGCAGCACACCTGGCAGGTACACAGCAGCTTCAGGTAACTGAGTCCTGATGGGAGTGTCGGTGTTAAAACGGAGTTTTTACCAGTTCAGGGACACGGCAGCAGCTCGGACCGAGCTCTCCGTCTGCTGCAGGAGCTCCTGAGGTGAGACAGGTGAGTCCTCGGGCAGGACCAGCAGACAGCAGGAACACATGGACTCAAGCAGCCGTCCGATCCGACACTCCAACAGGTCTGAGGCGACTTTGGACACCTGATCCAGATCCTCCAGAGCCACGTACACGGCCTGTATGACTGACAGCAGGACACGGGTTACCAATGGATGATCGGAATCATCCTTATTGATCAAAATATTCTGTCTACGTCCATAAAGTGTTGATTCCTCTCTGCACGCTCACATGAGTCAGTGTTGAGAGCGGTCCAGGACAGGGTGGTGAGTCCTGGAGAGAGAGACGCCTCCACCCGGCCGATGAACGGCTGCATCAGAGGGAGGAGTGACGGAGGTATCTTTGCGACCCCTGAACTGTAGTCCTGAAGCATCTCCAGCAGCCTGAGGAGGAGAGTCAGCTCAACTAAAGCACTGAGGAGATCCAACGTGCTGAAGACTGACTTCAGAGGAATCATCGAGAAAAACATGAAGAGAAGAAAACCTCGACTTCTGATCCAAGGAACTGAAACCTCCTGAGCTGTGCTGACGATCACCCTCAGTGTAAATAATCCTGCAGACTGAACTCAAACCTCCTCATCTGGATTAAGAGTGAACATATCAGACACTCTACTTTAATCAGGATTAAAGGAATCTGGATTCACGTCGCTTATTCAAATGAACTCTGAAGGTATGACTAAGTTAGAGTCGACGTCCGTGACACCTGGACACTCGATGAAGTTGGGGGATTAGGGTGTCAGCTTTGGTCAGGGCTGGACTCTGCAGACCCAAGTTACCATAAGACCAACTTTCAGAGCTCTTCAGTTTTAATCTGAATCCATGAGGCTGAGTTGGTCGGATCTGTCCTCACACCATCTGAAAACTCCTGTAAACGAGGTCGTGGTGATTCCAAACTGCAGGAACCTTCGAAGTTCTGAAAACGAAGGATCAAATATGATCCATGAATCAGGGGAGTTCCAGCAGATGCTCACCTCCTGTACAGAGTTTGGAGGTGGGCTCCTCTTGAGCTCATCTTTGTGATGACCTTCGGGACAGGGACCCCCAGCTTGGTCATCCAGTGGACCTCCTGCAGCACCTCCAGCACCACAGGATCCAGGTTCACAAAAACCTGATGAGGAAACACACGGTTCTTCACATTATCATGCAAGTACCTCCAGTTGTGTGGTGGTCAACATCTCCAAAGATCTCACTCCTGGCAGATAAACTCAGGGGGGTTATCAAAACCCCGGTTTTAGTACCCAGGATCAGGTAATCTGGCTCCCTTTTGCCCTGTCAGTAAACTTAAACTGGATCAACTAAATCCAGAACTAGGTCTCTGAAATGAAAACATGAAACCAAAGTCTAAACCAGCTGAGAGATCCTCACAGCTGCTCTGAAGGTCTGAACTTTGGAGATGTTTGAGGTGTCACCCTGCTGTGGTGAGACGATGTTCTCTGAAACGATCATTTCATCATCCTGCACCTTGTTACTCTCATGTCGGACCAGGAGGGCGGAGCTAAGACAGTGTGGCACACCCTCTGCAGCCTGGCTCCACCCCTCTGTGTGCACCAGCTCATAATGCAGCAGCACCCCAGCCAACCTGTTGTAGCTCCTGATCACTTTGGTCATCTCCGGTCCCTGACAGAGGGAGAAATCAGACGGCTCGCTCAGATCATGAGGATCAGGTTTATGATCATCTGTAGAACCAGAGTTCCTACTTTGAGGACGTCCAGCTTCTTCTTCAGGATCAACATGGGAGCTTCAATCTTCCTGAAAATCTGACGACACCACAGGATCCTGCCCGCTACCTAAAAAAGAGAGAGAGGTCGGTGTGAAAGGCTGTCTCCAGTCTGCTCAGTCAGAAGTCAGTCAGGTCGTTTACAGTCTCAGTTTAATCAGACTAAACTCAGAATTCGTCTTTTTGTCTGAATCAGACTTCTCTCCTCGTCCTCGTTTACATGCAGCTGAGAAAATCGAATTATTGACGTGAACGTGTCCTCCTCCCCAACACTAGGGGGCGATATGGGTCTTTTCAGCGGCGCTGTTTCCGACCCCATCCAACCGTCAACAACAACAGCAGGTCGGTGTCAGACGTCAGAAGTGTCTACAACTGCTGCTGGGCATTTTGGAGAAACAAGAAGATGGAGCATCGTACAGCGTTGTTTTTGTCCGACATGATGGACGCGCTACTTTTTCTAAAGATGAGATGCATTGTTCGATCATACTCCGACTACGTTGGTTACATGGTAGAGAAAATCGAATTCCGATCACATTATCTGGGTGTCTTAATCAGAGTTCTCAAACTGCGATTATAGTCGGACTAAAGTGTTTACATGACCTTCAGCTGTCCGGTCTTAATCGGAATAAGGCGATAATTCGGTTTTCTCGAGTGTCATGGAAACAGACTGAGTGAGAGGGTGAAGGAGTCCTGATATCATCCTGTCATATCTGTAGAATCTTTAGATCGTCTGCTCGTCTGAGTTTTTGTCCTAAAGATAAAAATAAAGTCCTAAAGATCTTAGAGGATAGAAACGCTCTGATCTAAGACATGACTGACATCTGTATCATATATGATATAGACTATCAGTATCAGTATCTACTGATCCAATAATCTGGGCAGAGGTCTATGTAACTGCGTTAAATGAAAAACATCATCTGCATAACAAGTGAGACAGTGTGAGGACCGAGGACTGAGCCCTGAGGAACACCATGTTTGATTCTGTTGGTGTTAAAGCCACAGAGTCAGTGGGACAGACAGGTGGACGGAGGCGTGGTCTTACTGGGGGCAGGTTCCGTCCCAAAGGTGGACTCTCCCTCTGTCTCTGGTAGGTCTTTCTCAGGAGCTCCAGCTCTCTGCTGTAGCGCTGAAGCAGCTGTAGGTGGTACTTCCTGAGGTCCAGAGCAGCTGTTGGACCGGACTCAAACACCGTCAGTAGCTCCAGCATCCGCTGCGTCTGAAACACAAACACATGTTGAGACTGAAGGTTAAACGCCGCCATGCTAACCTCCAGGTTCTTCTGATGTTGGTGATGAACTTACAGTGAGAGACCGCTGGAACCAAAAGTCCAGCAGAGACTGAAGAGACTCGAACAAACCCTGGACCTGGAGCTTGAAGTCTGCGTAGTCTCTTTCAAACTGGGACACATAAAAAGAAACAACCCGGTTCAAGTTTAAGTCCTGAAACCTGGAGCTGCAGGTGTGAAGGTCTCTGACTTTACCTGATCCTGAGTCTGAGACTGAGAACAAGCGGAGAGTGTCGATGTTGTCTTCATTTATAAACCTCACACTGTAGAATTTATACTCATATATATATATTTATCCTTATATTCATACTGATTTATATCATCTGACCTCTGGTTTGCGATGGTCCAGGATGTCGTAGGTTCTGGACTTTGTCGTGGAGATGATGGTCTGATAGCGAACATAAATCTTGTCGATACCCTCCACCTGGAACAGAAACCACTCTGCATGAGCTTTATAGAGGTGATCACTCTGATGTTCCCGTGAACCGGTGATGGAGAGATATAAAAACACCTCCACTCTGAATAAAATCTCTATCTTAGTTTTGTTAAATGTGAACGGATTTATACAGAAACACACCTTCATGTTCGATAGAGCAGCCAGGCTCTCTAGCGTGGACGCCATGTCAGCGATCTTCTCCAGACGCCTGCAGAAGGCGTCGAACTTCCCGAAGATGTAATTCTCACTGAAACCAGTAAAGACACACCGGGAGATTTAATAGATGATTGTTCTGTAGGGTGGCCGAGAACCGCCACTTCTGCAAATAAAAAAGAGGTCGCAACGGAAGTTACCGAAAAAATAAACTGTGTAGATTAAAAAAAAAAAAGAAGTTACTTACTGCGAAAATAAAAGGATGCAAAAATAAAAAAGCCACATGTCTGCGGCTCATGTTCACCTGAAGTCCAGCTCTCTGTTGTCAGGATGTTCTCTCAGTTTGTCCCTGACGGCCTGGAAGCTCCTCTGATACTCCACATTCAGTTTACAACAGTGGGAGATCCGCAGCAGCAGCTCGGGCCTGTAACACACACATGCACGCACTTTTGTCAAGTCTCACTCACATCAACGGAACCTGGTCTGATTAGATGGACCAGCAGAGTCCACGGTACCTGCTGTGGTCCCAGATCCGGGTCACACCCAGGGACAGGTAGGTCCTGCAGGTGGTGATCATCTGGTTGGTGATCTTCAGCAGTAAAGAGGTCATCCTCTCGGAGGTGTTGTAGCACTGAGACACCGTGTGGATCATTCTGATGTTGGTCATCAGACCGGGGAGGTGGTCCAGGATACTGGTCTGTCAGACGAGGGGGGGTTAGAGGTTTATCTCCTTTATCAGATCCTCACCTGAGCTGTTATTCAGGTTTGTACTCAGAGGTAAAACAAACAGACTTGATGACTATTTCTCACTTTAATAATCACAGACCTGCAGGTTCTCCTCAGGTTTTACCGTGAGTCCTGACCCCCCTGTTCTTTAACCTCCTGGTTTCATGAGAACTTCAAATAAGTATCTTCTTTATTTTCCTTTTTGCTAAAACAGTGCAAGACAGTACCCAGAATGCTTTGCAAACAGGGGCTCTAAACATGGTCCACCAGTGCAGAAGGAGAGACCCCTTTAGTTAGATTTTGATTTTGCTCTTAGAAATAGAAGAAGCAGTTCCCTGAGTGTCCACTAGAGGCAGCAGGGTTTGACTCTAACTTTGTTCACATGTTCTCCTGAGTTAAAAAAGTAAGGAGCACAAAGAACTTTAGGGGATCAATGAAAACTGATCAATAATGTTTGTCTTATTGATCGACCTTAGTACTATTATTAGAAATCAATTTTAGGTCTTTTGATCACATGACAGTGAAGCTATTGAAGGAAAACAGACTTTTCTGAGAACATCAACCGGTAATTTATTGACGGTCCCTTATTCAACACCGACGTTGACAGTGAGGGTGTCGAGTAGATTTAACCGCGCTGCTGTTGTTATTCCCGGTTATGGAGAGTGAGAAGACACCGGTAGATCCTCAAAGAATGTCCGTCAGATATCCAACCTAAAACTAACTTCACCGCCGTATTTACAGGAAAATATATCCAACCTGAAACTAACTTCACCGCCGTATTTACAGGAAAATATATCCAACCTAAAACTAACTTCACCGCCGTATTTACAGGAAAATATATCCAACCTAAAACTAACTTCACCGCCGTATTTACAGGAAAATATATCCAACCTAAAACTAACTTCACCGCCGTATTTACAGGAAAATATATCCAACCTGAAACTAACTTCACCGCCGTATTTACAGGAAAATATATCCAACCTAAAACTAACTTCACCGCCGTATTTACAGAAAATATATCCAACCTAAAACTAACTTCACCACCGTATTTACAGGAAAATATATCCAACCTGAAACTAACTTCACCGCCGTATTTACAGGAAAATATATCCAACCTAAAACTAACTTCACCGCCGTATTTACAGGAAAATATATCCAACCTAAAACTAACTTCACTGCAGTATTTACGGGAAAATATATCCAACCTGAAACTAACTTCACCGCGGTATTTACGGGAAAATATATCCAACCTAAAACTAACTTCACTGCAGTATTTACAGGAAAATATATCCAACCTGAAACTAACTTCACCGCTGTATTTACAGGAAAATATATCCAACCTGAAACTAACTTCACCGCCGTATTTACAGGAAAATATATCCAACCTGAAACTAACTTCACCGCCGTATTTACAGGAAAATATATCCAACCTGAAACTAACTTCACCGCCATATTTACAGGAAAAAAAAACATTTGTTGATTTTTTTTGTCCCCATCATGATCGGACTAATAACCTGATCTGTGAGCGTGTTTCTGTAACGCCTCGTCGTTAACTCAGCTGTTGAGCGTTCGGATTATTGGGACTCAGCCGTGTAGACCACAGCACAGTGAGGGTCTAAGGAGGGTTGTTGGTTTGACTCCACAGACTTGGTAAAGACACAGACAGGGTTCCTCACCGGAGTGCATGTCCCCAGAGGTCCAAAGAACTTGTCCAGAGTGTAGAGGTACTTCACGTTGTCCTTGGCCTCGTTAGCGACGACGGTGATATCTGCATCCTGAAATCAACCAATCAACAAAGAGACCCTGAAACGTGCTGATTCAGATCCGTCTATAACTAGTCTGACTTGATGAGCTGACCAGGTCTCTCCAGGATCTCAGCAGTCGAGACTTGGTGACTTGCAGAACTCCCAGAGTCCTTTTCACCTGAGGACGCTTCACCTCCTCCATCAGACTGAAACACACACAAACACGAGTCAGCGAGCACGTGCAGGTGTTTGGAGGATGTGTCCTTCACATGAGGTTCTGAAACCTCATGTGGATCTAATCAGGTGGTTCTGACCCCAGTTTACCTGTTGAAGGTGACCATGCGTCTCTTCCAGTGCTCCAGCTCAGCTGAAGGTCCCACATCATCGGCCTCCTTCCTTATCTGCTCACTCTCCGTCAGCACCTGCTTGATCTGATTGATCCACACTGAGACCACGCCCTCCAGGCGCTCCACCAGCTCGCTGTTATTGGCTGAAAGCAGAATCACCAGTTAGCGTTGGCGCACATGTTCTCTGTCTATAAAAAAGTCCTTTGGTTGACCTCTGACCTGCAGCAGTGTAGTCTGCAGGGCTGCTCAGCTGACTGATGGCGTCCGGAAGGTGGACCTGCTGCAGCTGGAACTTCCTCTCCATGTTGACTCTGGTGGAGCTCAGATTACTGATGAACTTGTCCACTGGAGACAGGAAAGACTGGACATCTGGGCTGGACGTCCCCTCCTGCACAGAGCCCCACGTCTGGACACAGAGGAGTCCGCTTTTTCATTCACAGGGTTTCACTGAAGCTGAAAGAGTCTGTGTGAGAGGATCTGTGTGTACCTGCTGAGAACGGAGAGCCGGGACCATAATCTGAGTCAGCAGAGTTTCCAGACTGTTCAGGAAGCTGCCGTCACTGCAGTCCAACCAGCCGAAGTTCACTTCCTGTAGACGATACAGAAACACACAGTTTCACCAACATGTGGACTGAACCAGGTCCATCCAGCCCCCCGCTTTACAGGGATGTTCCGGCGTAAAATTAGAGAGACCTCAGGCCAGTCCATTACAGACTACAGCGGGGTGCCGCAGCTCAAGGAAGAACATTTATGATCATTTCTTCATGGAAATACAATCAGACCGAGACGCTAAGACAGAAGAACTACAGCGTCTGTAAAATGATTAATATGGTGATTATTACTTCAAGGAAATGATGAAGAAATGATCATAAATGTTCTTCCTTGAGCTGCGGCACCCCGCTGTAGTCTGTAATGGACTGGCCTGAGGTCTCTCTACAAACAAGCGTCTGCTGGAAGAGAGTAGGTGAGTTGTGTTTAGTCTCTTTGCTAAAGAAATGAGTCAAAGTTAAAAAGATGTTTGGTGTCTAGTACTATGTCTGTGACCCTATATGTCCTGTTGATGAAGTTAGGTGCTGTTCTGAGCATTATTTGTGGCTATAGAGTGGCGTTTTGGTTGAGGGCGTGGCTCTCTGTGTTTCTATCCTGCGGTCGTTACTTAAGTTGGTATAACTAGAGAAGTAAGCGGTCGACAACATTAATCTCTGGAGGGGGGGTCTAACTCTGTGTTACGGTGGGTTTGACCCTAAATTAATTTACACCAGAATACCCCTTTAATGTCACTGACCTGCTGAACGTTAGCTGTAGTTATGGCCTTATCTGTGGTCCTCAGGAAGAACAGACACCTCCCCAGCAGAGGCTGAAAAACAAAGAAGAAACATGTGGATCAGACGTGTTTGAGGTCAGACAGTGAAGAGGAAGTTTCCTCTGCTGTGGAAAATCAGACTGAAGCAACTTTAGTTATGAACCTGACATTTTCTATTTGGAGTTCAGGAGGTTTTTAAAACTCAGTTTTATTCCTTGGCTTTCAGTTCAGTATGAGAGTTGTGTGATCTCTGTCCTTTTATCACTTTTAAGGTCCTTCTAAGGATCTGTGTTCCCTGAAGGTGTTCGGTATCTCCTCACCAAGCACCAAAAACAAACACCGATTCTCTGTCATGACAACACAATAGACTCGACCAGAGCTCTTATTATCTCTGAGGACGGACAATGGTGGACACGAGCCGCACTGAGGTTCGACTGAAACCTGAACAGAACGATCCGTGTTCGTTTATCTTTACTGGAGGCAGAGGGAGAGTCTGTTTGAGAGTAAAACTTTCTACACAAACACAAGAAAGAAAATGATTTTTCAGCTCAGCAGGAGAGACAGTCTGTTTTCAACATTTCCTCATTTGACTGTCAGGATGATATTTCATTTACTCACGAGGAAAAGATCCAATGAAAACAAAGAGAAAGTTCCTTACAGGAGCTTTAATGCTGCCCTCCTGCTTCATCAGACTTCAGAGACTAAACAATGACGCCGTAAACATAAAAGAAGAGCGACTAAACGCACAAATATGACAGAAAATCGATTTAACTGTCAGTGAAAACAGATAAAGAGGCAGTGAAGAACCGACATGACCTCCATAAATGAGATATTTCTAAAACAGCTTCTTCTCAGCTCCTCCCTGTGACTGCTGTCTGAACACACGCCTGGTTCCCTTACCTCAGAGCTGCCTGTGGTGATGAAGAGTTTCCTCTGAGAGGCAGCAGGGGGCGCTGCATCCACAGAGGTGGAGTAGCTGATAGACTGGTTCTGAAACCGAGAAAAGAGAGATGGGGAACAAAAGAGGAAAATAAAGATGAACTGATGAGAGAAATCATGATGGTAGAATATCTAGAAGAAGAAGAAGAAGATGGTGGAGGAGGAGAACCTGTTTCTCGCTCTGACAGAAGAACATCAGCTTCCTGGATCCATTCGCAGCAAAGAAATCCTCAATCAGGCCGAACTGCGAGAACCAGAGAAGGTTAAACCCAGACCGACCCAGATCAGGTCAGATCCTCCTCTCTGAGTTTGTAGATGTCTGTGATCTTACCTTTTCATCAGAGAGGAGGGCGTCCTCCACCTCCGGCCCCCCCACCGTCCCGGCGTCCACCAACCTGCTGATCAGATATCTGTGCCGAGCGTCCAGCGCGGCTCGTCTCTCCTCCTTCAGGACTCTCGCCTGCTTAGCCATCTCTCTCCTCGCCTCGTTGGACATCAGCAGCGTCTTTTTTCCACACACCTGGAGACAATCGAGGAGCTTCAGACCTGGTTTGGAGTTTCTCCAGAGTCTCACCTGTGATCCTGTGATCAGGAGGGAGCTCTAGATCAGCTCTAGATCTGTGTTTCCCACAGACGTGTGAAGGTCGAGTAACAGCAAACACAAAAATATAAAACATGATTTTCTTTTCTGTGTCCAGACCGGAGAAAAACACTCGTACTGATGGTGAAGCTGCCATCTAGTGGCTGTTAGGAGTCACTGCAGACACTGAAGCAGGTGAAGACGGGCTGTTGTCAGAGTTTACTCACAGAGGTGGATGAAGAAGTTGCAGCGGGAGACGTGGGGTTAACGGCTCTTTGGTTCTGCCCTCCTATTCGCCGGTGACCTTTGACCTCTGAAATCATCCATATCACTCAGAACATTTTAAATCAAAAGTTAAACTGAATCGAACCCTGAACTTCAGTTTGATCTCAGATCTGTTTTCTGTACCTTTGTGCAGGTGAAGCAGAGGAGGTCTGGGTTTGATGAGCTCTCCGTCTGCACCTCCTTTCTCCTCCTCCTCACCCTCCTGGACTCTGAGACCTTCAGCCTGGAGCTCCATGTCCAGGGAGGGGTCAGGATCAGGCCCCGGCTCAGAGCTGCCGGCAGCGGGAACACCGGTCTCCAGCTCCCCCTGTGAATCCTCCACCGGAGTCTGAGAGTCAGGATCTGCCATCTGAGGGTCAAGACAAGTTCAGGACCCAGTGTTCTTAGTTTGGGTTCATCAGGAAACATTTCAGAGACGAACTCACAGAAGTGCAGGAGAAAGAGCGGAGACCTACCTGTGTGCTGAACAACCAGAGTCTGAGAGACGGAGGGGGGCGGACAGAAACAGAGAGAGAGGCCTGCATAGGTAAAGTTTGACTGTTGTCATGGTAACCCTGCCAGGAAACGAGTCTGTGTGTGTGTGTGTGTGTGTGTGTGTGTGTATTAGTGACTCAGCAACTGAAAACACAACAAAACTGCCCCCCCCCCCCATGAATGCAAACAGACAGACGTTGAAAGAGAAAAAAAGACTTTTATTTTGTTAAGTCGGTGAAATAAACCGAGTTTACATAACGAAGCGGACCTTTGGAGGTCTCAGGTTTTTGGTTTTCTCTCATGTACTGACCTACTGAAAACTAACATCAGTGAAGGTTGAACGTCTGAGCAGTTAGGACAGTCTGCGAATGTCAGCGTTTGGACAGGAGGGACTCTGACTGCTGAGAAAGAGTCCCTCAAAGTCCAAGACCAGCAGATATGAGAGGATGAGACCGGCTCGACTACAGTGGACAACTGGACTTACTTGGGACGTTTCCAAAAGAGTGTGTTAGATTTAGATTTTGATCCTCAGAGGAACAGAAAGAAGTCGGTGTAAATTGACACGTTAACTTGAATGGTTACGATCAGCTACGATCGGAGGATACGACCTTTTAGGAGACGATCAGGATGAAGGTGGAGGTCGGGGGTCAGAGTCCTGGTGTTTGACAGAGAGCCTCCTTTAAAGAGGCTCAGCAGTGATCCAGTCCCTGTCAGATCCTTTTCCTAACCTTTCAGAGCAACATTCTGGTTATGAAGTAAAAACAAACACAAACGTTCCTCTAAAGACCCCAGCCCACCGTTTCTCTGCTTTAGACTAAATCCAGTTTTTTAGAAAGGTACCGATCCACCTCACAGAGAGCAGCGATCAGAACCGAACTGGCTTCAGTACCTTTCGCTCGCACTGCGTCGATCAGATCTCTGGCTTTATCTGCTCTGATTTTTGACCTGAGTGACTCCATCTCATTATTATTTATGACTTCCTTCTCCAGGAGGACATCCAGAAGATCGTCCAGGACAGGATCAGACACACTGTCCACAAACCGTTTCCGGGCTAACCTCAGCTTCTCCTCTGCTGGGACCCTGACCTGGGCCGGCTGAATTTTACTGGTTGAAACTGGAAAATAACCAGAGAAAAGACTTTAAGAACTGATTTCTTCATAAAAAGGACAGATTTAATATAAACCAATCAAATGATCTCTCCTTCTAATCCTGTTGTTCAGTAAATCATCCGAGCCCATGAGTGAATACGTGGGTTTGAGTTCAGCAGGTAGAAAATCCTTATCTGTGGTTTTTTAGGGGGGTGGAGGGATTAGACTTGGTAGCATCAGAGTCAGCTCTTCAACCAGGACCTGGACCAGGACTTTGTGCATCCAGGAGGTTTCTCCATGACACAGGCTTCACTTTTTCTGGGATAAACTTCGTAAAACTGATCCTCAACCTCCGCCAAAAACCCAAGACGAACATTTACTGCCAGTCACTTCAGATGGAGCGCTTTACCCCTAAATGTGGGCGGGGCTGCCACTTAAAGGCACAGTACCCTGATGCTTTGCTCTCATCTATACAGGGGGAATTATTGGGGTCCTAAAGGATGAATTACCTTCAGGTATCTGGTCTTCTCTCTTGCTCTGGTCCTGGATCATCGAAGTCACTTCCTGTGGGACAGAAGAGAGAAAACTCTGAATGTCCATCCTTGCTGAAACCAAACCATAATAATTCTGACATACAATCACGAGGATCTGTTGTCGATATTTACTTCAAAGAAGTAAGGTCAGGTCATGTTTGTTTCATACTTTCAGCTGCTTTTTCTCACCTTTTTCTCATCATCATCATCATCATCATCCTCATCCTGCTGGATATTCTCATCATCGGATGGAGAGGGGAAGTTTTTGAACTTCAGAGCTGAAACAGAAGAAAAGGAAAAACTGAACGAGGAGTTTCTGCTCATCATAAAATCAGATATATCTGTAAAGAAGCTGAATAAGTGGAGACCACTGTTTCAAAACTCACATTTTAAATGTTTTTCAGCTTCAACCAACTTCCCATCAGTCCTGTAGAGATAACCACAAACACACAAAGATGAACACAATCTCAGGAAATAAACACCAGCTGATCCAAGCTCTGCAGACACACTCAGTTCCTTCACATGTTGTTCAGAAATTAGTCAAATTACAGCTGGACTTTATATTTGACCGTTTGACTTGAGTCACACTGGATAGTATTTCTTGTAATCTGACAAACTCGGGGATCATCATTGAGGACATCAAGAGAAGATGAAGGTGTTATATCGTATTGAAGCTTGCTGTTGTTTTCAGTGTTCAGCATAAAACCTGACAGCACCTCTCTGATGCATGTAACGGGTCGGCCAGGACACGGCTAAATGGGAATCAGCTGAAAGAGGGACACTGCCACCCTTTGTAGCAAAGGTGGACAAACTTTTACCAACACCTGCCTGGTGCTTTTAGACGGGGACAAAGGTAGAAGTGAAGCTAAAACTGTGGCTCCACTATATTGAGCATGTTAATAAACAAAGTGTTCACATTTGATTTGCGGTGGAGAAATCTCAGAGTCGTAGGCCGTCAGTCCTTATACCTACACAAGCAAATCTGTCTGGTTGGTTCAAGAACTTCTACTTGTAGAAAAACAGATTAATCTACGTTTAACACACTGTAATAACAACAGCTTCTCAAACATCCTCCACTGACCTCAGAGTCTCCAGTCTGCAGTCTGGACTTTCCACAAGATCAGACAGCAGCTTCATTCCTGAACCCTGCAGCCTGTGTCCTCTCAGATCCAGCTCTCTCAGGTGTGAGGGGTTGGACTGCAGAGCTGAGGCCAGACAGCTGATCTCTGACAAACCGCAGCCACCCAGTCTGAAAGATTTGATTGAATATTGTCTTTTTTGGAGTTTTGCTAAAATGGGTCTGCACATTTAAGACACAGAAACACCAGCATTGTAGTCTGACCTCAGAGCTTTTAGTCTGCAGTTTGGACTCTTCAAAATATCCGACAGCTGCTTCACTCCTGAATCCTGCAGTTTGTTGATACTCAGGTCCAGCTCTCTCAGATGGGAGAGGTTGGACATCAGAGCTGAGGCCAGAGAAGAACAGCTGATTCCTGATAAACCACAACCACTCAATCTGAAAAAGACATGACATTTGTACTTTGAGGAGTTTAGTTTTAAAATTTTCAAACTAAAGCACATTAATAATAAGCACATTAATTCTCTGCCTCTGAAAATGACATTGTAAAACAAAACATTTCCTCTTGATCAGCTTTAAATACAGTTAAGTCTGACCTAAGAGTCTGCAGCCTGCAGTCTGGGCTCTTCAGAAAATCACACAGCAGCTTCATTCTGTCAGATCTGCAAAATAAGATTGCTCATTATCCTTCAGGTAATTTGACTTAAAATATTAGTCTGTGAGTGTAATGGTCTATCGAGAGCTTTAGTATATCAAGACTGCAAAAAAGAAAAATGAAAAGTGCACACTCCCTAATTCTACAGGATGCACAGAGAAAAAGGTTAAAAATTAGATTTCCTTGAACAATATTCATTTCTACATCCTGTTCAATTAAGTATAAAGGAGTTTTCTTATCAAATTGAGATTTGAAGAATTTAGTGTCTACGTAACAGAAAAGGTATAGAAACCATAGCCCATCTTTGTATGTTACATAAATTCATTCAGTCTGACCTCGAATAATCAACTTTGGCGTTTGAAAACCACGACAGCTTCACTTCTGTGTCACACATTTTGTTGTTGCTCAGGTCCAGCTCTCTCAGATGGGAGGGGTTGGACATCAGAGCTGAGGCCAGAGAAGCACAGCTGGTGCCCGAGAGACTGCAGCCACTCAATCTGAAAGAAAAGAAATTAAGTTCCTCTAGAAGTGTGTCTTATTCTTCTACACTCTAATGATAACTTAAAATACTAATTTTAGAAAAGGATCTCTTTAAATTAGGGTTTACTAATTTTCATAAGTACATAGGGAGTCTGACCTCAGAGTGTCCATTCTGCACTCTGGACTCTTGAAAAAATCACACAGCAGCTCCACTGCTGAATCCTGCAGGCTGTTATCACTCAAGTCCAGCTCTCTCAGGTGGGAGGAGTTTGACTTTAAAGCCAAGGCCAAAAAACTACAGCTAGTCACTGACAATGTGCAACCCTTCAACCTGAAAATCAAAAAACAAACACGTTTTTGGGAAAAATGGCTTGAAACCTCGATGTAAAAATATTATTGTAGAGATGAAAGATAGTATATTACAAAACAACACTTAAAATATCCAAACTTATTTAAAGGGTGCCTTTTGAAAGTTGCACACTTGAGGAGTAATATGGACTTTTCTGTTATTAAAATCTGAAACCTTCAAAAAATAGTACAGTGAGTTTTTGAAGCTCACCAATTATCACACTCAGAACAATATTTTTGAATTTGTCATATCTATTTTTACTGTGAAAAATAAATAAAAGATATCCCAACTTTAAACTTAATTGTCACAAAATTTTAATCCTAGCTATAAATGATGTGATTAGCTAAGATAAATAACAGCTACCCAGCATAAGTGAAAATGTAGGGAGTCTTAAGTAATCGAGGGATGGGCAAAGTGGAAGCCTGATGTTACAATCGTACCGTTCTGCATTGTTAGGTAATAAATTGTTAAAATATTGAGAATCTTTTTTTTTTTTATAAATCAAGAAAGACAGATAATTATTACAAATTAAAGAGACAAAGGACCAAATTTGAAGTTAAAAAACATTAAAAAAAACAACTTGTAGCCACGATTAGACCAAAGCTTACAACAGAATTAATGCACCTTATTGACAACAACACATCAAGCAGATTGCTGCCATAGAAACGGCACAAAAGTAAACTTTTCATCATTTAACTTCTGAATTAATTTAGAGTCTGACCTCAAAGACTTCAGTTTGCAGTTTGGGCCCTCTAGAAAATCCGACAGCAGCTTCACTCCTGAATCATGCAGCCTGTTCACACTCAGGTCCAGACCTCTTAGATGGGATGGGTTGGACTTCAGAGCTGAGGCCAGGGAAAGAAAGTCACTCTCTGACAATCTGCAGTGAATTAATCTGAAAAATAAGATGAAACTGTTCATCTCTGTTTGTCTAAAACATTCAGTGTTTCTATTTGGTGTTGAGGTTAATTCTTTCAAAGTAAAACTAGAAAGCTTGAAGACCCAAACACCCAAACTCGTCAGTATGCAGGTAGAAAATAACCTATAATCAAGAAACTGGCGAGCATACTAGCTTAATGAGGAACATTATTAATGAGATTATCTTGCAAGGAAAATCAGAACACAATCAACTGGTCAATCAAAGTGAGGTTAAATTATTAATAATCATTAAATTCTTGATCCTTCTGTCTGTGGCCAGTTGATCTCTGTGACATGTTGATTTTAACACAGAAGGTCTTTTGGTGAAGGTAACACTTATTTGTTGTGCACACTAACAAAGCTGAAGTTTGTCATACGGAACAAAGCAACAAGAAATTCAGCCAGTTTTACCATAAGGCACCTACACGATCATTTAAAGGTAGAAGTAAAAAGTCGATAACTTTTACAAGTGCCTCTATTAAAATGTGCAGATGTTTTGCGTTGACACCACCACAGCTAAGGCAGCTTGTTAACTTCTGGTTGTTCATGGGATTGGTCTATAATTCAACATATAATTATTTGGGGGGGAGGGGGCTTACCTCAGAGTCTTCAGTCTGCATTTTGGATTCATCAGAAGACCACACAGCAGCTTCACTTCTGATTCCTGTACCTTGTTTTGTATCAGGTCCAATTCTCTCAGATGGGAGGGGTTGGACATCAAAGCTGACGCCAGAGAAGTACAGCTGATCCCAGAGGAGCTGCTGTCACCCTCCCTGACAAGAGAATGCATACTAGATCAGTTTTGGCTTCTCTTGTACAATCCAATAAGTGGACTCCTTTTATTACACCACAATTTGAGTCTTTAGCATTAAACAAAACATGGAACTTGCCTCCAAGTCTGTGCAATGCCATCCTAAAATACAAAATTTTGAGTATGGTTCCCTATGATGATAAAAAGTAAAAGAGTGGAGCGGAGCAGAAGGAGGGGAGTGGAGAACAGGGAGAGGACGAGGAGGAAGAGAGAGGAGAACAGGGAGAGGACGAGGAGGAGAACTCACGGTAACAGCGAGTCAACGAGGCGGGAAAAACTCAGGCTAACGTCTCCCGCTCTGCTAACACGGCTAACTAGCTACCAAACATTTAACAGACCTTACACCAAACCTTACATCTAAAGTTAAAGAGTTTGTCAAACTTTGCTATCAGCTCCACTTACCGCCGTCTTGTTTTCTCCTTATTTCTTTCTCTTTCTCTCTTTTCTCCTGATAAGTCGCTCCACTTAACGGCTGATTTAAGTTACTTTGATTGACACACTTCAGTAAAGATGGACGTTGGTCACATAGCAGTGCGGCAGGGATGACATGGGGCCCCTTTAGGGGGGTATCCGTCTAAGCTGTCACTGCAATTTGACCACTAGTTGTTTAATTTCAGGACATTTTTGTGGAGTAAGGTTCGTCAGCCCTTGGGGGCTCCCTAGTGGCCTGGGGTAGTGTTGTGTCGCTCGTGAACGATTCGTTCAAAAGAACCGAATCTTTTTAGTGAACGTACTGAGCCGAATCTCGAGTGATTCTGAAGTGAGAAACGAAGAAACAAATTAAAGAGAATTAAAAAGAAACAGCATTGCCAGTCAAGCAGCCGGTGAATGAGAGCACTTTGTCAACTTTTGTTTTTAAAAGTGACATAAAAATGAAGTTATTATTAAAAATAAAAAGTTATTATTTGCTTTGGGTCTTTATTTTGATGAGCTGTTTGAGTTCCATGTTCCTACTGCCTCCATGATCAGGTTTGGGTCAGCAATCCAATAATGATGGAGAAGACTAACTGGAGAGTAGAGGACTGAAGAGGAGCACCATCTGCTGTAGACTCACAATTCAAAACTACAATATCCTGTTTTAGTTTGTAAGTTTGATGTTGAGGCGATGAGCAGACATCACTCTGATTGGTCTGTTCTGGATATTAACAGTGTGATCTGTAGACCTGCTCTTTCACTGCATGTCCTGATAGACTCTCTCTGTAATTAGAGGCTTCAGCATCAGGAAAATCAGGCTTCTTCAACACACTCCACAGTTTATCATCACAACACCCAAACAAGAACAAACAGAGCCATCACCCTGTGTCTTTTATAGTTTAGTAAAACTGATTTACGGCCAAGTGCCAAGCATAGTATTGTCAGCACAGGAATATGGATAACCAGGTTCTCTATGTGTATTTGAAGGTTATATCCTGAGTACGATCAAAACCAGGATGGGACTCATAACCGAAAACTTCAGTCCGTGTAGACGCACCCATGAGGAGGTTTCAGCTCATGATAATGTACAGTGAAGACGTTAAAGGGATATTCCAGCGTAAAATTAATTTAGGGTAATATTACAGACTACAGCGGGGTGACACAGCTCAAGGAAGAACATTTATGATCATTTCTTTATCATTTCCTTGAAGTAATAATCACCATATTAATCATTTTACAGACGCTGTAGTTCTTCTGTCTTAGCGTCTCGGTCTGATTGTATTTCCATGAAGTAATGATCATAAATGTTCTTCCTTGAGCTGCGGCACCCCGCTGTAGTCTGTAATGGACTGGCCTGAGGTCTCTCTACAAACAAGCGGCTGCTGGAAGAGAGTAGGTGAGTTGTGTTTAGTCTCTCTGCTAAAGTTAAAAAGATGTTTGGTGTCTAGTACTATGTCTGTGACCCTATATGTCCTGTTGATGAAGTTAGGTGCTGTTCTGAGCATTATTTGTGGCTATAGAGTGGCGTTTTGGTTGGGGGCGTGGCTCTCTGTATTTCTATCCTGCGGTCGTTACTAAAGTTGGTATAACTAGAGAAGCAAGCGGTCGACAACATTCATCTCTGGAGGGGGGGTCTAACTCGGTGTTACGGTGGGTTTGACCCTAAATTAAAGTACGGTGGAATATCCCTTTAATCAAACAGAAAAGAAGTCCTTACCCAGCACCGTCCTCTTCTTCCTCTAAACAGCCACTCATCTTCAGCCTGAGGGACAAAACATAAACACTCACTGTGAGAGTGAGTCCAGGACAGAAGGATCAGGAAAAACCAGTTCGCTCTACGATCCTGCCTCAGACTGAGAGAGCAGGAGACAGCCTGACACAGACAGAATCACAGCAGGGAGACCTCCTGCAGCCCTGTGTGAGTCCAGCTGTGGACTTGAACCTCTCTCTGTGGTGGTACAGAGAGACGATATAAAGGCTGAAGACATGAGCTCAAAAATGCTGGACCAACACTCACCTCTTCGTCTGTTGACTCCAAACACTCCGACTGACACAGGTCTCCTACCTGTCGTCACTGAGCTGGATCACATGGGCGGTGTTGCTCCTCCTTCCTTCATTGACAGGAAACCAGCAGCTTTACCCTCACAGAGAGTGAGAGAGTGTGTGTAGATACTAGATTGTTATTATTCCTGCATTTTACTCAAAGTGGTGACAGTTTTCTTTGGACAGCTGTTCTGAAATCTAGAGGTTTTTAAAGGACAGGGACAGAAAATCAACTTTCTCCGATAACGTTAGTTAAATATTTCGTTATAAGACAGACGACATCTGATCGAACAGCTAAGTCATTGAATATGGTTCAATATTTAAGCAGTCGTCTGAAAACAGGTTGATCCGTGGACTCTCTCCTGATCTAAAGTCGAGTTTTTCTAATCTGAACCATTGGTCTCCTCTTCCCTGTTGTTTGTACTCAGGTGTTTGAGTTAATCCTCATGGACTGATTATTTGGGACTCACCTACATGTGTTCGTGTTCGATGGACTCATGCAGGTGAGTCTTCATGGAGACCGGCTGCTGAACTATCATGAGTTCAGGTTAAGGGTCAGATGGCGACATGTCGGCTCATAACAATCACGTTGTCTTAAGATTGAGATTTCAATCAGACTTCGTGTTTTTTTAAAAAAGTCCAGTTTCAGTGGGCCGATAGCACCAAATGTTTTTTTATACAACCTTCTGAGTTACACCCTCACATTTCAGCCGAATTAATAAACTAATAAACTAATAAACTAATAAAATAAACGAGAGCTGACCAGGGGCCGACTGAGCAGAGCACATTTAAACACACTCATATTTGGGTTTAAAGGTGAACTGTGCAGCTCTTTTTGTAATTCGTGAACAGGAACGTGAGTCTGGGTCATCCCGGAGTCAGTGCATGGACCCTCTTTTTCTGGGCTGATCAAACAGGTCCCAACAGTTGCTGAAAGTTTCTGAGAATTGTGTGACGTGGCAACAAATGCAGCTCACAGAACAGACAACAGACCTGGAGCTGGACAACAACGTCATCATCGAGATTTATTTTCAAAGTCAGTTTATCCAACAGAGGATATTTAAATTAGTTTACAGACAGAAGCAGACTTTTCTAAACAGATTTGTTTCATTTTCCACCCAAAATCAAAACAGAGAAATCACAAATTCTCTTTGAAAGTCACAACTACTCTAATACAGCCAGTCTATTTCATCATCCCAGCCCACCGTTACTCTGCTTTAGACTAAATCCAGCTTTTTAGAAAGGTACTGATCCACCTCACAGAGAGCATTGATCAGAACCAAACTGGCTTCAGTACCTTTCGCTCGCACTGCGTCGATCAGAACTCTGGCTTTATCTGCTCTGATTTTTGACCTGAGTGACTCCATCTCATTATTATTTATAACCTCATGCTTTAAGAGGACATCCAGAAGATCGTTCAGGACAGGATCAGACACACTGTCCACAAACCGTTTCCGCGCTAACTTCAGCTTCTCCTCTGCTGTGACCTCTTCTTGTGCAGGAATGTTGACCGCTGCTGAGACCCTGAAACCATCATTGGCCTCCTGCTGCTGCTCATCGACAATCCTGTAGAAACAACCATGAAAAACTTGAAGACATTGTTCCTTCATGATCTAACTCTAAATGTTTATGATATATGATATGATATAAAACAAGAAGACCACAAACAACTGCTGACTGTCATTTTCTGAGCCAGAACCACTTTTCATCTGCTTAAAGGGAACCTTCCCAAACGGACCAGTAAGGTTCTATCTGATCTAATCACAGGAGTTCACCAATCACATGAAGATGCTTTTGAGGTTTGTATGGTAATATCAAGAGACTCGTCCGGTTTATCACTTCAGTCTTTTCTTTGTTCGGACGCCTGGGCGACTCTGAATATTTGATGGAGTACAGACATCTTATTTGTGTTCACCATTTCTTTTACTACATCAACTTTCTTATGTTCCACACTTACTTCAGGGTCAGTTCGCGGTCTGGACGCCTCAGATAGTCCTGCAGGTGTCTCGCTGCTGAATCCTGCAGTTTGCCGACGGACAGATAGCTGGGGTTCCTTTTCAGAATTGGTTCCAAACAAGCAAGGCTGAGCCCTGAGCAACTTTTGTCCTTTACACTGAAAAATAGGATGAAATATTGGAGTAGATTAAGATAACATTATAGATAGAGGATGCAGATAAGCAAGGGCGTACGTAAACATTTATCAGTACAAAAGTTCCCTTTGTTATTGTTAGTTTCTAAACTGGACTCAAAGGTTCTTCATCAAAAAAGAGAGAGAAAACAGGAAAAGAGACTCTGAACACCACCCAGAAAAACAGCGTATACTTTCTTATAAATCAGGAGTCTAACCTCAAACTCTCCAGATGGCAGTTTGGATTACCCAGAAGCTCACAGAGCAGCTTCCTTCCCGACTCTTCGAGATACTCACAGTTCACATCCAGCTCTCTCAGAGGGGAGCGGTTGGATATCAGAGCTGAGGCCAGAGAAGCACAGCTGATCTCTGATAAACTGGAGGTGCTCAATCTGAGTTTGAAGAGAAGCAAAGTGAAGAAGGTAAAAGACTTAAAGAAAATCCGAAAAACTTCAAAATACCGTAACTGAAACAAAGTTTACCAAGGGTTTTCATGTGAAATGAATATATTCAAACTGAAGCTTAGCTCTCTGCAGTGGAAAGTAGGAAGTCTTACTTCAGGGTCTCCAGTCTGCATTCAGGATTCCCCAGAAAATCACACAGTAGCTCTATTTCTGAATCCTGCATGTTTTTTACTCTCAGCTCCAGCTTTCTCAGAGGGTGGGGACTGGATATTAGAGCTGAGGCCAGGGAAGAATAGCTGGCCTCTGACAAACTGTAGTCGATCAACCTGTAAAGAAATATTGTTAATCCAGAGGTGTGTGCAAGTGTCTGTTATGAACTAAGGCAGAAAAAAAACATGCATATCATCTGCCCACTGACGGTTAAAACAAAACTGAGAATTAAAAACAGCTCTCACTAAGTCTTATCTAAATACAATCAAACTGTGAGAGTTTTTCACTGAGGTTGAACAATTCTCTGACCCTCAAAAAGCCACCTTTCTGACCTCAGAGTGTCCAGCCTGCACTCCGGACTCTTCAGAAAATCACACAGCAGCTCCACATCTGAACCCTGCAGACTCAGGTCCAGCTCTTTCAGATGGGAGGGGTTGTTTTTCAGAACTGAGGCCAGAGAAGGTGGGGTCGGCAGGATTCTGTTAAAGAAACATCTTTTTATTTTGTGGTTTATTTACAAAAAATCTTCTAATATCAGTCAATAGTTATTAGTTATTGATTATTTGGTAATATATCGATATCTCTGTGTTCTCTTATGTCTGTGTCGTCAACATTTGAACATTTTTGAGCGGTCCGCTCTTTCTGACTGTAAACAAAGCCGTTCTCCACCTCCTCTAACCTGATTGGTTGTGAGGCAGACGCTGCTCCCCCGTGTCGTTCAGGAGCCCAAACAAAGTTAGCGTGCTACAATATCGGACAGTAGAAACCAACCAGAAAGTTCGGAAAATTGTCTGAATCCTCCTTTGGCCACGACTGCCGACACAAGCAAGAAAACAAAGTAAATACCGGAGACTCTGGAGGAATAACGGGCGCTTAAAACGGAGGTAGAGCGGACAAGAGCTAAAAAGCCGGGTCAACATAAACGATGGGGGACGCTTGGGGATCTTGGTGACCCTGTAACCCCAACATCAAAAAGTAATAATAATAATGTTGACTATAACTATAATGTGCACCAATAAGACACACCTCTTTATTTCCCTAATTTGTCCTTATACATTTTTGTGTTAAATTTAAAGACAAATTCTAAACATTTTCTTTAATAGCTTCACTGTCATGTGACCAAGAGACCTAAAATTGATTTCAAATAATCGTACTTATGTCGACCAATAAAACAAAAATGATCTGATCATTGTGCCCCTAAAGTTCTTTGTGTGCTCTTTACTTTTTTAACTGAGGAGAACATGTGAAAAAGTTAGAGTCAAGCCCTGAAAAAGTCTTTAGTATTAAAGACATTTTATTAAATTAAGGTCGTGCCACAAAGACTCTGAAACTGTATCTATGAGGACTAACTACGGCCCCCATCCCTGACTAAGAGTCGGTAAAGACTGAAATGATGAACACTGAAGATATCAGACACATTAAATCTGAGATGTTCATCATAAAACTCAACGAGGGCTCTCTTACTCTGACTGGTCACTCTCACTGTCCTGATCTCTGGGATCAGGTCTCCGCTCCTTCCCCTCCGAGTTTCCCATGTTCTGGTCGGGAAGTACAAAAATAAAAACACTCACTGTGAGAGAAAGAGATCAGGAAAAAACTGCTTAGAGGTCCCACCCAAGATTTAGAGGGCAGGAAGGAAGGGTGCGCGCACACACACACACACACACACACACACACACACACACACACACACACACACACACACACACACACACACACACACACACACTCAGAGCTCCTTTCCTGATCTTGGTCCACTTCAAAGTTTCTCTCACACCAACAACAACTAAACAAAGACTTCAGGAGTGAAATGACAAACTTCTGGACTCAGACTCACCTTCTCTCAGACTTCAGTTTCCTGCTAAAACCAGAGGCTGCAGTCGGGTTTCGGAGCCCTCTGGGTCACATGGTCGTGGTGTGGCTCCTCCCCGCTCTTATCTTTGTTTGAAGCTTGTTCAGATATTTGTGTGTTTATCTGGCAAAGTTCATTAAAGTGTGTTTGGGTCTGAACAGAGTGATTCACAGTAAAACACGTTGGTCGCAGACAGTTTTCGATTTGACGAACGATCTCTTCTGTTCAAATGTAACTGAATAAACTCGATGAAATCTTCCTGTTTACAGACTTAGTGCCAGTCATGTCCTTTAGAGTAATTAAAGTGTGTAAGGCCACAGTGGCTGAACAGTTTTCCACCAATGGGATGACGCCACATCATTGAGCTCATTTTTTCAGACTCTCTGACCCAAACACTCGGTTCCAGCGGACTCCCTGCTGAGACATTTTCCTAAACTTTACTTTGTCGTTGGAGAACACATTTGTTTTTGCACTATTTGCAGACACATCATGTCAGTCATCATACTCGCTTCCTGCCTCAGTCAGTATCGCTGCAAGTACAGGCCACAGCCTGACCAGACTGTTGAACTGGGCTGCTGTCTTTGTCCCAGTTTACAAGCACTGGGTAAGAATGGAGTAATTTACAGCACGATGTCCACCTCTGCTATGGTAGGTGGCAAATCCCCTGTTCAGCTTTTTACCATCAATAGTGTCCCAGTTGATGGACCACATATCAAAACAGCCGACATAAGGGGTCATGAAGAGGCTAACAGGACGCCACTTTCACAGCGGTGAGCTGTTTGTTCAGTTTGACCTTTTTCACGTCCTTTCTTCTTCTTCTGTCTATCTGCTGGCTTCATCCATGTTATCCAACCACTGGGTTAGAGCCTGGTGTGTGGACACTACAGTATTCACACTACGCTTTGGCCAGTTTCAACATGACAGAGAAAACCAGTCTCCAACCGCATCATCCAGGCACTTTTGTCCAGCTACGAGAAGTTCATTTCCAGTGGGACTGACATGTTTGGATTTTAAAGGCCAGTTTGTGTCACACTGAGCCAATAAAAACATTTTGAAGTGCATGTAAATGTACTGAGTAGTAAAGTCAGTCATCTCTCGATCATAAGGTTGGGGGTTCGATCCCAGGTCCTGCCGTCCACACGCAAAGCCGATTCTAGAGTGTTCCAGGGCCTCAAGTAAAAATTCTCGTGGCCCCCCTGACAAGTGTTAAACATATAAATGATCTGAAACCAACAAAAGAGGTCAGAAACAGAAACTTTTTAAAAACAATTATCATTATTACTACAGAACTTGAAAATTGTGCTCTAAAATAGCTACAGCTCTGGTATGTTTTTACCTCAATAGCCAGTACCTCACCTTTGTCCAAATATTTACACACTGTCTAAATCTAGATCTGAATTTCAAAGCATTAACAGTGGAAGAGTTTGGCTACTGAAGACACAACTTTCATTAACAGCAATTCATTGACAGTAAAAGCTGTTGTCTCCCTTACCAGTGTTCTAGTTACTCTGGTGAATTTTCACTATTGTACCTTACAGGCACACTTTCTCTCTGCCGGCTAACCTCACAGCACAGTGCAGGTGTGTGAACTAGGGATGCACCAATCCGATATTGGATCGGATCGGATCCGATCCGATATTGACAAATTACCTGGATCTGATATCTGATGAATGATGCCGATCCAGTGATCCGGCCCCATCTTTTTTTTTTATTTATTCATATCATATACAGCAACACAGCAATTCTTTTGATTCTTTTGCACTAAATCAGGGCTGCACTGTATGTAGTTTGAGCATTATTGTGTGCACAACAGTCACATTGCAAAGCCTGAGATCTAATTTCAGAGGTAGCTGACTGAGATGCACTGACATGTGACTCTGCCTGTGCAGGGATCCACCAATCACATTCGTTCTTCACTCAGATACCAGCCGTCAATCAAAATCAGAGGGTAGGAAACCACGCCCCTGCACATGGCCTGCACATGGAGTGTCTCGCTGTAGCTGCCGGTGCCGTGCCGAGAAACGCGTGTCCGCCTAAAATTACGTTGGGAACATCCCTCGCCCCACAGATACGAACAGTATGGGTTTGAAATCGTACATTTTCGTGGACCACTCTGCTATAAGCGGTTTTTGAAAGGTGAATGCAATTTGCACAACACCGTTAACAACATTAACGACTGTAAAATAAGCAACGAACAAGAGAAAACCGCCGAAGATGAAGACTTGCCGGTAAAAAGAACAGCAACGTCACTTGGCGCCAAAGATCAATACATGTTGGTAAAAAGAACAAACACGTCACTTACTTTGGAATTATTTCGGTTACGAGAATGACGTCACCAAGCACCTGTTCTGTGTCAGCAGTGCCTTTCATCTGTTATCACAAGGAGAGAAGTCCCAGCACAATAAAAGCTAAAATATCTCAGAGACAGACAGGCAGACAGACAGAAGCCGTTCTACTAACATTCACAAAAGAAGGAAGATTTATTAATTTACCTTTTTTCAAGAAGGCTCACGTCAAGCCTGATGCCTTCTCTCACAGGGCAAGATATACAGTTCATTCATTCAACAGCAGTATTGATCGGTATCGAATATCGGCAGATACGCTCAGCCCAGGTACCGGTATCAGATTGGATCAGAAAAAAATGGATCAGTGCATCTCTAGTTTGGCTAACAGACAAATTCCTCTCTGGGACTTGAGGCTGATTTTTATCAGACTTGTCCGACGGAGCATCCAGCTGATGAACAAACTCTGAGACACAGTCTGAGCTTTGACCAGTGCACTTTATTCAACTTGACACTGAATATTCCCCAAAGTCTCTGTATAATGCTCTGACGGTATCTGTCGTCTCGTGTGGCTGGTCATGTCTTAGTGGTTTATGTGTTTATAAGTTTTATTTATTTGTACAAAAGTCCTAAAATGAAAATAAAACAGCACCTGACCATTAACAATTCACACCGCCTTTCTCTGTTTCAGAAACTCTGAGGGTTTGGCATGGTGTTTGCTGAGGGTCACCACCTGAGGCCTGTTCTACGAAGCTGGATTTGATCTTAGCGAGATAACTTCTCGAATAACTCCTGGGTTTTCTGTACAACGATGGTGGATTTCTTTGTATCTGGGTTCGTTGCCTCCGGAGCAGGTTATGTTTCAGGATTAGATCTCAGCAGGTATAAAAGACCACCTTACTTCACCTTAAAAACTTTATTTAAACTACAGATTGATTCAGAAACATCATTATTTTTATTATTATTAATCAAATTACTCATGATTATTTATTGATTTATTAACAAGAAGCCTACACATTATGGACAATAAACTTAAGCGTTTTTATACAGCGTACAATTTCAACACAGAGATATTGACATTCATTTAAACCTTTTAGAACTACGTTGCAGTTTTACAATTTAGCTGTAGTAGGAACCTTTAATCATGAAACTGGGCACCATTCTCTTGAAAGTGTATGGCTGGTGATAAACTGAAGCGCACTTTCTGCCTGTAGCGAGCTCGCTGATGCTGAAGCTGTCAAACAAGTCGAAACTGCCGCAAATCGCAAGGGGCAATAAATCGCCGAGGTGTCGCAAAGATGGCTAGTAGAGGAAGTGACATACATTTCGCACATGTGCAGTACAAATCGGGTTTCTGGGATGGATCAGGTAGCGACACCGCCCACTGACCAATCAGATCTCTTAGAAAATGTCTTTCCCACTTTTGCCGGATCCCGTGGACATCGGTGCACGGATAGGGAGAGGAGTGCGTCGCCAAGAGCGTTATTTTAGTGATCGTTCAAATCCGTTTGATTCACCTGATGACGTTCTCTATGAACGTTACAGATTGTCCTCAGACGGCCTCAATGTTCAGGTAGCATGACGTCTAAGCGATGCACTAATTTTTGCCAAGCTCCAGTTTCATGCAGCGTCATCATTTATAATTTATTGAAGCAGATTAGAAAACTCTTCGTAGTACAGCTGATCGGGATTACAGAGATCTGGTGAAGTTGAGCGAGTCGTGGCAGAGTTATCCTGGGTGTGTTAATCCAGCTTTGTGGTACAGGCCTCTGGTGGCGTGTTTTTCAAAAGGTTATACTGACAGTATTTGTTCACGGTGGATGAAAACCTGAAACTTCGCTCCCCTTCACTGCTTCAGTTTTGAACTTAATCAGGAGTGCTGGTGACTTTATAAAATTCCCGTACGGTTACAACAACAGTCCGTGACTTCATCAGGACATGCTGCTCTACGTCGCTTTTGCTTTACATTAGATTCAGATGTTTGGAGAGGAACGGATCCACCTCACGGAGAGCATCGATCAGAACTGAGCTGGCTGCAGCTCCCTTACGTTGCACCACATCAAGCAGATATCGTGCTTTTTCTGCTCTGGTGTTTGTCTGGATAAACTCCGTCTCATAAAGATTTAAAACCTCTTTCTCCACAAGCGTATCCACAAGGTTATTCAGAACAGGATCTGACACTTGTGTTACAAACTGGGCTCTAATTCTCCTCAGCTCTTGGTCTGGGTCCATGTGCTCCACCGTGTCCGGTCTTCGGGAAGTCTTCTGTCGAGTCTTTTCTCCTGGACCTGGAAAGTCATTATCATCAGTCATTGTCATTACAGAGAGTTTGACCTAAACAGCTCAGTATGGATATTTGACACTGTCGGTTCTCTGGGTAATGCCCAGGCTTCAGATCATGTACATGTACAATGTCAGGGTGAATCTGGTCATACCTGGCACATAAATGTGCTGTTTCCAGACTTCCCTCTGGTCTTGGTCCTGGACTGTCAGAGTCACTTCGTGTGAGTCCGAAGTCAGGAGAACTTCAAATGTCGGGTAGAAATTCGGTCCATGATTTTGAAAAAATTCAGCTTGCTGGAAAAAAAGTAAAAGTCACTAAACAACCATCAATGAAATGTTGTCGTCTCAGACTTCATGGTTTTAACACGCCATCACATTGAAAGGAGATGAAATCCTCTCACCTCAGGTTGTGTTATGCCCCCAGGTTCACAGATGACGCTGTATCTTTGATCGGGGTAAAGAAGACAGTGAGAAGAGGTCTCGATGAACTCAGAATCTCCCTGCTGTTCAATAACCTACAGACAGAGTCAAGTTAGGTTTTAGTTTGGTATTATAATCTTATGACAACATTTAGGCCGAGCATCCCTGATGGTCTGGGGATCATCAGAGTCCATGTCATGGGTATCTTCCACATATGTGAAGCCATTAATAACAATGACAAACCACATTCTGACAACCAGGATTACAACAGCATGGCTCTGTAGGAGAAGAGTCCTGCTGAAGAACTGGACTGGTTCCTGCAAACTTTTAGCGTATGGTAAAAAGTGTCAATATTGAAGAACTGGCTGATTTTTGCAGTGAAGTTAGTTTGCACAGAAAGGACCCAGTCTGTAAGCCACACATCCACAGTGACCAAGATCAGGAGAGAGCTACCATGTGTTTAGTTCACTTGCAGCATGAAAAATTGACTGTCTGTTAGTTAAAGTAGCACTTTCAAGAAGAGGTTGGAGAGCAGGGTTGGGCATCATTTAAATTCAAACAATTTCCGATTCTGATTCCAGTTCCTAACGATTCTCTATTCTGATTCTTTTATAAGGCAGGATTTTAAAAAATGCATGGTTTCAATGAGGGCGCTAACCAGAGTTCTTTTGGGTGAAATGCCTAAACTTCTCCGTGAATTTTCAAATGATATGAATTTTTTAAGAACTTTATGATAAATTTCACACAGGGCTATTTTCAACCGATATATATAAATGTATATATAAATACCAATCTTTGTTGTCAGGTCATTTGTCTATGAAAAAGAACACGGGCTAACGTTAGTTGGATATTTAAGTTGACCCATCCTATACAGTACAATTTGTTTACTGCGTCAATGTTAGCAGAAGACAGACGTAATTTATTGATTTACTTATCTGATTCTAAATGGTTAGAAAAAGACTGGCGCAGGGCGTCACAGAGAGGGTACTCAGTTATTTTACTCCATGAATCCGGAGGTGTTTAAAAGGGTGGCCATAGGGTGGTAGCGTGTAGTTTATCTTCACATCACAGACCATTGTATTTACCATACATGTTCAATGGTTCATGTGGAAACAAACTCTGAGAGGCCGAACCCTGGAACATGTATTAATTCATTATAAAACAGTGCAGCGCATCAGTGCTCTTTGCTGCTCTGCTCAGTTCTAAGCAAAGCCACTGAAGCGATGCACGCATTGTCTGCCGGTGAGCAAAAGAAAAGGGAGAAATATTTGTATGTGACTGATAATTTTGTTGAAGTGAGTTGCTTTAGATAAATGAATATATTGTTTATAACCACAACGCACAGAGAATGCCGAGGGGGGTAATGCATGCCCTGAAAAAAAAATTTATGCGGGCACTTGGAACCGAAAAAAAGAACTGAAATACAAAATCTGCTTAATGATTCTGGAACTGGATGTTAGGAACCAGTTCCAAATAGGAACTAATTCTTGGTACCCAACCCTATTGGTGAGTACCTTCAAACAAAACCTAACACAAAATCTTGGCTGTCTTTGTGGACCAAAAATCAACATGTATCTTCTGTTATCTGGTCACATGTGGACAGTTTGGTGCAAAAAGTGTAAATGCAGCCACCTCTGGATGATGGTGTACAAGTACAAAACGTGGCTTTACCTCTGTCAGAGCAATGTTGCGTGGCAGCAGAAACACATCGAGCACCCGGTATCTTCTTTTTGAGGGTCGGAGAAACAGCAGGACTTGGGCTCTTATTGACATCAACATCTTAAGAAAACCCCAAATCTTACTAAATAAACAGAAATCACAAAACTCTCAATAGACTCTGGAGCAGAGTCAACATTTTTGGAGAACCTGTGGACAGAGATTCAGTGCCTGCTGAGCTGTAAGTTTACCAAGTCATACTGAGCTAAAGAAGCAAAGTTCAGCAGAATCCAAAATGAGCCCTCTTTTATAAACAAGAGGGATTTTAACTGTCTCAATGAAAAATGAAAAATGTCACTGTACGCTAAACCAGAAAGTCTAAAACATTGGTGGACCCTCCCGGAGTTAACCTATCACCTTATTTTAAGTTTAAAAGATTACCTATATGTCGACCCGGTCTTTTCAGGTGTGAAGAGGGAAGGTGCCTGCAAACAAGAGAGGAGGAGTGTTTTTACTGAAAATGATTTCTCTGACCCTTTTTCACTCGTGATATTCTCCACTCACACCATTATATTCAAGTCCTTTTGAGAAAAAGACATCACTGGAGTTACAGTGTAAGGCTACACAGAGGGACAAACTTCATCATTTAATGGTAGGGTCCCCAAAAAGCCAAAGCGTGGTTCGTAGTAAAGGTTCTGGTTTCTCAGAGCTGGAAATGTTTGTTTACAGCTTCAAGCTGCTTCTTTTTTTTTTTTTTTACCTTTTCCTCCTCATCACGGACATCCTGTGGGACGACGCAGTCTTCTGATAAAGAGAGGAAGTACTGAGACTTCAGAGCTACAACAGAAAAGAAATTGAGTTTGATAAGGACCACCAGCTTCAGAAAACCAGATATCTATGCAGTGGCTCATTAACTGTTTGTTCACCCCATTACTAACCTTTTTTGTCGGGGTCAGCTTCCACCAACCTTCCTGCAACCCTGAGATAATCATGACACAAAAGTGATGGATGTAAGTTGAATTGTTTGTTCTTTGAGTCAACCGACATAAACCAACAGATCTAATTATTTGAAACTGATCAAACCTTGATAACAAAACTACAGGTTGACCATTATTTAACCTCAGTGGAACTAAAGAAGGACCTTCTCTGAAGTCTAACGCTGAATAAAAAAAGGATTCATCAAGAACGATGGTTCAAGAGTCTTCGCTGACCTGACCCTGAGTATGAGACGAATAAAACAAAGAGAGGAATCTGTACCACTGATTAAAGCTTGGCTGGACTGGGCCCCGGACAGTGGTTCTTCAGCAGAAACACAGAGCCCAATTCATGTTTTACTGCCTTTACTATCAGAGGGGCCTCTGAACACCTGACCCTTGTTCCTCAAAGTCTTGCTGGTTAGTTTCACAGATGCTTCAGGGAAACCCTTGACCGATTATCTTCATGTAACACTTAGTAAACAACCTCACATTTCTTATATCCTTCTCTCACCACAGAGTCTCCAGTCTGCAGTTTGGACTCTCAACAAGGTCAGACATCTTTTTCACTTCTGAACCCTGAAGTTTGTTGTTGCTTAGCTGCAGCTCTTTAAGACGGGAGGGGTTGGACTCCAGAGCTAAGGCCAGAGAAGAACAGCTGATCTCTGACAAACTGCAGCCATTCAATCTGAAAAATAAGATCACAAAGATTTAAAACAATTATTTTCTATTGATTTGAGTATAACAGTCCTGCGTTTAACTGCCTATTGAAAGCTTAGGTGGATAATAAAATATTATTCACTCAGGATCAAAGTACATTTGAACTCTGACCTCAGAGTCTCCAGTTTACAGTTTGGACTCTCCAGAAAATCACACAGCAGCTTCACTCCAGAATCCTGCAGCTCGTTGGAGCTCAGTTCCAGCTCTTTCAGATATGAGGGCGTAGACTTCAAAGCCAAGGCCAGGGAAGAACAGCTGATCTCTGACAAACTGCAGCAACTCAATCTGAAATATAAGATAGATATCGTCCTGCCCTGAGTTTTGTTAAAAATAATAATCGTCTGTTTGGAGATGAAATGGATTCATCATTTAAAACTGACTGGATTACACTGGAAAGCTCAACTCAACAGACTCCATGTGTAAGACATTACAGTTCAAAAGGACTTTCGTAAGTTTGGTTTGTAACACTCTATTACAGATTCAAATTAAAGGTTTTCTTGTAATGGTCATATAATTAAAATATACACTTATTAAGAGTCAGATTAGAAGTAAAGTATTAGTCTGACCTCAGAGTCTCCAGTCTCCAGTCTGGACCCTCAAGAAAACCACACAGACGCTCCACTCCTGAGTCCTGCAGCTCGTTGTAACTCAGTTCCAGCTCTTTTAAATAAGAGGGGTTGGACTTCAGAGCTGAGGCCAGAGAGGAACAGCTGATCTCTGACAGACCGCAGAGACGTAATCTGAAAAAAAAAGATTAAAAATGATTGGTTAAGGAGTTCCTTTCTAATTGTAGCTAGTCCTTAATTGATCTTAATGAGCTAAAAAAATGTAAATGAAAATTTTGTACCACTATGTAACAGGGTACAGTTGAAACAAAAGAAAGGGAGGAAAGTAATTACTAATCACATCAAAATATACTGAGACTCCAGTCCTTTGATGACTTTTGATAAGTAGGAAGTCTTACTTCAGGGTCTCCAGTCTGCATTCAGGACTCTCCAGAAAATCACATAGTAGCTTCAGTCCTGAATCCTGGAGTTCGTTAGAGCTCAGTTCCAGCTCTCTCAAATAGGAGGGGTTGGCCTTTAGTGCTGAGGCCAGAGAAGAACAGCTAACCTCTAACAAACTGCAGCTGATCAACCTGACAAAAGAGTTAGATATTCTAGTATTTCTTGACGCTGTTACCATATCAAATTCCAGTGAGGGGTATTCGGTTGTTTTGGCAAACAAGAGAATGCACTTTTTTATCGATTAACATGTAAGCAAACTTGTGACTCTGACCTTAGAGTCTCGAGTCTGCAGTCTGGACTCTCCAGGAAGTCAGACAGCAGCTTCAGTCCTGAATCTTGCAGTTCATTGGAGCTCAGCTCAAGCTCTCTTAAATAGGAGGGGTTTTGCTTGAAAGCTTGGACCAGAGAAGAACAGCTGTCCTCTGACAGACTGCAGCCACTCAACCTGAAAATAGAAAACGTTTTTTTTTCTTTAAAGCTGACACTCAACGTTAGAGATAAATACAGATAAGAGTGAAAAATACTTGTCAGACAAACACCTCAGCTGTATGGAGTAAATAATAAAAGAGACCAAGAGGACTCTCAGCTGCATTTTTTTAGGTACTGTTACTCAGAAAGTCCACCGAGGGACTTTTTTTTTTGGATCTATGTTAACTTTCTCTGCTATGGAAAATGACAGAGTCAGCACTGAAGTAAAAGAGAATCTGACCTCAGAGTCTCCAGTCTGCATTCAGGACGCTCCAGAAAACCACAGAACACTTCCACTCCTGAATCCTGCAGGTTGTTCTCACTTAGATCCAGAATTTTCAGATGGGAGGGGTTTGACTTCAGAGCTGAGACCAGAGAAGAACAGCTGATCCCTGTCAGACCGCAGCAACTCAATCTGAATCAAAAGAAAGAAGTACTTCTATGGAAGTGTGTTTGTCCGTGAAGAAGACAGAGAAAAACTGAAAAATCTAAACTTTTAGGATGCTTGTTCAGAAATTCAAACTGAAAAATCATAATTATTTAAATACGCACTTGAGCACAATTTGATTTTTCATTTATGATACTCAAGTTTCTTAACAAGCTCAAAAGTTTCTGCCACAGAGAAAAATTATTTACCATTGATTATAAAATATACTTTGTTGTTGATCGCCATGTAAGTGAAAAGTGAGTCTGACCTCAGAGTCTGCAGTCTACAGTTTGGGCCCTCCAGAAAATCACTCAGCAGCTTCAGACTGGACTCCTGCAGCTCATTGTAGCTTAGTTGGAGATGGATGGGGCTGGAGTTCAGGGTTGAGGCCAGAGCAGTACAGTCGATTTCTGACATCCCGATGTCTCTCAGTCTGGAAAAAGAGAACATTCTACATCTGATCTGTCCTCTACCACACAACCTAACACAATACTTTTCTTCTTTTGATTTTCAACTTTATCTGAGCCTCCATTATAGGCAAGACTTGATCTAACTGTTATCACAACATTTTCGTTCATGCCAACCAGGTTTATATTGTTATATTTTATATTTCACTTTTACAGACTTGCTTTTATGTGATGCTGTCTTCTCTCTTTTACCTCTCTTATTTTGACTAATTGTCTTTTTAGTCTTTGTTTTACTTAAAATCTGTTCCTGTTTAACCTTTTAGGCCTTTTATTGATTTTATTGTTTTTCCCTGCTCATTTTTGTTATTCCATTTTATCATTACTATTACCATCATTATTATTTTGTTATGATTTTATTATCATTATTAATATCGTCTTTTTATATTTACTATCCTGTTTCCTTCTTTCTACCCTCTTTTTATTACATTTCTTTTTCTTACCTAATTTATGTTTTAATTTTGGTCCTCATGGTCTCATTTTATGTTGTAGAGTTCTTGTCTGGATTCCTTATGACAAATGAAATTGGCCTTCAATTCAGAGTACTTGTTTTTAAAGAATTTCCCAGTTTGGGATCAATAAAGTCTATCTATCTATCTATCTATCTATCTATCTATCTTTTTAACTGAGCTTTTGTTTTTTATTTGTTTTTATTTCCATGTGCTGATGGTATGTGCTTTAAGACTGTTTGTCAAAACACGTTGTAAACTTCTGTTTTTCAAAGTACTAGAAAAATAAAGTTGTTATTATTATTATTGTTATTAGTATATTGTTGAACGGAGTTTCTCTCTAAGTTGTACCAAAAAGTAGGACAAAGGTCCATTTGTCTCTGTTGCTGTTGGTGTCTTGAATGAATGACTGCCTGATGTTGTGTTTTCTTTTTATTGGCTCTATAACAAATGACCATTTGGGGATAATATCGATTATCGTCACTCTTGATGTAATACGACAATATTGTAGTAACACTTTTATTAGAGAAACCAGTATTGTAATAATAATAATAATACATTTTATTTGAAAGCGCCTTTCTGGACACTGTAGAGGGCATTAAAATACAGTTAAAACACAATTAAAATAAATAAAAACAACATGCAGGTATGAAGATGGACAGTTATAGAGAATATGCATTTCGGAAAAGATGTGTTTTGAGTTTTGATTTGAAGTGGGGTAATGAGTCCATGTTTCTGAGATCCGGGGGGAGAGAGTTCCAGAGTTTGGGGGCAGAGCGACCTGCTCCCCATGGTGCTGAGCCGGGCAGAGGGCACAGAGAGGTGGAGAGAGGTGGAGGATCTGAGGGAGCGTGAGGGGGTGGCGATGTGAAGGAGATCGGAGAGGTAAGGGGGGGCGAGGTTATGAATGGCCTTGAAAGTGTACAGTATAATTTTATAATGGATTCTGGATCTGATTGGAAGCCAGTGAAGCTGCTGAAGGACAGGGGTGATGTGGTGAAAGGAGGGGGTTCTGGTGATGATACGGGCTGCAGAGTTTTGGACAAGTTGAAGTTTATTGTAGCCCAAACTGTACACATTTGAAAGTTGTAACTGCATCAAGTAATCATTAGTAGTGTTTGGTAGATTTTCTGTGTTCAGACGGTGGCTGCAATCACTTCCTCCAAAGGTTAGCTTTGTACTGCTGTGGGGTTTAATGTTCAAAGTTGATGAACCAGCTTAAAAATGTTGGATCAGCCATCAGTGATTAAAATAAAGACCTGAAGATGCTTTCTAAAGAGGACTGTGATGACCGGTTATAGACCTACTCTTCAGACTCAGGCGACAATAATGAGGAGGGATACAGTCCAGAGAGGGTCAACATGTGACCCAGAATCCCTCTCTACAGAGAGAGCTGTCAGAGAGCCAGAGAAAAACGTCAAAACAGGACTCCTCTACAATCACAACCACAAAGACATCAGAAACATTTGATTAGAGACGGTTATTAAGAATATATTTTTGAAGTATTTCTTACTTTGTGTCAGACGGGTCAGTCTTCATAGACGTGTAGCTGGGAGCAGGAGACCCTGCCCTCCGTCTCCTGGATGAGAATCAAAATATCAGAGTTATGAAAATATCCTGTTAGGATCCGTTTACAGAAACTCTTCCACACAAAGAGCTTTAGTTCATATTCAGTTCCAGGAGTTTTCAGTAAATATGGCCGAGATAGTGGTAGGACATTGTTAGGGTCACCTTTATTGAATGAATAACAACGTGTGAAGAATTGCAGTGTAATCATTCAGTCAGCTTTTATCTGAATATGAACTTTTGTTCAAACTCGAGATAAACCTTCATATTCAGACTGATAACACCTAATAAGACTAATAACAACAGAACTCCAGCTCCACAGGAGCTTCCAGTATGATCCAGTAGAGGGCGCTCTAATCATAACCTGGCTGATCCATGAGCTCAGTAAACTAATACAGCAGTTATTCTATAAAACTGGAGGACATGGTCCATCAAAGCTGCTCTGAGCGGACAAACACCCAAACTTCAGAGGAGAGCTGAGAGGAAGTGTTTAGGGCAAAGACAGAGACAGGGCTGCGTGTCAACTCTGTACGAAGCTGCTGTCGTAGCCGAGCAACCACAAGATTTCAGACCAGAGGCTGGAAAATAAGACAGCAGAACTCAAACCCATCCAAATATTCACACGTTCATTTTCACTTCCTGTTCGTCTTCTGAAAATCGTCCATAAACATGAAAACACACATGAAAAGTTCGCCATCAGAAAGTGAAATAAGAAATTACTTACTTTGTGTCGGAGGGTCTGGGTTCACCTCTGAAGTTCAGAGGATCATCTTTAGACCTGTTCGTCTTTGTCTCGCTGGGGGTTCTTTGTCTCCTGGACTGAAACCTGTAAAGATCACGGTGTTTTCAGCTCTGCATAGACAAAACTACAGCTGTTCAGACTCAGAGGATTTCAGGGTTTGTTTCTGTGTCAGACGTCTTACTCTGAATGAAAGGGTCCGGGCTCTCTGCTGGACTGGGGTTCATCTTTGGACCAGTCACTCTTTGTGGAAAACCGGCTGGAATAACAAGACTCTGTCTCCCATCTGATGGCCGTTAACCTGAAAACACAGACATCTTTTGAGTCACTTCACATCAAATCCTCGTTCTCAGTCTGTTTCGTTCCTCGGGGGTCTTTGTGTTCAGTTCAGTCTGGGTTCTGAACTATTGCAGCAGGACTCGGTGTTTGGTGTCTGACTGAGGACCTCGTCCCTCTGAGCAGCTTCACTTTTACCCACAGGAGTTGAGGAGGGATGACAATAGATCTTAAACCCCCCAAAACTGCAGGTGAGCAGGTTCAGACCCTGTCAGGATCCACATTATGGACCTGGGCCCACCTCACCTTCAGGCCGGTCCCTGAGGTTTCAGAGGACTTCCCAGTTCTCAGGACAGACCACAGCAGGCAGGTACTGCACAGTCTGGGGAAAACCAGGATCTTCACATTATCTGCTCTGCTGATGATGAACAGGTGAGCCAATGATGCAGGAGTGACATCATCAAAAACAAGAGCAGCAGGAAGAGCTGGTCTGAACGATCATCGTTTCAGAGTCTACAAGGTTTTCAGATTATTTCACACCTGCTCTTCTGCGATGAAATAAAGTCAGGTGAAATCCTCATCATACTCTCCTACTGGAACCAGGCCTCCCTGACCCAGTATGAAACCAGCCTTCCCTCCAGATCAAACCAGATAACTTACATAATCTTACACCTTTTAGGCTCAGGCGTCAGAGTACGAGGACACCCGTCCTACCTGTGAGAGAGGTACACTCCTCAAGATCACAGGGACCCTCTTTCAGGCCACATAAACTCAGGTGAGAAAAAAGAGGAGGTTTCAGGGAGGGACAGGGTCCAGAGAGAGGGTCCATGTGTGACCCAGAATCCCTCTCTACAGAGACAGCTGTCAGAGAAAAACGTCAAAAATGGACTCCTCTACAATCACAACCACAAAGACATCAGACACATTTGATTAGAGACGGTTATTAGGAATATATTTTTGAAGTATTTCTTACTTTGTGTCAGGTACATCACTGATCATTGATCCTTCTTCAGTCTTCATAGACGTGTAGCTGGGAGCAGGAGACCCTGCCCTCCGTCTGCTGGATAAAATCAAAATATCAGAGTTATGAAAATATCCTGTTAGGATCCGTTTACAGAAACTCTTCCACACAAAGAGCTTTAGTTCATATTCAGTTACAGGAGTTTTCAATAAATATGACCATGAGTGACAGCAGTTAAAGAAAATGGGAGGACATTTTTAGGGTCACTTCTATCTTAGTGCCAAAATATTGACTGAATAAGAACATAAATGACAGTGTAATCATTCAGTCACCTTTTATCTGAATATGAACTTTTGTTCAAACTCGAGACAAAAGTTCATATTCAGACTGATAACACCTAATCAGACTAATATAGAGTAAGTAACTAATAAGACTAATAACAACAGTCCTCCAGCTCCTCGGGAGCTTCCAGTATGATCCAGTAGAGGGCGCCCTGATCATAACCTGGCTGATCCATGACCTCAGTAAACTAATACAGTGATGTTATTCTATAAAACTGGAGGACATGGTCCATCAGAGCTGCTCTGAGCGGACAAACACCCAAACTTCAGAGGAGAGCTGAGAGGAAGTGTTTCTTACCCTGTCTCTGAGAGTCCAGGTTCATGAGGATCCTCTTCAGACCTGTCAGTCCTCATAGACATGAAACCGGATTCTGGAGTCTCTGCTCTGTCCCCTTTGTCTGAAAAATCACTCATGTTCCGGTCTAAAATAAAAGGACATTAAAATAAACACTAAAACAGTCAGTGTGTCTGTATAAACCTGATGTTCTCCGTTAAAGATCAAATCTGAAGAACGACACAAACAGACTGATGTGAGTCTGAGTCTCTCTACGGGAAAAACCACCGACGTTTTCAGATTCACATGCAGCTAAAATCACATTATTTTTCTCCTCCCTTTACTTTAGGGCAGAAACTCCACAAACCAAACATGGAGGTTCAACTACACGGAAAACATCTGACCGTTTCTGAGAGACGGAAACCTCTGAGCGCGATGGTTCATGTACGCGCTTGTTTGAGGAGAACAGGAAGACACACACACACACACACACACACGGTACAGTAAAGACAGTCTCCAAACTGATCTTGATTTACCTCAAAGTTTCTCTCACACCAACAAACACTAAACAAAGACTTCAGGAGTGAAACGACAAACACTCACCTTCTCCAAGACTTCAGTTTCTTTCTTTGGGACCAAGTAGAGGCTGAAGTTTTCAGAGTTCTCTGAGGAAGTGGGTCAGAGTGTGACTCCTCCTCTCTTTCCTGCTTAAACAGGTTTATCTTTGTGTTGCAATGTGTGTAGATATTAGAGTGTGTGTGTGTGTGTGTGTGTGTGTGTGTGTGTGTGTGTGTATCACAGGAAGTTGATGAAGTGGTTTCTGGCGTTGACAGGGTGATTTGACTCGTCTTGCTGGTTCCAAATGTCCAGATGTTTGAATTTGATCAAAAATCTGATTTCTGCAGCTTGTTTTGGAGACTTAGAGGAAACTGAAGTGAACATCTGCTGTCATGAAGGACAGGATTTAGACACAGGTGTCCCCTTATCAAAACGAAGTATGTTAAAGTTTACTTCAAGTGTACTGTTTTTAAACTAAGTATACTTTAAGTTTACTTTAGTGGACTTTTCAGAGAAACACTGAACAGTTAATGTTCAGTATAACTGACTTGGACCAAGAATTATACTGAAAGTCTAATTATATTCAACCTTTACTTATACATAAACTTCGAATAAATATTTACTTAAGTGTAGGCCTGTCGCGATAATCAATAAATCGCCTTATCGCTCGGTAAATAAAAACGAGGTCGGTCATTTTGCCAGCCTCGATAATTAACGTGCGTTTGTTTTCCTCCTCTTTCGCTACCAAACACGCTGGATGAGAGAAGAGGTCTCACTCTGCGCATTTTTCTCGGCACCTGGGGGCGTTGGCTCTATAGCGGAATGAACGGAGTTAGTGAACCCTCCTGTCAGTCATTCAGTATCTTTGTCACGGGGGGCGCGCGCACAGGTACACGTAGGCGCGCACAGGCACACTGACACAGACTTTCGGATACAGTGCTGCAAGTGAGCGTCGTGAGTGAAAAGCAAGCTAACAGAATGAACACGACAGCTTTGGTGTCTAAACCGAACGCAACAGCCCAAGTGTGGGAATATTTCGGCTTTAAACCAGTTTTGTTTTCGTCAACCACAAAACTCCACGTGTGCGCGCGCGCGCGCGTGTCTGTGTGTTGGAGGAGCACAGCAGGCTGATGAGAGCTGTCAGAGCGGACTGAAGCTGCTCCTATATGTTTAGCGTTTAACTGACTGAGTTTTGCAACTCTGTTTGTCATTTTCGTGTCGTCCCATCAACGTAAACACACTTTCGTCTCGTCACATTATAGTCATCTCCGACTTATGTTTAGCTCGTCAACATTACGTCTTCGTCGTGGGTAAAATTAAAGTTTATCACTTTTGACACGGTGTACTCGCATTATTATGCCATTTAATATCATTATCTATAATTTAAAAAACGGTGTCAATAATATCGTTTATCGGCAATAATTTGTAGCACAATTATCGTCCAGCAAAATTTGTTATCGTGACAGGCCTACTTAAGTGTGTGTTTGTGCCTTAAGCCGCGTTCAGACCAAACGCGACCAGGTCGCGTCGCGTCGCGTTGGTCGGTCAGGTCGCGTCGCGTGGTGCTCTGGTGTGTTCACACCGGGTCCAAAGTTGCAGTCGCAGGTCGCGGCTGGTCGCCGGTGACATCATCCATGTCACTAGCTCAGTTTTCAGTTCATCAGTGCTGCCGCATATCTGTACATCCGCAGTAGACGCCGCCGGCGTTTATGGGTGCATGAAACCATCCGGAGGAGGACGGAGCTGGGTGAATTTCACCGCTTGCTCCAGGAACTCCGCCTGGACGACGGCCGCTTCCAGCGGTATTTCCGTGTGTCGACGGCGCAGTTCGAGGACCTCCTCGCCCAGGTGGGAAGCAGCATCTCCCGCCTGGACACGAAATACAGGCGCTCCATCTCAGCTTCGGAGCGCCTGTCTATCTGTCTGTCCCTCATATAAACGTCTCTAAGCCCCTTCCACCGCTTGCGGCACACATCCACTGCAAAGACACACACACACATACGTTGAAACATGTAGCCTAGCAAGCAGGGGCAGTTAGCTGGGTGGTAGCTAACGGATGTGATTAACTGCTCCTCCATTGTGATTCTTCTTCTCCTCTTCCTTGTTTCGCCGGTTTGTTGACGTCAGCAGAGCCCTGATTGGCTGTCGCGGCACGAAGTCGCTCCCAAAGTTCAAATATTTGAACTTTGGGAGCGACGCGACTTGGCGTCCTGCGACCTCGGCGACGCGACCTCGGCGACGCGACCTCGGCGACGCGCCTTGGCGACCGGTCGCGCATGGTCGCGTCGCAGGAAGCCGGCGGTCGCCAAGTCGCGTCAGGTCGCGGCTGGCCATAGACTTTGCATTGGGAGCCGTCGCCAAGTCGCGTCAGGTCGCGGCTGGTCTGAACGCGGCTTTAGAGTGTATACTCTATAAGAGTATATACTCTATAAGAGTGTACTTTTACACAGATATGACACATCTCTCAGTGAGACTCTGGATAAAAACAGCAGCTTAGAGACGAGCCTATCACTGCTGAGAACAGAGGGATCTGAGGAGGGTTTCTGTGGACGGGGGTTCACTGCAGTGTGTTTAAAAACAGCTAACTGCCGACACAGACAGTGACACTCAACTGAACACACTAAACACGAAAACCTCAACAACAACACAACAACTTTATTGACCAACAAAAACACAACAATCTGAACTCAGACGATCAATGTGCGACTTTTTTACCTCTGAAGGATCCAAGCGACACGTTTGTCTCTCTCAGGTCAAGTCGTCCAGCGTGTGACGACTTTCAGAGACCTGAGAGAGGACAGAAACGTCCTCTCACAGAGACGGACAGGGTGACTTTTGTCTCTTTGGTTTTCACTGACACAGTCCGTCACGGTTTAGTCCTCCAAACTCAACAAGAATGACACGTTTGTCTCCAGAGCATCTACGCCACAGCGGGGATGAAGTACTGCAGCGACACGTCTTCATGCAGCAGAATCAGGTGGACCACCCGCTCATGGACGATATCTGAGGGGACGAGAGGACAGGGTTAAATCAAAAACCAGAATCCCTGTGTGTCTAAGGAAGAGAAGATCGGCCGCACACTGACACTGACTCCACTTCAGCTTTAGTGGGAGGCTGGGTCGGGTTCGGTTCAGGGTTCAGGGTTAGGGTTCGGGTTAGGTTGGTATCTTAGTTACAGTCAGCTGATCAGGCTGTCCTAAAACGAGGCCTGTTTACACGCAGAGATCTCGGACCCGGTCCCAGCTCTGCAGATGGACTTACTGCACATGGCCTTGCTGGGGTTGACCTGCTGACCCATGAGGAACTGCTGCAGCTTCCTGATGTCCACCCGAGCCTGGACCATGGCCTCTGGGTCCCTGCTCTGAGATGGGGCCTGCGAGGCGTCCTCACCTGGGGGGGTAAGTAGTTTTAGAGAAGTCTGGACTAAAACTGGAACCTTCAGAGCCCGCCTTTGAAGGAGGTTTTCCTGTTAGGACCCGAAGAGTCTGAAAACGGACTGACTGAAACAACAACAGAGCAGATTTTTACCCCACGGAGGATTTCCCAGATCTTTGAAATGAGTGGTGACAGAAACCAGGTCCGTCTCGATCTTCAGGTTCATCTCTCCACTAAGGTTGGCCTCCAGGACCTGAAACACACACGTGCAGACACACACAGTTTGTCCTCCTGAAGGAGCAGAGACGGCGGTGAACTCAGAGCTCGTGTTTGAGATCCAACAGTTCTGTGTTTTCTAACGCCTCAAGATTTCTAAACCTGGTTTATAAACCTCTGTGGCCTGACTCAGGCGAGGTTTGGAGGTTTGGATCCTACCAGGAAGTTGGAGAGGTTCTTCATCCTGTCCACGACATTCTTTATGGTCTTCAGTGGAGGCAGGTAGATACTGACCTGTGAGGAGCAGACACACAACAACAACTTTGTTCACTCAACATCTGGTGTCTTCACTGAGCCTGTGGAGGAGCCTTCTTTAGAAGTTCACAGAGTTCTTCAGACCAACGCTCTTACATCAAAGTCCGGCATGTTGGGCTCTTTGAACTCGTGCCACAGTCTCCTGGGAATGACGTCGACCGGGACGTCGTGAGTGACCACTCGACTGCTGCTGGACAGGGTGGGCTGACCCGACAGAGAGGACAGACACGTGAAAACGGACCTGCTCATTTATTAAAGCAGAACTTTCTGTTTAAAAAAACAAACATGGACGTAAAGAGTATAAAAATGATCATTAAGTCGATTATAAAAGGAAATTTTCAGTTTACAGTCATGAGAGAGAGATCAATCTGCTGAGCTTCAATATAACGTTAGCAACGTGTTCGTAAAACAACCAAACAGGTCAGAAGTTCTGATAGAGGAGCGACCAAACATGACGTAGATCTACAGAAGATAATATCAGAGATTCAGAGGATCTGGAGAAATCTCTGTGGATGGTCCTGAAGATCTTCAGGGCATCAAAAACATGGAACCATGAACACAGTTGGAGAGAGGAAACCTGATCCAGAAACAGCAGAGACTTCTCTGGACCTGAGCCCGGTCAGGAGGAAAAACTGTCCTGCGGTCTGATGAATCAAAAACTGGATCCTCTATTCTGTTAGGGAGGGGGACCGAGTCTGGACCTGTTACCAGCTCACAGTTCAAAGGTACGAGGATCTTAAGTGTGCTAAACAAATATTTATAGATATATCAGCTGGAATCAAATTTAAAAAGAGAAAAAGCTTTTGAACATTCAACATGTTGATTTTTCACTGTTTCGGATCAAATAATCACTTGTAATAGTTTGTAAACCATCAGGTTCAGGTTGTTCTTCAGAACCTTCACATCATGTTGCTCATGAGTTCTCCGAGTCCTGTTTACAGTCTTACCAGCTCGGCAGCCACGGTGAGGCAGGGGCAGTGTTTCTTGGTCAGTTTGACTTTGACAGATTTGGCGTTCTGGACCGTCTTCAGGGCCCTGGACAGATTCTCTGGAGTCACCTCCAGACAGATCTCATTGTCCTCAGAGGACACGCCCTCCATCTGGTACTCATCAAAGAAGTTAGCCTGCAGGACACAGGACACACCGACATGACCTTCTGCAGACCGGAGAGTCTAACATCACAGGTCAAAAATCCTCCTCCTCCTTCATAAAGAGGTCTGTCTCTACAGGGACAGACTCTGTGAGGATGTCAATAAACATCTGAACGAAACTAAAAACTTTACAAAAGTGATTGAACCTGCTTCACACGTCTCCTTAAACACACATGAACAGGTAGCAGGTTGTTTCCTCCTTCCTCTCACCTCAGACAGCTCACACCACATGCTCACTCCTCCATTGGCCACTTTCTCGGACAGGACGAAGAACAGGTTGTCTGGAGTCAGCCGCAGGACGCACGTCTTGGTCAGTTTGGAGATGGTGGTGATGACTCCTGATGAAGACGAGGAACATCAGCGTGAATGAAGACACAGTTCGCTCTGACAGTAAAAGACTCAGTCAGACTGTAGAGACAGACGCTTCTTTAAGCCACAGTCTAGTTAGATATTGTGGTTTTGGGTCAGGACCTGGTCCACTGGCGTCTGGTTTAAAATATATCTATATACATAAAAAAAAAAAATCATTTTAGCTGTTTGACACACAGATTACAGGTTTACCATATATCTGAGTTGTAAAAGGATCAATAATTCAGGACTGATAGTCTTTGGACTCTGTGGAATAATCTAGTCTAGATTTGTGGTTTTGGGACCAAGAAGCGTAAAGCTGCAGTAAGATCAGAAAATGAGTGTTTCTCTCATTTAAAATCTGTTTTAATTATTAAAACTGTTAATTTTATTCAGCCGAAGAGACCTGAACTCATAAATAAACACAGTAACATGATGTACAGTTTCCTAAAGCTGATTTTAGTTCTTTAAATGTAAAATAGTTCAAAAACGGTTATATTTTATATGGGGTTTGGTGGGATATGAGCTAACAGCTCAGGCTAACAGTTTCACACGGTTAACCGGTCAGCTAGCAGTTAAAGATGTTAAAAAGACTTACGGGTGAAGTGGTTGAGACATGCGATATCGATGATTTTCCCACGAAACTTCATTTTGAGTTTTGACGATATTCCTAAACACGAACTCCGATATGTTAAACTTTTATCGGCGGGACTGTTTTGAACGGCACAGGATGGTCCGTTCCCGTCAGGGGTCCGGAGGAAACAGTAGCTAAAGGTGATAATTCCGGTGGAACAGAGCGGTCGTCCACAATATCTTCTTCTTCTTCTTTTTGGCAAACCAGCTGAAAGGTGCATTACCGCCACCTACTGAACTGGATTTTTTTTTTTTTTTTATTATTAACAATTTACAAAACTCTCAATGGGAGACAAGTGCAATTCAGATGTACATCTTACTTTTACAGAACAACAGTGATAATATCCATGAGAACAACAGAATGTAGAAAAGAAAAAAAAAACACAAAACTGACAGCAAGGCCTGCCTTTCAAATTCATACAGACAGCAAATGTAAATGTTAGATAATTAATGATTAATTGAGTTACAACAGTACATATTTAGAGACATCATCACAGAGGTTCTCTAGCTCTAGACTGGAGTCTTTAATTAGTGACAAGGAAGCAAAATAAGATTTAAGTTCTGTTCTAAACAATGCAAGGGATGGACTTTTATTTTGCCATTTACTTTTACGGATGTGGTATTTACCCATAATTATTATTATATTGTACATTTTGTCTCCTGTGTTTTGTCTCTCAGGCGGCTGAAGCGTTCATGTTGTCCCATCCTCTCACTCTGGTTCCGGGGGACGAGACAGAGGTGGACTCAGAGGAGTTCTTCCAGGGTCTGCCTGGTGAGACATCTCTGATTGAGACGTTGATGCAGAGCAGAGTGGGTGTTTACGGTGCAGGTGAGAACACAGGTGTCAGGATCTGAGGTCACAGAGTTTCTATCATGGATCTAGAGACAGTTGTGTTTCTGTTTTAATCTGTTTATCATGTCTGCCTGTCCCTGCAGGGACCCCTGAACCATTTCTAATGACTTCATGTCACTTTTGTTGTTGTTTTAAATGAAGTGTCTGAGTCTCCACTAGATGGCAGCATGTTCAAACCTCTGACACCAGCACTAAGCGTGTCTAAAAGACATCTGATCCAGATTTCCTCCAGTTTTGTTTTTTCTGAATGTGTCAGATGATCCCGAGTGTTAGTCCAAACAGGCACGCCGCACTGACCTTTGACCTCTACAACCTGCACCCTAAGGACTTCCTGTGCTGCCTCACTGTCGAGGCCTCCTTCTGTGACATGTCCTCACTGTGCCGGGACTTCAGGTGAACCAGGATCAAACAAATCCTCAGGTGGGTCGAATGTTCTAGACCAAACAAATCCAGACCAGGACAAAACCGAGACATTCAGGGATCAAGACCAAGTCAAGACCCAGACACTGACCATTATTGGATCTATATTCATTGATAGTTTTTCACAATACCAGAGACCTTCACAGACGGGTTTCTGGGTCAGGATTCTTGAGCGTGAGGAGCTCCTGGCCTGGTTCTCTGCAGGATGAAGCAGAGGTCAGTGCTGCGCTGTGATTGGAGCAGACGTACGGTCTGTCAGCAGTGATGAATTCCTGCTTTATGGTTCAGTGTAAACTGACTCGGCAGGCCTCAGCAGCAGCTGACCCGGGCTTCATCATCCCTCTGTGGGAAAGTCCACCACATGTCCAGAGAGCAGAAAACCCCCACAGGGTCCTTCCTCTTTTTTCTCAGGCTGAAGAGTCGAGCTGTCCTCCAAACCCTCTGAACTCACCTTGTTGGGGTCTGAATATCGATCCTTCAGACAGTCTGTTCTTTTCTGGACCTGTTCATGTGAAACAACGATGGGAGTGGTTAGAGGGGTTTACAGTGTCATTACAGGAGGACGTTAAAGGGATATTCTGCCGTAAAATTAAGGGTCAAACCCACCGTAACACCGAGTTAGACCCCCCTCCAGAGATGAATGTTGTCGACCGCTTGCTTCTCTAGTTATACCAACTTTAGTAAAGCAACAGTGGACTACAGCGGGGTGCCGCAGCTCAAGGAAGAACATTTATGATCATTTCTTTATCATTTCCTTGAAGTAATAATCATCATATTAATCATTTTACAGACGCGGTAGTTCTTCTGTCTTAGCGTCTCGGTCTGATTGTATTTCCATGAAGAAATGATCATAAATGTTCTTCCTTGAGCTGCGTCACCCCGTTGTAGTCCGTAATGGACTGGCCTTAGGTCTCTCTACAAACAAGCGTCCGCTGGAAGAGAGTAGGTGAGTTGTGTTTAGTCTCTTTGCTAAAGAAATGAGTCAAAGTTAAAAAGATGTTTGGTGTCTAGTCCTATGTCTGTGACCCTATATGTCCTGTTGATGAAGTTAGGTGCTGTTCTGAGCATTATTTGTGGCTATAGAGTGGCGTTTTGGTTGAGGTTTGTTTATGGCTCCTCCTTTAAGGGTAACAAATTAAATCAGATTAGACTGATCAGATCCACATGATCCTCCTAACCCTGATGTTTCGTATGTCTGAAATGAAACTCTGCTCGACAGTTTTATAAAGTCATAAAACACTAAGTGAGTTACTTCAATCTTAAGTCAGCTGAGAAAATCAGACCCTAGCATAAAGACAGTATGTGCATTAAAAGTGGTTTTATACCAACCTGAACCCAGACTAGACGTACTAATAATAATGGAATCTGTTTGTTTCACAAACATGTCACTGTCGTCATATTTATAATCAGCAGATTTATTCACTCTACAGATTTTCATGGTGACTTCTGATACATTTTCACACTATTGTAAATGGATAATAATAAATATAATAAATCATCAGATTTAAAGGCTGTCAGGTGTTTTTTTTGTCCTCCATGAACTCGGTTATTTCACAGATTTCAGCCTCCGTGTATCTGAACTGTGAGGACTGAAGAGCTGTCCGTGGTTCGTGGTGGTATTTGTCCAGTTGGAGCAATAAAACAAAGTCTTTTATGCTGAATGGACACACGGGACCCGAGTCTGGCCCCACAGGGCGTGGTCACGTGGACCCATGTGAGAGGAGGAGGAGGAGGAGGGTGAAGAGATGAAGCTGTTCACTGACACACACCGGCACTCAGCAGAGAGCATCGACAGAGCCCAGATCACCAGAGAAAGAGAGAGAGAGAGAGAGAGAGGAAAGATGAGAGAGATCGTTCACATCCAGGCCGGACAGTGCGGGAACCAGATCGGGACCAAGGTATGGACCGGGGTTTGAACCATGATACTGTCGATGAGGGAGCGGGTTAGTTACTGTCAGTTAGGATTATTGATCCAGAGAGGACAGACTCCGACATCACAACCTGATTCATAACCACCTTATTCTTGTCATATTTAGACTTTACTGTGAAAAATCGTTTCTAAACTTACTAATAATGTTAAAGAAGAGAAAATCAGAAACCACTCTGTGTTTCCTGAACCCATGAGAGTCCAAACTGACCCAGAATCAGGAGAAAATCAGAGGAACAAAAAGTGTTGGTGTGTTTTTCTCCATGGACTTCAGCTCAACACGAACCAGAGATGACTGTTTCTGCACAGCGGAGTTTGGAGGTCGTTGTTTTAATTATTCTTAACATGATGAAGTTAAAGTCACGAGTTGAACCAAAAGTCTCTGGAGGTCCAAAAGTGAAGTTCTGGTTTAGAGAGTGTTATAAACCATCACTGTGGTGTGGAGGAGTGAAGTGAACTCAGAGCCACTGTGAGAGTATTCAAGGAATCTGGGTGTACACACACACACACACACACACACACACACACACACACACACACACACACACACACACACACACACACACACACACACACACACTCAGATCTCTGGACTCTCTCAGCAGCCTGAGCTCAGTGGGCCGACAGTCGGAGGAATTAACTTAGTGAAACATGAAATAAAAGAATTAGCCACAGCTAAATGGACAGAGAGCCGGTCACATGCTGTAACCACAAAGACTTCTGGGTAATGAGACAGTGTGACTGTGTGTGTGGTCACCATGTGTTTGTGCAGTGACTCGGCTTTAGCAAAAAAAACTAAAACTCAGGATGTAAATGAAAGAGGAAGGACTGAGAATCTCTGTGAGGACACTCCTCCTCCTCCTCTCCTCGTCTCCTCTCCCTGCTCTCCTCTCCTCTCTCCTCCTCCTGCGGTTCTCCACAGTTCAGCAGTTGAGGTTGGACTCAGGTGTAGGATCAGACCTGAAGTCTCTGGACTTTGGGATCTGGTTTTACCCATCAGGCAGGTCATATCAGACGTTACGATTCCCACCAGAACATCACTGAGCAGCATCACAATCCCTGCAGACGCCTGAGAGCAGGATCTCAAACGACTCCTTTTGCAGAGTCTCAAACACACCAGCAGGATCCAGGATCTCTGTCAGAGTCAGTCCGAAATGTCTCACTCGTATTTTTACCTCAGATGTCAGAGAGTTTAAGGAGTGAGTCAGCGAACACATCATGGAGGCAGAAGCTCTCTGAATCACCAGATCAGACTCGACCTGACTCCCTCTTCTTCCTCTTCTTCTTCTTCTTCTTCTTCTTCTTCTTCTTCTTCTTCTTCACAAACTCGCTCAGTTCTGGGAAGTGATCAGTGACGAGCACGGCATCGACCCGGCGGGAAGCTACGTGGGCGACTCGTCTCTGCAGCTGGACAGAGTCAACGTGTACTACAATGAAGCTTCCTGTATGTACAACACACAACAGGAGAGTGTGCATGTGTGTGTGAGTGTGTGTGTTTGTGTGTGAGTGTGTATGTTTGTGTGAGTCACAGCCTGAGTGTTACTCTCTGAAAAATCTCAGTTTAATCCTCAAATATCCAAAAATTCCAGGACCTGATGTTTCCTCTCTGTTTGTGCAGCACATAAATATGTCCCCCGGGCTGTTCTGGTTGACCTGGAACCAGGAACCATGGACAGCGTGCGCTCAGGAGCCTTCGGACAGCTCTTCAGACCGGACAACTTCATCTTTGGTAACAATCAGCTGATATTACTCGACTGAATCATTCGCAGGTTTGAACTTCGAGAGGAGGGTACAGAACCAAGGATTTCCGATTCTTTGATGGAAGGACAACTGGACTTACTTGAGACGTTTCGCCCCAGGTGAAACATCTAGAGTAAGTCCAGTTCTCTTCAACGAAGAATCAGAAATCCTTGGTTCTGTACCCTCCTCTCTAAAGAGTAGAGGGGCCACCTGGCTTGTTCTCAGCATCCCTGATGATCTGGGGATCATCAGAGTCCATGTCCTGGGTACCTTCCACATCTGTGTAGTCTCCATTAATGCTGAACTACATCTAAAGGTTTAGGAGGAACATCTACTGCCATCCAGACTAAGACTTTTTCAGAGAAGACCTTGAATGCGGCCCTGAACTTTTGAGCAGCTAAAATCCCAGAATGGGACTACATTCGACTTTCAGACTCCAGAACCTGGTCTAGAAACATGTAGGGGCTTGTCCTGGTAAAGGAGTAGTTCAGAGTTTTGAGGGTCAGTGGAGAAAGTCTCCAGCTGTTCAGTAAACCCAGAGTTTGTTTATTAACTGATGTCTGAGCCAGAGAAGAAACAGAGATGTCTGTTCTAACACACACACACACACACACACACACACACACACACACACACACACACACACACACACACACACACACACACACACACAGAAACACAAGTGGGTCACCAGACAAGTGTGTGTCTGCGCTCACATTCCCATCTGCTGTGAAGATCAGTTTACATTTCACTCATGGGTTTCTCTCTCCTGATTGGTTGTCTACAGGTCAAACAGGTGCAGGGAACAACTGGGCAAAAGGTCACTACACAGAGGGGGCGGAGCTTGTGGACTCAGTCCTGGACATAGTGAGGAAGGAGTGCGAGCACTGCGACTGTCTGCAGGTGAAGAAGACTCGTGGTTAAGTCGAGTGACAGGAGGTGTTTTTAATGTCCAGCAGGGGGCGCCTCAGCTGGTTTTAGACACCGGCCTGAGTGTGTAAAGTCTGATATCTGCTTCTTCTTATTCTCAGCTGATTTAAGGAGTTGATGGTCCTACTCTCTAGTTTACAGTCTCCTCAGTCGATCGTGATGTTCATGTAGAAAGTTACCGTCCATTTAGGGTCAAACAGAAGATAACGTGAAGTTAGCTTTACATGAGACTACCAGGAAAAGACAGAGACAAAGTTAAAAAGTCCTTTTTAGTGTTTTGTTGTTTCTTCAAGAAGCTCCAAGTAATCAGTGAATCACATTCTGACTTTCTCGTCGTCACCCTAAATTAGCATCAAAGTCGCTGCAGCTAACTCAGCCTGAAATCAGCTCCTCGTGAAGAAAAGCCCTGAGACTGGGAAAACTGGGTTTTAGCCCTCACTGTGCAAGAGTGTGGACTCGCCGGAATCTCATCCAACTGTTCAGGACCAGCTGACCGGACCATGATCAGCTGGTCCTGACAAACAATGTTGGACAGAGCTTAATATTCTTCTGTTCTGGTTGTCAAGAAAGAGGCGGCTCCCCTGTAGGTTAAACTCTTACCGTTAACCAGTATCTCATTCAAAAACACCGAACTGTCCCTTTAAGTCATCTTTAGCGTGTAGAGACCGAATCGGATCGGTCCAATGAAACGTCTCCTTCCTCCTGCCAATAAAAAACGACGTCAGCATGTTTTCTGTCCGCAGGGTTTCCAGCTGACTCACTCTCTGGGCGGGGGGACCGGCTCAGGCATGGGCACTCTGCTGATCAGCAAGATCCGTGAGGAGTACCCCGACCGGATCATGAACACCTTCAGCGTCATGCCCTCGCCTAAGGTATCAGATACAAGGACCAATCAGAGCAGAGGCTAGAAAACGCCCCGTCTTCTTAAACGTCTTCTTCCTTTTTTGTGTCTTTGTTTGTTTTCGGCGTCAAACCTTTAACCGTAGAGACCGTTTTAGCGAGTCTGACCTTTTCCCATAATCCCTCAGCCTCTCTAACTCTTCGACCTTCTGTCCGACCTTTTCAGGTGTCAGACACCGTGGTAGAGCCCTACAACGCCACCCTGTCAGTCCACCAGCTGGTCGAAAACACAGACGAGACCTACTGCATCGACAACGAGGCCCTTTACGACATCTGTTTCCGCACGCTGAAACTCACCACGCCCACATACGGAGACCTCAATCACCTGGTGTCGGCCACCATGAGCGGCGTGACGACCTCGCTCCGTTTCCCCGGGCAGCTGAACGCAGATCTCCGTAAGCTGGCCGTCAACATGGTTCCCTTCCCCAGACTGCACTTCTTCATGCCAGGGTTCGCTCCTCTGACGGCGCGGGGCAGCCAGCAGTACCGAGCGCTCACCGTCCCAGAGCTGACCCAACAGATGTTTGACGCCAGAAACATGATGGCGGCCTGCGACCCTCGCCACGGAAGATACCTGACCGTCGCCACTGTCTTCAGAGGCCCGATGTCCATGAAGGAAGTGGACGAGCAGATGCTGAACGTCCAGAATAAGAACAGCAGCTACTTCGTGGAGTGGATCCCCAACAACGTCAAGGTGGCCGTCTGTGACATCGCACCCCGTGGCCTCAAGATGGCCGCCACTTTCATTGGCAACAGCACGGCGATCCAGGAGCTGTTCAAGCGGATCTCCGAGCAGTTCTCTGCGATGTTTCGCCGAAAAGCTTTCCTGCACTGGTTCACGGGCGAGGGCATGGACGAGATGGAGTTCACCGAGGCGGAGAGCAACATGAACGACCTGGTGTCTGAGTACCAGCAGTACCAGGAAGCCACCGCCAACGACGGCGACGAGAACTTTGAGGACGACGATGACGAGATCGTCGAGTAAGGGGACTGAACCAAGAAATGTACAACTGTTAGAGCCCAGTTAGAGTGTTTATCTGGTGGTTATGGACCAGTAGGACCAGTAGGACCAGTAGGATGAGGAGTGGAGGGTGATCTAGTCAGTTTGAGTTCAGATAATCTTACAATCACCCCGAATATCAAGATCTCATTAATAAAACATGCAGAGGAGCTTTTTAGCCTGAATAGATTAAAAAAAAAAAACAGTTTTGATCGAATCATGTAGAAAAAATCAAAAACTGTCGTAAACAAAGAAATCGAGATAAAGAGAAGATGTTCAATGTTCCTGAGAGGACGGATCCTCGACTCCAAAATCCAACCAAATAAAATCTTGATTTGAGACTCAGCTGTTAAAACGAGAGGATGACACACAGATTTAATATTAAACTTTTTCAGAGTGAAACTTTTCCTTCTTGGCACTTTTTAAACCATCAGAGGATCGAACGTGGAGCTGATGTTACAATATTAATCTTTGCACACAGGGGGTGCCAAAATCAACACTGACACAGAGTTCCCCACAGCAGCTTTAAAACGCTCTAATGATCCCGTCTGCAGACGATGATACACTAGCTTCTGTTCCGGGGCATCTGATTGGCCTCTCAAAAAGGGGCGGGGCTTGAATATGTGTGCGATACATTCATACAGCCACGCCTCTAAAATGTGACTTTTTTTTATTGAGGTCAGAACTTCTGCTGATTTTAAGTGTCCTACCAAAAGTTAACATGAAGTTTGAACCTTGAAACAAACTTCCACTCCAGAGTCGTCATTTTGCAGTTCAGTCACTCAAACCTGCTGATCGTGTTCGAAAGTATTTTGACTAAAACTGACGACGTTTCATGAGCATCAAAAAAACAGAAACTGATATCTGAGTTTAATTTTATGAATGTGAGCAGAGAAAGGATACGAACACTAACCAAACTTTGATTTCCTGTAAAAATAGAGATGTGCTTTTTGAATTGACAGAATCTCCTTTTGTACGTGTCTGAGTCTGAGTGTTTCCAGAGTTCTGTAGATGTGAAGACGTCTAAAGTGGCTGAAGAGGTTTCAATAAAAGCTGCTGCTGTTCTTTTAAGGGTGACACGTGTCCTGTGTTCATGCATGCAGAGTTGCCCTTCTGTTGCTTGAATCAAATTGGTAATTATGTTATTTTATACGATCTAAAACTCGGTCAGTTTGATCCGCGGTGGACGAGCAGGTCCGGTTCTCTGGGAGGTTTTTGCTGACAGAGTTTGGTGTGAAGAGTGATCCAAGTTTAAAAAACACAAAAATCTTCCAAGAAGTTTCTGCAGTTTTAGGAAATTCAACATCAACCCCTCAGAGCCTGTCAGCGACCAAATATGAAGGCTTTAAACATTTGAAGATGATTTTATCACTCCTCATGATGAAAACAGTCCTGCCTAGTTTGACTTAGACTTTGTCAGATTATTGCATGTCTTCATGAATCCTCAGACGTCTCTTTACTAATAAAATGAGCGCGCTTGTGTCGACTGCATGAGGGTTTGTCTGCTTTAAGTCTGGGTCTCACATCCATTTATAAGACATATTTCTGCATGGTGTGGGTGGAAAAGTGGAATTTTGCACAGATGTAACTCTGCTCGACAGTTTGGTGTTGTGTTGTCACGTGTTTGTTGTCAGCTAAAAGCTTTATATAAAACCTGAAAGCAGACTCTTCCTGTCGGTCACCTGACCGCTCTGATATCAGCCTGCAGAGAGAATCTGCCCGTCATCATCATCATGGTCGGCGTGTTAATCCTCATCGCCCTGCTGACTGTGAGAGTTGATTTCCCAGCAGTTCTGTTTGTGCCGAGGATTAACTTCAGAGCTGCAGCAGAGAAAAGAAAGCGCTGGCCTCATGTCTGCTGTCTGTGGATCTGTTCGCCATGGCGAGGCTCTTTGTTCTGAAACACGAGGCGTTCAGCAGACTCCACATCAGACAGCAGCTTTTTACTCTGAGTCACAGGGCAGTTTGGCTGTTCAAGACGGCTGAAGGTTAAGGTTACAGGGAGGTTAGGGTGGAGCTGAGGAATGTATTACCTCAGTGTGTGTGTGTGTGTGTGTGTGTGTGTGTGTGTGTGTCAGATATGTCCAGCTGCTTCTGCTTGGACAGAAATAAATCAGAGTCTTTGTTTTCCTGTGAGGACCGTTAAAGCTGAACTTTGTTGACTCTGTTTTTTTAAGTTTGCATCCTGGTTACTGGCAGCATTAAAAGCACTCACTGTCATGTGTGCGCCCCCTGGAGGCTGTGGTGGTCACTTCACTGTCACACATGGATTAAAAAAAGTGATTAAAAAATCTGACAGAGAAATTTTAATTGTCTCACCGCCGTGAAACAACACATGCTCAGGCTGACCTCTAGTGGCCACTCCAAGGAACTGAATGAGACTCAGAGAGCCGTTGAAATATTACAGTTTTTCAATTATTTTATTTTTTCAACCTATTTGGACAAATATTAGAAAGTCTCATGTTGTGCTCATTTCTAATTTTAACTCTTTTTCACACGTCAAAAATCAAAAATAGTTGACTCTGATCAGTCTGAGGAAACATCATCAGGATCTCCAACAGCAGCTCTGAGATCATTCAGCTCCATGTTTCTGTAAACTAAAGAACCTGAGAGAGAGGAGAAACCTTCTCTAACCATCCAGCAGATCACAGACAGCCTCAGCCTCGCTCTTCAGACGTTCATCTGTCTTTAGGATTTTCAGGCTCAGGTTAGACCTGATCAATCAATCAATCAATCAAATTTTATTTATATAGCACTTTACAATATCCCAAATGGTACCCAAAGTGCTTTACATAAAAGCAATAAAATAACACAAGAAAAAATACCATTATAAAATGATAGAATAATAGAATAATACAAGAACGATGAAATAATAAAAATGAATATGAAAATAAAATAATACAATAAAATAGTATGTAGAAGTGCTAAAAACCTATAAGTACAGGACTACCTAGTCTCAAGTCTTCATCCCTGGTCCCATTTTACTTCTTCACGTTTTGGTTTTTCTGATTTAAACTCTGATTCCTGTGATGATGATGAGTGAGATCGTCCATTTGTTCAAAAACTTAATCAATACAAATTTATTTACATCTGATCTGACTGTCCTCAGAAATTCAGTTCAATATAAAACATTATAACCCTAATTCTACACCCCAAACACATGATTGAGGTGTTATTCCGACTGTGAGGAAATTCATCATCTCTACAGATCAGAGAATGTGAGTTCAGTTTGTCAGCCATGAACTGCTGATGTGGTTTAGTGGTCTCACAAACAGTGCCCTGTAAATCGTCTGAGGTCAGAGTTGACGTGTCTCGCTCCTCGGTCTTTGGTCTTCTGCAGTCATAAAGTGGATTAATCAGAATTTCCCTGATCTTTGCTCCGACTGAACTTTTATAGTTTCTCTGTTAAACATTTACCCGATCATGTCCGCGCCTTTAACTTTTCCTCATGAGGAATACAGACTGGTTCAGATAAGTCCAGTCCATTATTTGATACCTTAAACTGTACAGTCATCAGACTCCTGTGGTGGATCAGGACTTTAGTCGATCAGGATCAGGACTCATTAAGGGTTTTTAAGGTGCGCTTGAAACTTTTCAGACTGTCGACGTCTTTTAGAGATTTACTGGAAAGTGTGGGAACAGCGAGAGACGGTTTGAAAATGGCGTCTGGACCTGAACCGGGTCGAAGCAGAAGGAGAAAACAAACTGAGGTGAAGGTGAGCATTCAGACTGTGGTCGACCAAGAGAAGATCTGCAGAATCATCCGTGGACTTCAAGTCAAAATGTCCTCAAGCCTGCGCTGAAGTCAGCTGTTTCTTCTTCTTCTCTTGTTCTGTATCACGGTACAGATGTAGATGTTGTCTGATCTGAAACTCCAGGATTAAGGCGGCAGGGACAGTTTTTAAAGCTAAGGTTAAGGAGATAAGATGGCGCTAACTTTAGGCGTGGATTTCTGCCTTCATTGTTTTGTTTAATCACTGATGTCGTCTGTTTTCCCTCCGTGTCTGAAAAGATGAGTTCATCTGAGGAAAACAGAGATGGATCAGAGTCTGCTGTACCCACCTGTCCATCTCTAAAGAGTCACCAGTCCATACGTGACATTCTAGACTTCAGCGGAAAACCTCAAACACCGGACACAAAGTAAGCAAAGTTCTTCTCCACCTTGTTCAGATTTTTAAAAGTAAACCTTTAACTCCAACATCAAAATCTGTTTATGAATGTGCTGTAATCTCTGCGACGGTCCGAGGTTCAGCTTTACTGCTGATGATTATGATAAAGAACTTTGATAACAGAGGGAGTCACACCGACAGCAGGAATAAAAAAAAAAAGTTCATGTTCACCAGGCAAAGGTCGACACATGAGAAACCGTTCATAAAATCCTCATATCACATATCAATGTGTGCGGAAACGACTTCTTTCAATCCTCGATTTTACAACTAATATGAACAAGAAGACCTGGGGTACATTCAAGCTCTACTTGGACCAGGTCTTGATTTATGTGGTCCAACACACCTGTCTGCTGGACCCCACTAATGTCATCTAACAGAGCAAATCCTAAACAGCAGGATGTTCAGGAACTTCTGACTTCCTGCATGTTTACAGTTTAATTTTGACAAACTGACTTTTCTCAGGAAATAGTCCACATGCCTGTTCTGGTCACTCAATGCTCTGCTTTAGTGGGTATATACCAGTTCAACCAGTATAACCAGTATAACCAGTATAACCAGGCACAACCCACATATAACTTAATCTCCAATTTCTAGAGCAAACTGTTGTTAACCGGCCGTTATACCGGACGCCATGTCGTTATGTCAGTGGAAATGAACCTGATAATAATGACGATGTTAAAAACTTAAAATCCTCAAAAAGATTTTCCTCTCTATCACGTCTCGCCCCTCCAGGCCACCGTAGATTCCTCCTTCCTGCAGGAACACTCCCCAGTTCCCACACACACCAGTGTAAACAAACATGGCGTTTGCTAAAGAAGGCGATAATTTCGTGGTTAAATAGGACAAGAGCGAGTCAGTCGTGTTGAATTGGTACGACTTCACAGTTTCAGATGAAGAGTAAACCACTCCCCGCTGTAAAGTCTGTCTGAAGGCGGTATCAACCCGTCACCATGGAAACGAATTCAGGAGGAAACACCAAAGTTTTTTGTCATATCGGCGTTTCAGGTGACTGTAAACGTACTTTTTGAAAACGGGTCAGAGAGTGAATAAATCTGTAAACGACGACCATTTCATCTCCGTGTGGATGTCTATCTGCATCTCTGGAAACGATCATGTGACAAACAGCGTTACAGCGCCACTTACTGGCTTGGCATATGCACTACATCATTTTCAGTGGTTTTGTTTTGAGCGATGATAGAAAAACTTTCTATTTTTGAAGTGAAGTTTGGTGAATTTGTCACTGAATAAAAAATCGATTTTATTTTTGGCCAAAACGGTGCAGCCCTAATTCAGCAGAACATGTTTGACATTTTCGACTCTGAGACATTAACTGTTCAGCCCACATCTCTACTCAGCAGACAGACCAAGAAGAGTCCTGTTTCTGTGACGGAGCAGCCCACCTGCTGTGCTGTGTGTCAGGAGGTTCTGAAGGATCCGGTCTCCGCCAGCTGTGGACACTGGTTCTGCAGACAGTGCATCACGTCTGGTTCATCCAGAGACCCCTCCTGTCCCCTCTGTGGAAAAAGAACCAGAACCAGGACTGAACAAAGTAAGACTGAACACCCGTCTGCTCCGATGATCGGGTCTGAAGCACGAGTGTGTTCAAATGTTTGTGTATTTTGTTGAGCAGCATGGACAACAACACTTTTCATAAACTTTAAGCAGACTCTTCAACTCTCTGTTTCAGAAGATCTTGGTCCACAGGAGGTTTTAGATGAACATAAGATCAGTCTGAAGAGGAGATGTGAACGTGTGAATGAAGGAAGTGATGAAACAGGAAGTAGTCAAACCCTCCTCAACAGGATCTTCACTGAGCTCTACATCACAGAGGGACTGAGTGAAGAGGTGAACTCCCAACATGAGGTGAGACAGCTGGAGACCACTTCAAAGATGAAGACCCTCCATGACACACCCATCAAGTGTCATGAGATCTTTAGAGTCTTACCTGACCAACAGAAGAAGCTCATCAGAGTGGTTCTGACCAACGGCGTGGCTGGTGTTGGAAAAACCTTCTCAGTGCAGAAGTTCACTCTGGACTGGGCAGAGGGTTTGGAGAACCAAGACCTCCATCTGGTGGTCCTGCTTTCATTCAGGGAGCTGAACCTGATCAGAGAACAGCGCGTCAGTCTTCTGAGTCTGCTCCATGTTTTCCATCCAACACTAGAGAAGGTCACAGCAGAGACGCTGGCTGTCTGTAAACTTCTGTTCATCTTTGACGGTCTGGATGAAAGCAGACTGTCTCTGGATTTCACAGACTCTGAGGTTGTGTCTGACGTCACACAGAAGTCTTCACTCAACGTTCTGCTAACAAACCTCATCAAGGGGAACCTGCTCCCCTCAGCTCTCATCTGGATAACTTCTCGACCTGCAGCAGCCAATCAGATCCCTCCTTCATGTGTGGACAGGATAACAGAAGTACGAGGCTTCACTGACGACCAGAAGGAGGTGTACTTCAGGAAGAGGTTCAGAGATGAAGATCTGTCCAGAAGAATCATCTCACACATCAAGTCCTCCAGGAGCCTCCACATCATGTGTCAGATCCCGGTCTTCTGCTGGATCACTGCGACAGTTCTGGAGGACATGATGAGCAGAGAGCAGAGAGGAGAGCTGCCCAAGACCCTGACTGACATGTACTCACACTTCCTGCTGGTCCAGACTAAGAGGAAGAAGCAGAAGTATGAAGGAGGACATGAGACAAGTCCTCAGGAGCTGATGGATGCTGACAGGGAAATTCTTCTGAAGCTGGGGAGGCTGGCCTTTGAACATCTGGAGAAAGGAGACATCATGTTCTACCAAGAAGACCTGGAGCGGTGTGGTCTAGATGTCTCAGAGGCCTCGGTGTTCTCAGGAGTTTGTACAGAGATCTTCAGAAGAGAGAGTGTGATCTTCCAGAAAACTGTTTACTGTTTCGTTCATCTGAGCGTTCAGGAGTTTCTGGCTGCAGTCTACATGATCCACAGTTTCACAAACAGGAACACAGAAGTTCTGGTGGCTTTTTTGGGGGCAAAACATCCAGATTTAACCCTGGATGACCTCCTACGTGAAGCAATGCTTAAATCCCTGAGAAGTAAAAACGGTCACCTGGACCTGTTTGTTCGCTTCCTTCATGGACTCTCTCTGGAGTCCAACCAGAGACTTTTAGGAGGTCTGCTGGGTCACACAGACAACAGCCCAGAAACTATCCAAAAGATCATTGAAAACCTAAAGGAGAACCAAACCAGAACCTCTCCTGACAGAAGCATCAACATCTTCCACTGTCTGATGGAGATGAACGATCTGTCTGTTCATAAGGAGATCCAAGAGTTCCTGAAATCAGAGAACAGATCAGAGAGGCTCTCAGAGATCCACTGCTCTGCTCTGTCCTACGTGCTGCAGATGTCTGAGGAGGTTCTGGATGAGTTGGACCTGACGAAGTACAACACAACAAAGGAGGGGCGACTGAGACTGGTCCCAGCTGTGAGGAACTGCAGGAAGGCTAAGTAAGTCTAAATGTGATGGTTACTTTATCAAAGTTTGGTGGTCACAATAACGACATCTTTAAACGATCCGATCTTCAAGTGTCCTCTTTGAAACTGGCTTTTTAACGAACATGTCACCTCACAGATTTTCTGGCTGTGGACTCTCAGAGATTCACTTTAAAGTCGTGGCTTCAGCTCTGACATCCAACCCCTGCCATCTGAGAGACCTGAACCTGAGCTTCAACGAGCTGCAGGATTCAGGTGTGAAGCTGCTGTCTACTGGACTGGCGGGTCCGAACTGCAAACTGGAGATTCTGAGGTTGGATCAGTGACTGTTGCTGATGAATGCATAATGTGACCAAACCATACGTTTCATTTTTATTCTAACAGGATTGTTTATTGTGTATATTTCTCATCCATATCTTTGGCTGGTGTTGCACATTTTAGGTTCAGCTGTGCTTCACATTCACCTGTATTCATGTGAAGTCACGAACATCAGGAAATTCAAATACTGAAATTACTGCTGCAACACTCAGAGGGACTTCATTGTTTTCATTCCAGATTGAGTGGCTGCAGATTGACGGAGATCAGCTGTGACTCTCTGGCCTCAGCCCTTAAGTCCAACCCCTCCCACCTGAGAGAGCTACGCCTGAATGAAAACAAGCTGCAGGATTCTGGGGTGAGGCTGCTCTGTGATTTTCTGGGGAGTCCAAGCTGCAGGCTGGAGATTCTGTGGTCAGAGACTTCTCTTTGTCAGAAAAAAAATCTTACGTTCAAACCCACAACTATCTGATAACAAGGAATTCAGCCCAACCTCTACTGTCCGCCCAAGTCAAGTACAGATTGTGAGGTCAGGACCTGCACTGACCTTCTCCTGCAGGTCTTGAGGATATGTAACATCCTGAAGACGCAGTATCATCAGACCCAGGAAAAAACACAGCACAGAAGGTCATACTTAAAACCAGGACTCCTGAACAGTTATCAAGTGACAAAGAATTAGACGTAATGACCGGAAACATTTCAGGAGCCCCTCAGAACCTCAAACTTATGAACTTGATAAATATGAACAATACAAAACAAATAAAAGGACAGTAAGACAACACCGTGTGATTGATTCTGTTTTCAGGTTGTGGCGCTGCAAACTGTCAGAGGTCAGCTGTTCTTCTCTGGCCTCAGCTCTGAGGTCCAACCCCTCCCATCTAAGAGAGCTGGAGCTGAAGAACAACAACCTGCAGGACAAAGATGTGAAGCAGCTGTTGGATCTAAAGGAGAGTCCAAACTACAGACTGGAGTTTCTGGGGTCAGTATCTCAGTTGTTTACTAAGTCCTGTGATGACAGGGACCGATGTCAATGTTGAAGCACAAAGGATGTCTCTCTCTCTCTGAGCCTGGAAACTGTCACCATCTGAAATTTCCCTGTAAATTATGGTCTAAATGTGCAAACTTGGACGCCAATATTATTGATTTGTGATTTCTGTGATCTGTTTTTCTCATTAGCTGGCGTTCGTGATCTCTGCTGGTGTGAGCGATCAGAGAGAGGAAAGAGGATCAGCTAAGTCCTGATGGTCCAGAGAGGCTGACTGTGGAGAAGATCGGACTGGGCCGTGGATGGTTCACACTCTGAGGTCAGAGCGTCAGAGTCCGATCTTTGAGTACCATCAGTATTTGCTTGACACAAACTCTGCAGACACTGAGACAGCTCCACACTAAACCACCTCCACCTGGGATGACTCAGCTCTGAATGCTGTCAGAAAACAGCACCCACCCTGCAGGCGTCAGGTCAAACATCTGAAACATTGACTTCCTACAACGTGATTCAGTCGGAGGTTTCAAATACAATGTACAAAAACACTCCATGTTCACTGAGATGTGAGACCCCTGTCTCTGTAAACTCTGTCTGAGACGGATTTTTAACAAGTGCTTCATAAAAAAATTAAAAAATTAAACCAAAATGTTCCACAGACTTTTTTTTCACAACTGCAAATATTTCAGGTGGAGAGTCGACGTTTGTACGGTCCTAAACAAAAGTTCAGACGATCCATCCATCCATCTCTTATTCTCTCTATCTCTCTCCGTTTCCTGACTGCTCTGTCTGACTCTCTTACACGCCTTTTTGATTTTCTGCACATACCACTATCAGCCACCAGGAGGTGCTGTGACACAGCTCTGGATGTTTTGAGGTTCTGAGGCTCTGACTGAGGACCTCTCAGCATTTCACTCCCAGTCCTGACTCCACAGTCCGCTGTTTCAAGGTCACTTAAACTTACTTTTCACCTCGGCCTGAACTTCAGGAAACCAGAAGGTGAAAATCTCTGCAGTTTTGCAAAGCCAGCAACTTTCCTCTCTGCGTTTTAGTCCGTTAATGTTCATGTGAGCCGAGCCGCTGCCCTAAACGAGCAACCTCAGGTAATTGGCTGCGTCTAACGAGGAGTCTGTGATAAGTGTCCGGCTGTACCACGGCGGCTCAGATGAGCGGATGATGTTAACGAGAAGTCCGCTCTGTGATCGAGAGCCGGAAAGCTGCAGAGACGAGCTCGCCGAGCAGCAGATGGTTTAATTGGCAATTAGAGGACAAAAAGTGCTCTGCTGAGAAGGTCTGAATATTCAGAGAGGCGTCAGCAGCAGCTCAGACTGCAGCTCCTGGTTTTTAAAGAAGATGACGTGATTTCTGCTCAAGTCTCTCTGCTGCCCTGTGTCTCCTCAGGATCAGGACTCAGACGGGCTTTTCTGTAAATTTCTGCAGAGTGCTTCGATTGGCTGGAAGTGATTCTGTCCACCAACTTCTTGAGAGATCAGAGGGCGTTAAGAAGAGAGTGAAAAGTGAAGAAACTGCAGAATGTCTTCTGGAGACAGATCTGAACAGATCTTGGGGTGCCCTCTTTATTTGTTTCTGCCCCTGCCCCTCAAACAGCCAGAGTACAGCTCTGCTTCTGTCCACCATGAAGCCAATAACTGCGTCTGCTGTTGAACCTTTGACCTCCTCCTCTGTTTTCACTTTGCTTTCTGGTCCTCTCTCTCTTTTTCAGCCCATCAGCTCCGGAGTTTAAATATCCGATTCTCCTTGTTCTCCAGCGTCTGTATTCCTGTCTGCTCTCTGTCTTTGCCCTCACCGCCTGCTGCAGTCAGAGAGAAGATTGCCAACATTAATCCAACAGCAGAGCGGCTGACAGCGAGGCTCTCTGCGGCCTGACGGCCGATCACACAGCCACAGATCAGTCTCGCCCACGCACTGAAGTTTTTATTATTCCAGAGTTTGAACAGATTTATCTGCAGTTCCTGTCTCCACTCAGACAGACAAAATTAACTTTTCCACTGTAACTCTGCTGAAGGAGGAAAAGGGAAAAAAATCAGCCTCTCCAAAAGTTCGAGCAGCTCGTCTTCGTCTTTTCTCAAACTGTTGACTTCGTGTTTACAGCTCAAACTCTGTCTGCAAAGATTTCACTCTGAACATGATACACTCAAGTTTTATTAGTATTATTATAACTATAATGATTATTATAAAAAAATACTAACCTCTCAGCATTATTCCACATCTTCAACATTTTTAATCCCATTTGTACTTTTCAAACTATTAAAATCTGTTTTTAAACTTTGTTATAATGGGAGTCAATGGGAAAAGGCTTTCAGACGTAGTCAACTTCAACCTCTTCTCACTCATTCATACTTTCACCTAGAAACTTCATTCAAACTTTAAAACATTCACCCACATTCAGACATTCACTCATTCATTCACCATCTTCATGTCATTCATACTTTTCTCACAGTGACAGTTCAAACAGTCACAGGATTCTCTGACCTCCTCAGGTTTTAACATTAGTGTGTATTGCACGGAATGTTGGCAGCTAGAGTGGGTGACCTCACAGCTAGAGTGAGAGGGGCTGAAAATTGATCCTCAAAACTTTGTCTTTACAAAAGGATTGTGACAACTCACTTCACTCTACACAGATAATATTTGGTACAGTGATGGCAAAACTCGCTGTCACTCTTCATCTCAAAAATCAAAGCCATAGGACACACACAGTGGCCTGGGCAGACACCAACTGCCAAAGATATCACCAACATTTCTCCAGCTTTCTCCATTGACTCCAATAGAAACCTGAAAGGAGGATTTTCAGAGGAAACACAAACTGGACATGTTTTTAACTTGTCCTTGTTAAGATATTTTTGGCTCCACAAACACAGAAGTTGTATCAACGTGTTCAGCAGAGTCTTGTGGTTCTCACAAGCTCTTTATCATGAAGATAGCAGTTAAAGACAAAGAGCATAAGGGCGTAGTTTGAGCATTGCTTTCTCAGCTTCAAGCCCCCTTTCTCCTGCTGTAGTGATGCATCTTCTGTCACCATGGTTACCAATTAGAGCACCTGGAGACACACAGCTGACTGGAAAGCTGCTTCTAACATCATCATTCATATTCATATCAAACTAAAGGGGGTCTAAAATGGGGCCCTGCGGCACACCTTCATGCTGGAGGAGTACGACGATTTTTCTAAAACTGGACTGTGATGTTGATAAAATTTCATCTCTATCTTTGGTCTCATCCTACACAGAGCTGCTGCTCTCTGAAGGGTGTCTTTCTGCCCTCTAGTGGCCGCAAATATCAACTGAGAGCTGCAGTGGTTCCAACATTAACTCTGATAACTGTTCTTCTGCAGAAACATCAAACACCCAAAGACAGACTCTGACCCTCACAGCAGCAGCAGCAGCAGCAGCAGAGCTCACTCTCTCTGTGTTCTCTGAACTTTATTGGCATTTTTACAAATCGGGCAATTACCAACAAGCTCTGGGCCTCTGAGCTGTTTTTATTGGAGGCCTCGCCGTATATGGCACAGATGGGGGGTTGGGGGGTGGGGGCGGGAGGGGGCGAACGAGGGAAGGAAGAAAAGTGAGATGAATGAGGAACGCTTTTAATTTGGCGAGGTCCTGTGAAGCTGCATGTGGGGACTGAACCGTAGCAGAGATTTGCTGCCGTGGTAACGGGGTTAAGAGGGGGAGGAGGGAGAGAGGAGGTGGGTGGGGGGGGTACAGTAGCATGTAAATATAAGAGAGAGGTAAGGAGGGGGGAGTTTCTTAAGGGAGGGACGCTGAAGGAGCCGCCTCTGTTCTCCCCCTTCACACACACACACACACACACACACACAAACACACACACACACACAGTTTTTAGGAAAGAGCCGAGAGTGCAGCAGACTGAAGGAAGGAAGAAGGAGGAAAGGAAAGAGGCTGAACTAACAAGCCTGAGCCTGACTCTCTCTCTCTCTCTCTCTCTCTCTCCTCTCTCTCTCTCTCCTCTCTCTCTCTCTCTCTCTCCTCTCTCTCCTCTCTCTCTCTCTCTCTCTCCCCTCTCTCTCATACACACACTCTTCTGCTGTATGTGTGCATTAGACAGGGGGCGAGCGAGGCAGCAGCAGCAGCAGCAGTGTGAGGAGAAACCAGAGCTGCAGGAACAGCCCATGTCTGCCGCCGCCGCCGCAGCCTGACAGTCCAGGATCAGGGTTTAGTGCGGGTTTGAGCTCCTGAGGCGAACAGGAGGATCCTCTTCTGAAGGAAACACTCTGACTTTGTCTCCAGGAGCATCTTCATGGATCTACAGCGGCTGCCCCAGCTGTCAGCTCACAGAGCTCAGAGTTTCTGGAGTTTCTGAAGAGAGCGGACAGAAAACCGTCGGTGGTTTTAAGAGGATTTCAAGAGGGTCAAGTTTGAAGTATCTCTGGAGACAACCTGAGGACCTACAGATCTTCTCTCTCCTAGTTTTGATGGCAGAGCTAGAGAGGATTTGTGAGTTGAACTTTGCAGAAAAATCAGCTTCTGTATTTTGAGGATTTCTGCAGCTTCTGTGGAGAGACAATCCTGCAGAGGAAAACCAGAGGACCAGATCCAAAGATTTCTGAGTCCTGATTAAGGAAGAAGATCTGATCAACATCTCTGACGTCAGGATTTTTAAACAGTAAGATACACAAACAGGTTTGTGCTGGATAACAAACTCTGTCTTTATTCATCCATAAAACAATGAAGGGAGAGACGTCCCTCAGAAGAAGAGCGGGTCCATTTCAGGGTCTGAAGTCCTGCTGTAACCCTCCTCTGAAGGTTTAGTTCAGAAACCTCCAGGAACCACGATCTTCAGCCGGCTCTGGAGCGACGTGCCCGGTTTTCTATGAGCACAGAGACGTGTCCCTGACTTGGTCCATGACCGTCACACTTCCATTATCATGTCTTTGAGATAAAGACACCTGGAACTCAGGACGGCCTTCAGGTGAATCAAGAACTTTGAATAAATGCTGACAAAGAGAAACCAGATGACTGCGGCCCCGTCCTTCAGGATTTACGCCTCAGATCCACATGTCTGCGTCTGTGATTACTCCTCTAAAGGTAAAGAGCCCTCTCACTTATTTATATATACATATATATGTTTGTTTTTCCTCTCTCGGTAAGATTCTTGTTCATCCACAGCTCTTATTAAATTCAGACTGATCAAAGATATTTGCTGATTTTTAACCTTCGTCAGAAACAGACATGACTGGAGCAGAGTCTGACAGGGATTCATGAAGACCACAGACGGAGCTGTCTGACTCTGAACTCCTCTGTGTGCCTCGCCTCGCTGACTCATTTCTTTTCAAAGATTCAGCAAACATCTTCATTTGAAGAACCTGACGCTGAGACACAGTCAAGGGTTCAGCAGGAGAGCAGGAATAATCCCAGGACTCAGATCCTGCTGTGGTCCCACTTTGAGGAGCTGCAGACTCCAGCTTCACCTCGAGGACTCTGTGGGTGAGGGTATCCTCTCCATGGTCTCCTCAGCAGCAGGAGGTCTGCAGGAGGACTCATGTCAGAGTTTACGTCTATTAGCTGAAGCGTAATTCAGATTTATCCTCCTGTTCAGGTTTATTTTGTCAGCGGATGAAATCCTGATGAATTCTGGGAAACTGCCGTCGTCTATCAGGTAAATTCATCTGATGAAAAGTAAAACTCAGTCGGACTCACAGAGAAGTTGTTGAACTCATCTTAAACGATGAGTTACAGCCACTGCAGAGTGAACTGTTTTTACAAAACCAGGAGGTTCGATTCTCTGAGCCGTGAGATTCAAGAGGGATCTAGAAAACAGGACGTAGAAGTTTCACCGTCTAAATGAAACGAGGAGGAAACTGAACTTTTCCTGGACTTGAGCGGCACCTGTGTCCGTTCAGGTTATCCTCATCAGTTTGATCAATTTGATCGGTTTGATCAGTTTGAATCAGTCGGATTCGTTTCCAAACAGCTGTCCACACAGAGGGCTGAATGTAAACAAAGGCAGCAGGATGCCCAGAGGTGCTTCATTATCATTCAAATGAACATGTTCAGTAAACAAAGTGTGTGTGTGTGTGTGTGTGTGTGTGTGTGTGTGTGTGTGTGTGTGTGTGTGTCTGTGTGTGTGTGTGTGTGTGTGTGTGTCTCTTCTTTTTTCAGACTCAGACTTTCTTCTGTTGGACGATTTCCAAGTTTGTTTTTCACACGAAAACTTCAGACGCCATGAGGAGGTGATGCAAGGACAACCTCGCAGGGCAGTGAGCGTCTGCTGCTGGTGTGTGTGTATGTGTGAGTAACAGTGTGTGTGTGAGTGTGTGTGTGTGTCCAGATGCCACACCACAGACTCCCACATCACACAGCTCGGTGGTCACTCGGCTGCTTCCAAGTTATTTCCTGTTGCTCAACATTTAGAGACCCGCTGGGAGGAAAATAAATCAGCTCGACGGAAATGAAAAGACTAAACCTCACCAAGAACCGACCACATCCTGAATCATCCTGAAGGAGGCGCTGCAGAGCCGAGCGTGAGGCCGGACCAGTGGACTCGGTCTCATTGTGGATCTGATTAGAGGATTACAGGCTGCTCTCTTCTCCTGCTGGTTTCCTGACTGTTTGTGGTTTTTCTGTCTGGATGTTCTGGATGTTTTCACGGTTGGATGTTGGATTACAGCGATGACTCCTGGTTTCTTCCCAAATAACATCAGAGATTTCACGGGGGGGAGATGTCCAGGGCGACGGCGGGTTGGTTTCTGAACGGTCTCACTCGATACGCCGACGATGGACCTCTTTATATTTTTAAAACACACGTACCTCTGCAGAGAAACGGTCCAATCCAAATCTAACCGGAAATAACTTCTGATTCTAACATCTACGATCACAAATGAGACACTTCCTCAGAGCTGACTGTCTCTGTTTTTACACCAAACTTTGGAGATCCAAGTCTCTGCCGCTCAAGTCTTGAGAGGGACCAGTTTTCATCTGAGGAGTCTCCACCATGCTCCCTGGAGGTCTGATCTCGGGCGGAGGGGGTCGCGGCGGCGGGCTGTGCCTGCTCCGGTGGCTGGGTCTCAGGTTGTGGTCCCGACGGGGGACCCTGGTGTTCGCTCTGCTCTGGTTTGGATCCTGGTTGTTCCTGAATGGCCTGGTTCTGGTCCACAGGAGCATCCTGTCCGACTACTGCACCGACGACAAGAGTAAGAGGATCCTGCAGAGACTGGTGAGTCCAGAATCTTCATTTATGGTACGGGTTTTAGATCGGCTCGTGTGAGGGTGGAGGAAAGGAGGAGACTGATGAAGACTTGGGGATAAATTCAAACCGGTTCTGGTTCTGTTGACAAGAACTGGACCAGACTTCAATTTCAGGTCTGGCTCTTTTAGCATAGTCTTGATAGTGGACCTGGACTTGTGAAGTCCTGACTTATTACTTGATTTGATTTTAACGGTGAGATCCTCGGTTTTAGAAGACCAGGTTTGGTCCTCAGCTCCTGTTTGTCTATAACAGAGTCATCACTGCTGTCTGTGAGTCAGCTGTTTTTTACTGATGAGGTTCATTTGAACGAGACGGAGCAGATTTGACCTCAAACAACATGGAGGTTCAATAAACACGCCGTTTGCTCTGCTGCATGAACAGTTCGTGGATGAGACTCCGTGTTTTTAATCTGCAGGATCCTCGGTCCTCTAATGAATCAGATCAGGACTGTCAGGGTTCGAGGAGTCCGTTGTTATGAGTACGAGGGACGAGGCAGACAATAAGAAGATGGTCTTAGTCCTCAGCTGATCTCCTCTGGAAACAGTTTCCTGAAGAGTTCACCGTCTCTGGTCTCATTTACTACATTTTAGTTCCATGTCATGAACCAGAGTCAAACAAAAGAGGAAGGACCTAAAATACAGACAAATAAAAAGGATTTATTAAAAAGAACGAAACGAAAAAACAACAAAAACTAACTTTAAAATGTCCAACTGAAAAATCAAAATAAAGACACAGAGGGAAAAATCACAAAGAACAACTGGAGACACAAACAAACGCACACACATGGACACACAACATGAACCAAGCAGAACAGAGGGGAAGACAGGGACGATATACACACTCAGGTAAACGAGACACAGGTGAGACTCAAGAGAGATTAACAAAGGAGGGAAAACTAAGGAAGTGAAACCAGACTAGAAACACAAGGAATCAACTCCTACAAAATAAAACAGGAAATAAAACTGATCGAAAGAATAAAACTCAGAGAACAGGAGGGAAACAGAGTCAAAGACAAAGACTGGACTACAGGGAAAATACACTCAAATAACAAACTCAGGAGAAAACTGAATCAACAGAACATATGAAGACAGTTCCATATATTTATAAATCTATAGACCACACGTTTGAGATCCACTTCCTGCTCTGTAGATATCTGTAAAACTCCACCTGAGCTTGTCTCTCAGGGAAGCTCATCCCTGATCCATCTCTTCCTCTTCTTGAACATACGATGATGTAAAGACGACTCTTCCCCGGGAAGAATCAAGTCCGTCCTCGCTGATTTTCAGACAAATAACATCAGAAATCAATCTGAACACTGATGATCTGAAAACTGTCAGCAGGAATGTGAGCGGCAGTTAGAGGACAGTGTCTTCATGGAGCTGTAGTCCTGCTGGTCTGTCTGACAGACGGACTATTTACACTCCTGTGAATCCTGCTGTTCAACAATCAGACAGCAAACAGTCAGTCAGATTACAGCCCTAATGATCTGCTGTCTTATCCCCAATTTCCACTTCATCCGGAGTTACGAAAAGGTCGTATCCTCCGATCGTAGCTGATCGTAACCATTCAAGTTAACGTGTCAATTTACACCGACTTCTTTCCGTTCCTCTGAGGATCGCCGGACTCCTCAGCTGATCACAAGAGTTCTATTTTTTCTGGACGCCGGAGCATGGCGGATAAATTCAGCACAGATTAACCCGTGCTGGAAAGGAAGTCGGGCACAGACACAAAATAAAACATCCGGCTTCTTTTCAAAATAAAACAGAAGTCTAGAAGTCTAGAAGTAGATTTCCTCCTCTGGAAGGACACAATCTACTGCTTATATGTCTATGTGTCTGTCTTTAGAGAGACGACTCGTTATCGAGTGATTGAACGTGAATCTGAGGGTTCTTGTGAGTTCTCATGATTACCGCTGTCTGTAATCCGCCATGAAATTCACCTCACCAATCCAGTAGGAATCCGGATCCGGTAGGAATTGGCGGATGGCAAAAAACGCTTCCACATCAGAGCCATTCTGGATGTGGTGGAAAATGGTGGTTATCCTCTGCAGCATCTCCTGACGCTCTGTGAGCATAAATGGATCACATGAGGCTCCTTCTTTCCTCTGAACCTCCACATAGTGAAGACGAGCGAGGAGGAGGAGGAGGAGGAGGAGGAGGAGGAGGAAGAGGAGGAGGACTCTGTGGTCGTCTTTAGTTTCTTCTCTCTGTTTTCTTTCACTTCTTCATCTCCTCCTCACTCCTTCTGCTCTGAAATCAGAGGATGTGGGGCGGTGATGAGAGCCTGTTGAATTTTCCTCTAAATCAGCTCATATTAAATTCTGTGGATGACAGTAAACCCACCAAGTGTTGTTGGTTCTGGTTCTGATCGTCCCCTCAGGAGATGTTCACAAACAGCTGCTGCAGTGCGCTCTTCTCAGCAGCCAGACTCTCATTAACCGAACCAGCCAGAGGATCTGATGGTCCACTGCTGCTGCTGCAGAGAGTCAGAGTTCTGGTCCGTCAGATCCATGCTGATCTGGATCCTAAAGTCATGAAACCAACAATCTCATGGACTGAAGCAGAAGGAGATGAACCAGGGCCAGGGAAAGGACTGGAGTCTGGGGTCTGGGGTCTGGGGTCCACGACATCATACAGGGTATGAAGACGCTAACAGTTGGGGAGGGTCCGAGCTCTGAAACCTCAGTGATGGAGCTGTTCCAGGAACCCTCAGCTCCGTGTAGACCACAGAAGACCTAAAAACTCAGATCAGCCCGCTGATGTGGTGAAATTAAGAGGCTGTTGTTTTTAAAGGGGCCAGCTCAGTCAAACCCACACACACACACACACACACACACACACACACACACACACACACACACACACACACACACACTAAAACCTCATCCAGAACCAGAGGAGAACTGATGAAATCCCAAACACACACAGAGATCCAACAAAAACAAACAGAGCATGTTTGCTGAGCTAACGCTGGACTTCAGCTCCATCCATCATCCTGGAGGTTCAGAGGAGGACTCCAGGAACATGAGGACTGAGACCTACAGGAGGTTCATGTTTCCAGAAGCTCATTTGGCTCCGGAGACGTCAGTAACTGCTGCAAGAAGAGGAAGAAGAAGAAGAAAATGATGGTAATCCTGCTGTCTCTGCTGACGCTCAGTCCATCACTGCACACCTGCGGGTTCAGACTTGTCTTGGCGGTTCCAGGTGTTGTAGTGACCTGGACTAAACCCGATCCCCTCCTTCCTCTGGGCCTTTTTCAGACAGATGTGAACAGGATACTGGCCTCATGGTGCAGATGTGGGGTAGGGGGTAGATTAGGTGGTTTCTTTTTGTTTTAGTTGCAGAGATTTGAGGTCAAAAGTCCCAGAATCCTTGAGTGACTCCGAACCAGAACACTTCACTCAGTTCTGACTCCCAGGGGAGAGTTCCTGAGGGGGAAGTGTCTGATGGGCGTCACAGAGGAGGATTACTTTGGTTTGAAGCCGTGCAGTCGAGCTTGGACGGACTGTTGATCTTTGTGATCACAGATTCATGCTGAAAGTTCGCTTTAATCAGAGAATCATAAACGCCGAGTCTGTCAGATAGAAACAGGCGAGAAGACGGTGGAGACTCAGGGTGGAGGTTTACGAGTCCTCTGTGTGAGCAGGACTGTGATGACGTGGGACGGGGATAAAAATACACTCCTGGGAAACTCTGGTTGGAGCTCATTCATCGCACATTCAAGTGATCTGCTCTGAGCTCGGACGTTAGCGCTCAGCCTTCACTGTCGGGTTAGTCTGAGTGAGAGCTGACGGAGAAATGTTCATTACCTCCATCACAGACGCAGTTTTCTCTCTCTCTCTGCCTGAGGAAAGAGCTGAAACTGGAGCAGGATCTCCTCTGAATATTTACATGAGAGGAGATGGAGGAGAATCAAAGATCAAACGTCGTCATCATGTAAAATTCTCTGTCATGTCTGAATGTTTTCTTCATTCTCACAGAAAGATTTTTATCATCAAAAGAAGTACATCGGAATTATTTTGCTTCATTTTCAGCAGATGGTTTTTTGGGGGGGGGGTTAATAAAGCTAATGTACTGAAACTCAAGATGGTCAACAAACAAACAAACAAACAAACAAACAAACAAACAAACAAACAAACAAACAAACAAACAAACTAGAAACTTGATCAGGAATCGTTAAAATAACTCTGTACCAGACTGTAAACATGTTGATCTCTGCTGTACAGAGTTAACATGAGGCTCTATGGAGACGGACTCTCTGCAGGACAGACTCTAGTGGACACTGGAGGAACTGCAGTCTTTTCACTCCATGTTGGCTAACACACTCATCCAGCCTGACCTCAGAAAATGCTGAAATATCCCTTTAACTGTCCGTCAGCTGCAGACCCTTGGTTCCCTGGACTCTCTCGTCTCAGTCACAGCAGAAATCTGCATGTTTCTGTAGATCCTCTGACTATTTATGGTCTCCCGGCTGATCTGGTTCTCGGTCTGACCCTGTCCCTGCATGTCTCTGGCATTCCTCCGCCTATTTATGGCTCCACGCTTCATTCTTTATGGCCCACCTCTGTTTCTGAATGCAGCTGGGTTTGTTCCTTCACAGGGTAACCCGCCTCTGTATTTCCTCGATCACAGTCTGTTTGTTCTGTGGTACATCTATGAAACGCTGCAAGTGAGAATAAGTGATCAGCTGTCCTGGTGTCTTCAGACGTGACACTCTCGGCTTCAGGACGAGCTCCGTTTTCTGACTTATTATGTACAATAATCATTTTAAAAGGCATGAAATAACAAACTACTGTCCATAATAATCTCTAATAAACACGACAGTCACTCCAAAGACAAAACAAAGAAAGTACAGCTATTAACCTGTTTTCAGGAGTCATGGTGTTTAGAAACCATTTCAGGTTAAATATTCTTGACCTTTCACAGACATCATTACATCTGTAAGAGCTGTCAGAGGTCTGTGGAGGTCCTGACACCAAAAACAAACACGCTGACATCTTAACGTGACGGCTGTGAGGCGTCTTGACCCCGTGAGCTCGTCTTCGTGTCGCCTGCGGCAGGAGGACTTCACTCTGTGTCTGAAACATGTGGTTAAGATACCAGAAGTGACGGGGTGTAACACCGCCGACAGCCAAAACAAGAAGTCTCCTGTGATGGTTTTTTCAGCGCTCGAGTCAAAGTTTACACAGTTTACACACTTCGACACATTCAGACGTTCAGGGGCCGCTGAAAACCTGCTGTCAGACTCTTTAAAGAGCTGCAGGGAGGAGACGAATGAAGTCTAACGGGCTGTCAGCGAGAAAACCTCCTCCGGGTTATCGTCTATGAGAGAGAGAGAACTGTTTTTTTATCTTAGTGACGACCAACATGAAGTCTGAGGACAGACTGGAGTTCATGTTTAGTCTCTATTCAGTAACTGTTATTGTTCTGTGTGTGTGTGTGTGTGTGTGTCTGCGTTTGTGTGTGTGTCTAAGCTTGTTGTGCAGAAGTACTTCATTTTATTTGGAGGATATTTTTGAGGATGTGTTGTTGTCAGTTAAGTTAAAGATGTTTTTACTTTTGTTCCCTTTTAGATCATCTTTACGGTCGTTGGAAGTAAAAGAGAAACAACTGTGTGTGTCTGCGTTTGTGTGTGTGTGTGTGTGTGTGTGTGTGTGTGTGTGTGTGTGTGTGTGTGTGTGTGTGTGTGTGTGTGTTTGTGTCTGTGTTTGTGTGTGTGTGTGTGTGTGTGTGTGTGTGTGTGTGTCTGCGTTTGTGTGTGTCGTCTTGTCTTTCTATCTCTGTGAGAGCCGTTCCTCGTGCTGGTCTTGTGGTTTCAGAGAAAGGATTTGGCGCAGCGGGCAGATATGTGATCTGACTGTTGAGGAGGTTTTTTCTTTTTCTGAATAAAGAGTTTGTTTTTGGTGATTGATGAGGAGAAACAGAAAAGGGAAAGATCTGCCAACGTTGGGTCTCCCTCTCACATCGTTCTTTTTGGTTTGGCGGACTCGTCCTGACTCTGGATTAATGATAACTTTCTGTTTGGATCATATTTTTGTGAACTTGCTCCAGCTGTCTTCGGTTTAAATGACTTTTCTCTTGTATCTTTCATCAGCTTGATTGCATCATTACTCGTAGTCCGGACCTTCAATCGGTTTTTAATGGGTTTGGTTTCTTCCAGGCAGCCGCTTGTTCCCCCTCTGATTTATGGATGTATGCTCATATCTGGATTACAGTGAAAATGAGGGCCACTGAGTTTTTCCAGGACATCCAGGGTTTATAAAATCAAGAGCAGACAGTTTGGACCCGGTACTGTAGTGGGGGCATGTTTTTCCAATGTCAGGCTGGTGACTAAGAGCTTTAGCACTGGACTGAAAAAAACTCTTACGTGGTTCAACTTCAGAAAAGGTCCCGTGTGCTCGGTCTGGTTTTAGCACCAAAACTCTCTAAACTTTAGATTTCCCATGATCCAGGTCAGAAGTAGTATGCTTGGTGTGTTAAGATACCAGTTTCAGGTTCTTAAGGAGTTTTTAAGGAGTAAATTATAATCCTGCAGAATAAGGAGGCAAATATTCACAAAAGAAGTAGGACTGTTCGATTTCCTTTTTAGACTCTCCAAACTATCTCAGAAATAGTTTAGACTTTGTATCCAGTTAGGACTGCTGCTTTAAACTGGACAGTTGATGCTGATTTAGTTTAGACCGATCTTTCATCAACTGTCTTAATTTAACTTAACAGGCTGTTCCTAGTTTGGTTTTATTCTCTTCCCTGAGTTAACTCTTCTTTTTCTTTCACAGATGAAGAATCAGAACCACAGTTATCAAAGATTATATCCCAAACAAAGTGAAACATAATATATCACACACAATATGAATCATAAACTTGACAATTATTAAAGGCAGAACACAGTGAAAAACGTGACCCGATCAACTCAGATCAAACTCAGTTCTAGTTCAGTGGTTTGAAGATTAAGTTCAGTTCAGCTCTAAATCCAGTCCTGTTTCCAGTTTAGCTCTAATAAAGTATCAGACACTCTTACCGCTCTGAAACCACGAACGAGCGCCGGTGGAACACCATCTAACGTTGAGTCGCCATCTTGTCTCCATCTTGTGGCTATCTTCTCACAAACGCAGCAAAGTCCAACTCCGAACAAGTTCACATTAACAACACAAAGAAACCCGACCTGTATGACAAAAGAAAATAAATAACTCTGTAGAAATAAATAAAGTCTATAAAGCCTTATATTCTGTGTGTTTAGCTTCATCGCTGCTGTGCGGCTCTTAGCTTCGCGCCCACGTTCATTCATTCACATCTGAGTATCAAAGACTAAATAAATCACCAGCTAGAAGAAGTTAAAACTCACCAAAACAACCGAGGTTCTCAAAAAGAAGTCTCCATGAATCTCCGATCAGGTAAACTCTGTTTAGAAGTTTAAATGATTCCGTTTTCACAGATTTAATCCTCTTCTCCTCCGTCTTCTTCACTTCTCTCAGAGAAGTCCATCACGTCTCTTAAAGGGGAAATGCCACAACTATTTTCTGTAGGCAGACTCTTAAATGTTCTCATTAAAGGGCTATCAAAACGTTTTTACTGACTCCTGATGAAGGAAATAAAGACATTATAACGATTTTAATCATATTTATCATTTAAATCACCTGTTGGTTTATTTTACTGGCAGCCATATTTGTTTTTATCATGTTTTTAATTCGGGTCACAATGTCCTTAACTGACTCTGGGTTTCTCTCAGGAGTCCTTTAGGTGTCCCCCAGATCAAAGTCCTCTTTAACCGTCCATCGGTCCTGGTGGTTGTCCTAAAGTTTCGCTCTGATATGAAGTCGCGTTAATAAACGTTCTTCGCGGTGTCTCTGGTGGAGATGTTCCTCTCTGTCATGAAGAAACTAAAAGGTTTTATCGTAAACGTCGTTCCCCGGTTCACGTTTGTCTTGTTTCAGTGTTCTGGTACTTCCTGTTTTTCTCATCTGTTGACTCGGTTGGGAGGATGATGGTGTTTCTCATAGACATAAATGATGTAGATTCATCGTAAACGCCTCTTTATTGCAGTAAAACTCTGAGGAAATAAAACAGAGACAGAAAATCATCATTCAGGTCTTTCTGTGGAGATTCAGACAGCACTGTCAGAGCTCAGAGCTGTAGATCACCTGAACACAGATCCAGGGTTTACCTGGATTAATCCTCCTGACGGCTCCAGTATTTATCTCACAGTCCGGCTCCGTTTAGCAGCTGCTGCAGATTTCAACATCTGCAGAAACTTCACTTCAGGGACCCGAGGAGATAAATCTGTCAGAGTCGGAGTCACTCATTCATCAGACGCCACCGCCGCTGGAGTATCAACACTTTATGACCGGACAGAGCTGCTCTGAACTCAGGTTCAGAACCGAGGTTTAGAACCCGGGTTCAGAACAACCTGCAGCACATCGATTTTCCTGTCTATGCCTTCAGTTCAGATTGATGCGGCTGTTAATCGTGCTGATGAGAACATGAACAGAGGAGACGTGAAACAGATGCTGAGGGTGATTATTCTCACAGTCTCTCTCTCTGGTCTTACTGGTTCTTATCAGATGACGGTCATTTTTACATGAAGCAGGCCCCAGGAATCAAAGGAAACGTTTAACTTTTAACGTTTAACTCTAAATATCTGATTCTTGACGATTCTTGGCCTCCTGACCCGGATGGATGAAAACCTAAACACACATCTGAACTCCAGATAGAAGCAGATTTGGGAGGGACGGAACAGTTCTGTCTCTGCTCCTCTGCTGTCGTACCCAGACTTTAAAAATAAACACAGACCGATCCCCGGAGTCTGGAGGAAGTGTTTGTCCCTCCTTACTTCCTGCCCCGGCGGCTGTCACTCACCCTGACAAGCTGTCGATGAGACAGAAATGGAGGCGAACACCATCTGTGAAACCTGCGCCGGAGCTGGAGCCGCAGAAACCTGGAAAATCTGAAAAGAGGGAACATGTGACCCGGAGAAAGACGACAGCGCCGACTTTGGGTTTAACGGCGCAGAGAGGCCGACCTCACAGGAAGTGGTGGGCGTTCTTCACTGCGTCTCACTTTAACACAGATGTTTCAGAGAATCAGAGCTGTGACGGCTCGGCTCCACTCCTGCTCGCTCGCTAATTTCCTCCAATAACACCAAAAAAAGAGCGTCTGACTCGACTGCCTGTCAAACTGCTGCTGTTTCCAGGCAACAACACGAGTCCAGACGTCGGACATCTTTATAAATGTTCAACTCTTTCAGAGACAGACGGGTTTATAACGCCGACCGTAGACACTTTACATAACCACAGTTTCTCAGGTTCATGTGTGTCTGTGAAGGAGGACGGCTCAGGCTGCAGACCTCCATCTGGACTTCATGGAGACAGAAACATATTTGTGACAATAAACTAAAGTCCTGCACCGCCGTGATGACCCGTCTCCACCGAAGCATCACTCAGCTCCAGTCCTGCATGGTGCCGCTTCTCCTGAAGCCTCTCCAGGAGTTTCCATCTCAACCTCAGTGTCTCCAGTCTTGGGAGGGACATCTAAGGCCCGAACTACACGAATGCGGATATATTTCAAACCGCACATATTTATGTCCGATTAGGCCTCCCTACCACACCAAACCGGGAGTTTGGAGCACTCAAACCGGATAAATCTGAATCCGGAAAAACAAGCGGAGAAATAAAAAAATATCCGTATCCCGTATCCGCAGTGGATTCGTGTGGTCGGACTTTTACGGATCGATGACGTCAAACCGCAGCTCGCGCATGCGAATTAAAAAGAAAAACAACAACAACAACGATGGCGGACAGACAGGGTATTCTTTACGTTTGTTTTGCCCTTTTGGGGCTAATTTCAGCCTTGCAAGTGAACCTTATTTTTTACAACTACATCCACCGGTCAGCAGCTCACAGAGGCGTCTGCTGCAGCCCAATACTTTTTTGGGAGAGCAATCGTAACGTTAACGTTAGGCGTTTTAAAGTTCGCCAGAAGCGTAAGTTTTGGGTCAAACCCGGTCGGACCAGCAAGTGGTGGGACAACTTCGTTAGAGGGGCTGTGCCTGCAGATGAATGGAAGCTAAACTTTCGTATGTCAAAGCGGCACCACCACAGATAGGATTGAGTTTGAAGGCTACGTGTGGACGCAGATATTTTTTTGAACTAACACGTGTGGACAGGTACATTTATTTAGACGGGAGAACAAAAATATCCAGATAAATAAATATCCGCCTTCGTGTAGTTCGGGCCTGAGTGCTTCCGAGTGTCATCTCCAGTCCAGTCCTGCACGACACCATCTATACCCAAGTGCTTCTGCATGGTACCACCTCCTGTCTGATCATCTCTGAGGCCTCATCTCATCTAAAGCCGAGTTCTGCTTTCACAGTGTCCACCACAGAGGTCTCCATGAAACGAGGGATTTCACTTTGATCGGAGAGTCTGATGGTTTCATTTACTGGAAAATGAAAAGGTGAGCGGACCCTGAGCCTGTTACAGACTCTCAGCTTTTCCTTCTCCTCCACGATCTTTTCCGACCACCAACTGGACCTGAAACTCAAAGAGAGAAATCTGATGGAAACGTTTGAATGTCTGTGAAAGGAAAGAAAACTGAAGAACAAATGTGAGTGAAGTGACATGTGCAGAGAGGGAGAAGTTCAGAGCAGGAGACATGAAAGCTTCTGCGGTCAAATTAACTTTAAAATTAGACCCTCCATCCTAGATCCTGATCAGACGTCTCTGCTCTGAGCCCCGGAGCGCGAAGGAAACTTATCAGCAGAAAACGTGTTTTTTGATCAGAAACGAGTCGTTTCTGCAGCAGCCAGTAAAAAGAAAGAGAGGAAGTGGAGGTCAGAGAGGGACGGAGCGAGGAGAGGGGACAGATAAAGACCAGAACCTCTGAGAGACGAGCAGAGGCGTCTGAGACCAGAGCTGAATACCAACGAGGAGGAGGAGGAGGAGGAGGCCTGCAGGGTCACAACAAAGCCCAGAGACGCCGACACCACAACGCCGCTCTGACATTCTGTCTGAAGTCGGCGCTGACCCGAATCAGGCTGAAACGACGCCTCTGAGCTGTGTGTTCAAACCCGGTCCTGTCTCTGAACTTCACCACACATTAGTCTGAAGACCCCCCCCCCCTCATTAGAGCTGCTCTGGATGAAAAACCAGAACTCAGTCTGGGTCTTTAAAAGGGTCTCTTTGTAGTTCTGTTGGTTCTGATCGTATAAGAGTCCATCCTGTTTCCGATCCAACTGAGACACTCGGAAAAACATTTTGTTTCCCGCTTTAATCACGACGTACTCAAACATAGACGAGTGAAGAGGCTTCGAGACCACCTCCCACAGGGGTCACCCTCAGGACCAGAGACCCCAGACTGAGACTGACCCCTGTGAGATCATGGTGGGCAGACAGAAAAACCAGGACCCTCTCTTAGGCCAGATGTGGTTCACTGTGACACACTAAAACCAGGACCAACAGGTCCCAAAAGTCTGCGTTTGATGAACTGGGTCATAATGAAGTCCACGACCAACTGGTCCTGGTCTCGGCATCAGGACTAAAGTTTGAGTCTGTCAGTGAACAAGAACCGTCACAGTCCTCACAGACTGATTCAGAGAAGAGCTGAAGGAACGACGGCCGATAAAATCACCACCTGAGGCTTTAAAGGGGGAGGAGAAAGGAGCGCAGGATGTTCAGCTGAGACCGCCGCCGTCAGCGCTGAGGAGACGAACTCACAGCAGTCAGTGACTACAGGTGTCAGGATGGGACTGAGGTCCAGAAGATCTGTGTGTCTGTGTGTGTTTGTGTTTGTTTTTGTGTGTGTGTGTTTGTGTGTGTTTGTGTTTGTGTGTTTGTTTGTGTGTGTGTGTGTGTGTGTGTGTGTGTGTGTGTGTTTGTTTGTGTTTGTGTGTTTGTGTGTTTTTGCATGAGCCTCAGATCAGAATCAGTTTGTGGTTCCATATTTTCATATTTTCATATTTTCATATTTTCATAAACAGCAGAGCAAACAGAGTTTCTGTTCTCTGCAGAATCAGCCTTTTGTTTGGACTCTCTGTAGGTGTGTGAGTGTGTGTGTGTGTGTGTGTTTGCGTGTGTTTGCGTGTGTGTGTGTGTGTGTGTGTGTGTGTGTGTGTGTGTGTGTGTGTGTGTGTGTGTGTGTGTGTGTGTGTGTGTTATTTGCATGCATCCCTCCATCACGCTCTCTTGAAGGTTGGATGTGAGTTTTGACACGTTTCAGAGCCTCCAGTAAAAACAGGACTCAGCACAAAGCCGCTCTGTCTCCGATCTCGTCTGTCTGAGACACTGAGACACTGAGACTGATGAGCAGATGTGTCTTTGAGGGGACGATGTTTGAAAAGGGTTAATCCGCTGTTTATTTTCCTCCCACTGACCCAGAGAGACGTTGACTTTCCCCGTCATTAAAGCGTCGGCGTGTCAGGGAGAGAAAACTGTGGATGAGAGGAACATGCAGAGACACGAGACACCAACAACAACCTCAGTCAGTTATCTGGAGACAGACACTAATGAGAAACTCAGAGAGGATCCTGGAACCTGGTCCTGCAGTACCTGAACTGACAGACAGGTCTAACACGGGTCTGAAGATCTGATCCAGGTCTGAGAAGGACTCACACAGACAATCCAGGGACCCCGACAAAGACCCAAGGACAGGTCTCTGTGGAAACTTTAGAGAACTTTATGGGGACCTGGAGAAAACCTGAAGGTACATAAAAACAGAGTTCCTCATATTCGACACGAAAGTCCACGACCCGGAGCTTCTGGTGTGTTGTTGTAGTTCCTGTTTTTTCTGGTCTCTGAAACCAGGACTGAGCCTGAACGTCTCTGAGCTCCGACTCCTTCAGGGTCTATAAATAAACTGCAGATTGGTCTGAGCAGTCAGAGCTGATCTGAGATCTGACGGCCGGCCTGAAGACGTGTTTCTTAAATCACAGTAATTGTGTTTTTTCTCTCTCAGATCTGTCTGCAGGGAGGAACGGCGGCTGATAAGCTCTATGGAGAAACGATGTGATTTGTTGATTTTATGAGTGTTTTCCCGCCGCGTCGCTCGCTCGCTCCTTGGCAGCCGACAGCTTGATCTGATTTATCATTTTCAGCAGCGAGGCGCGCTCTGGAAGTGAGACCAGCGTGAATTTATGCCTTTAGGCAGCCAGACGTTCAGCGTCTGAGTGAGTCTGAGCATGCTGTCAGAGACCATGCTCACACACACACACACACACACACACACACACACACACACACACACACACACACACTCACACACACACACACACACACACACACACACACACACTCATGACGTCCATAAAACCTCCTTATCTTTCGTCTCTTCAGGAGTTTTTCAAACTTCTGTCATGAACGGGTTCAACCGCAGAGTAACAGTTACACTCCAGTCCAGCAGGTGGCAGTACCACCACTCACCCCCAAATTTCCATCATGTCTGGAACAGCTTCAAGTTTTTGCCGTCCAACAGTTCCTACCAGATCCGTTTGTGAGGCGAATTTTCGCAGAGGATTACAGACAGCAGGAAACATGAGAACTCACAAAAAGCTGCAGATTCACGTTCAATCACACGATAACAAGTCGTCTCTCTAAAGACAGACACATAGACATATAAGCAGTAGATTGTGTCCTTCCAGTGGTGGAAATCTACTTCTAGACTTCTAGAATCAGCATCTCCTCATCCATGGTGTCATCGGGGTGAAATGACGTCTAAAAACCTTTCACTTGTTCGTCTCCGCCCGTAATGTGAAATAAGATCCGCCGGATGTTTTATTTTGTGTCTGTGCCCGACTTCCTTTCCAGCACGGGTTCATCTGTGCTGAATTTATCCGCCATGCTCCGGCGTCCAGAAAAAATAGAACTCTTGTGATCAGCTGAGGAGTCCGGCGATCCGCAGAGGAACGGAAAGAAGTCGGTGTAAATTGACACGTTAACTTGAATGGTTACGATCAGCTACGATCGGAGGATACGACCTTTTAGGAGACGATCAGCTTCTGACAAACACGTGAAACTGTGTGAGAGAGCTGCTGTTAATCAGCTGTTTAATGAGTGTGATCGCCACTTCATTCAGTCAACAGCTGTGAACTACAGTCACCTGATCACCGTCTCATTAGCAGGCTAAACACCAGAGCGAAGTGTGTGTGTGTGGGTCAGAGGAGTGTGTATCTGTGTGTGTGTGTGTGTGTGTGTGTGTGTATGTGTGTGTGTATGTGTGTGTGTCCTTGTTCATTAACACACTGTTGTGTCCTGCAGCTGTAAGATCAGCCTACACTTCCAGTGAACTGATCCCAAGTTCAACCGGTCCACCCACTGTGCATGTGTGCATGTGTGTGTGCATGTGTGTGTGTGTGCAGATTCACACACACGTCCTGGTGAATGCAGCGTTCAGCCCACACCTCCCACAGGCTGTAAAAATCTCTCTATTGTTCGTTCGTCTCTCTGGTGCTCAGATCAGCAGGTCTGAAGGACTGGATCTGCAGACTCATGGGGGTACTGTACATTTCTGCAGGTGACCTTTGACCTCCTGTCACCAGTGATTAATCGCTCACTCCACTTTGTCGGCACACTGGCTGTTACAAGTTACCGTGACTCTTCGATGATCCACAGGGAAACTGTCTTCCCTCTCGCCCCCTGTTGGTCTGGAGGAACATCAAGAAGTTTAGATCAAGTTCAAAATCTGACAGTTAACGATCATTCTGAGCTGATCCACAGTTCAGGGTCTCCTTGGTCCTGGTTTTGGGGTCCTGACTCTCCAAATATTTTCAAAGGAGGACAAGTCTGGACCACATTAGTCCAGTTTCTCAGCAGCAGGACTCTTCTCCTACAGAGCCATGCAGCTGTAATCCCTGTTGTCAGAATGTGGTTTGTCGTTGTCTGGATGGAAGCAGATGTTGTTCCTGAACTTGGAGATGTTGTTCCTCTGTAAGACCTTTTTACACGTTTAAGTTATTGAACAAGTTCAATAAAGTTTGACTGATCTGACTGTTTTGTTCGGCTTCATGCGCTTTATAATCCGGTATAATAATAATAGACGGGAATAGACGCGTTCGTTGATGGTGCGCCTTATAGTACGAAAGTACCCGAAGTATTTACAGAAAAAAACATTTGTTGCCTCGGCTGATTTTTTTATGCTCACATGACCCTAAATACATTTTACAATTCACACTCATCTATTTTTAGTCACAAACGCGAGTCAAACGGTCGCACTGTCGAGCCCCGTCTATACTGAAAATGATTCCCAGAGTTCAGTGTTCTGTTTTTACTGAATCTTCCACAGCGTCTGAACTAACCTGGTATAGGATCGATGGACAGATGACGTTCTGGTGGTTCTGGTGTTTATCAGGTTTTGAAATGAGAATTATCGTTCCTGTTTTTGAGCTTTGATGAAGTTTGGATGTTAAAACATGATTTCAGCAGGTGAAGGTGGGTCACACTGTTATTTTACAAAGAACCATCAGTGGTTTCAGATTTTATTTCTTTAATCTGATCATTTATTTCTACCAGAGAAAATCATTTATAATCGTTTCAGAGGAAAACGCTTCAGGCTGTCGACTCCTGAAAAACCTTCCTAACCTCAGCAAGTTCAGACACCGGGAACTCAGCCAGTCCTCCCTCTCTCTCTCTCTCTCTCTCTCTCTCTCTCTCTCTCTCTCTCTCTTTTCTCTGTCTCTCTGTCTCTCTCTCTCTCTCTCTCTCTCTCTCTCTCTCTCTCTCTCTCTCTCTCTCTCTCTGTGCTCGCTCGGCCGGCTCTCAGCTCGGCTCACACAGGAATGTCATTAAGGCGTTTTAATGTTCCTCACTGTTCGGCCTTTACCATTATGGAATGTAAAACAACAAAGAGAGCTTTGACAGAGAAACTCGGGCTCGGCTTTCTGCTGCCGCCAACAAACAGGAAAAAAGAGGAGCTGGAATCACAACGGAGCAAAAAGGGAGGATGAAGGAAAAAGTGAAGAAAGAGGAAGGATAGAATAAAAGGGGGAAACAAGAAGCTTAAAAAAGGAAGGAGGAAAAGACTGAAAATTAAAGGACAGAAAATTTCCTCAAGTAAAAGAAAAGAAACAAAAAAAGGAGTGAAGAGAAAAAAGAGAAAAGGAATCAATAACTCAGAATATCTCTGGAATGAGACGATGAGACACAGAAAGACAAATACAGGAGGTAACGAGGGTGAGGAGACAAACTCAGGCCGCAGGTGTGACAAGAACCAGACAGGAACAAGAGTTAGAGAACTACAAAATAAAAGAGGAAGGACATGAAACATGAACGTGTCAAAATAAAGGAAACTTAGCAGACATGATGGAGTGATGAAAGTGAGGGAAGGAAAAGAGAGAGAGAGACAAAGATAAGGAGGAGAAGAAGAAAGACAAAAATGTAACATGAAGATAAAAAAGATGGAGGGATGTAAAAAGAAGGATAATTAAAAACAGACTGAAGGAGAAACAGACGACAAAACAGGTGAATGAAGAAAGAGAGAAAGAAGGAGAAGAAAAGACAAACAGGACGGTTAAAAACAGGGAGAGAGAGAAAAGACTGATGTGATCCCCCCCTCACTGAAGGTCACAGGTGGGTCCAGCTGAGGGGTTCCTGAGGGGCGGAGCTAAAGCCGCCGTTTGGCAGACTGACTCTGACTTCATTAACTGATCTTAATGTTTCGGTCCAGAGCTCGTTTACTTCCTGTTCTCGTTTGTTCCCGCCGTTGGCCCGAGGGGACTCAGCCAAATAAACACTCTGCGTCGCTCTGCTGGCAGGAATCAGCTGCTCCGAAAACTTGGCGTCCGCTCCGGGTCTCAGATGACAGAGACTGGCAGACTCTTAATGGAGTCCGTGTTGCTGGTCTGGACTCGGCGCTGGCTGCTGAGCGTCAGATCCACGCTGGAGACAGACGGTGTTTACTGTCGGAGCTGGAGCTTCAGAAACAGATGAATGTGAACATCTGGACAAACACCTGCTGGAGCTCCACCCACCAACAGACTCTGCAGCCACTCAAAGCTGGATCCGGTTTTTTACTCCACAGGGACCCAGTCTGACCCTCCAGAGGGTCTGTGTGTAAAAAGGTTCTGGACTTGTGTCTCTGAAGAACCTTCACCGCACATCAACAAAGTTCTGCTTTGGTTCCTGACTGGCTGAGGTCCAAGTCATTGTTTCAAAGGGGTCCGGGACCCTCATAGAGATCCACAGGAACCTGGTCCAGGGACAAAACCAGAACTTTAAAAGGTCCATTTTCTGACCAGGGACAGTCCAACACAAACCGTGTTTGTGAGCAGATACCACACACACACACACACACACACACACACACACACACACACACACAGCAGTCAGTGGGGCTAATCCTCTCTAAACAGCGCGGTGGGACAGTTTTCAGTCTTCAGGGCCGAGGACACAGAAGCAGCTGGAGGGTGTGATGTGACGCAAGGCGGAGGAAATCCAGGGACTTAGTGTGGATCAGTGAGGACCACAGAGTCCACAGCAGAGAAACATGGAGGAGGGTCCTCTTTAGACCTCAAAGAGATCCAGCATGGTCTGGATCCAGAAGCGTCCCCCATGGTTTATGTTGACCCGGCTTTTTAGCTCTTGTCCGGTCTACCTCCGTTTTAAGCGCCCGTTATTCCTCCAGAGTCTCCGGTATTTACTTTGTTTTCTTGCTTGTGTCGGCAGTCGTGGCCAAAGGAGGATTCAGACAATTTTCCGAACTTTCTGGTTGGTTTCTACTGTCCGATATTGTAGCACGCTAACTTTGTTTGGGCTCCTGAACGACACGGGGGAGCAGCGTCTGCCTCACAACCAATCAGGTTAGAGGAGGTGGAGAACGGCTTTGTTTACAGTCAGAAAGAGCGGACCGCTCAAAAATGTTCAAATGTTGACGACACAGACAGAAGAGAACACAGAGATATCGATATATTACCAAATAATCAATAACTAATAACTATTGACTGATATTAGAAGATTTTTTGTAAATAAACAAAATAAAAAGATTCTTTAACAGATTCCTGACGACTCCACCTTTAACGTTTACTTCATTAAATGTCACTGGGACACAGTCTTGGACTGACAACGCGTTTCTGCATAAGTCGAGGAGCTTACACACACACACACACACACACACACACACACACACACAGACACACACACACACACACACACACACACACACACACACACACACAGACACACACACACACACTCAGTGGTTAACAGTCACGATGATGACAGACGACAGGAACCTTTGAAATCTGAAAAAGGAGGAGGGGGGCGATAATTGCTGAGCCCTCTTTGTCTCTCAACACTTCTCCTCCTACTCCTGTTTAGTCCATCAACACACACTCACACACACACACACACACACACACACACACACACACACACACACACACACACACACACACACACACACACACATTTTGAGTGGTCCTCATGTCCTCTTTGTAATTAGTCTTTGCAGAAAAATCATGTTTTCATGTCGAGAATAAAAACAACCGTCCACACGGTCATAAAAATATTAAACATTAATAATAATGAACTTTTTTATCACTAAGTACTCTGTGTTCAAAAACACACTCTAAAAAAAAGAACATGTCAAATATCTGATCAGAGAGCTTCAGTTTAACAGGCTTTTATTTTGAAACTCTAAACAGTTTACTGAGGAGATGCTGACAGGAGTAAACTGGTCAAAGCCGGATTACTGACGGACTCTGTGCCGGACTGTCAGACTCTCAGACGGAGCTGAGTCGGGATAAACGTCCAAAATCCTCAGCTCAGAAAAAAAGACCGAGACCAGGACTGTTCTGTCCACGGGTCTTTGACTGAAATACTTGTGGGGTAAACACAGCTGTTCAGTCCACGATGTGGATCCATCTGATCCTCCTGTGAACCAAAGACATCCAGCTGGCAGAGACGTGTCCGTCTGAGATATCCTCCACTTTAACATCCACTCATGTCCAGATTTACGGACCATGAGGACGTCTTTATGACCTGGGACACAGAGACAAGCTGAAATATCTGAACCCTCACCTTAGACATGTTCAGGAGGGTCATCTATCACCGGGTCTTTACAGAGTCCGTCTGTCTGCTCATAGTTAACCCGTCTGCACACCTGTCCCCCTTCTGTCCGATCTCCTCATGTCTCTCAGCGCACCTTCACCTGTCTGTGTCTGTCTGTGTCTGTCCATCTGTCTGTGTCTGTCTGTGTCTGTCCATCTGTCTGTGTCTGTCCATCTGTCTGTGTCTGTCCATCCGTCTGTCCGTCTGCCTCTGGAACCAGGACTCAGTTTTAAAGCTGGTCTCTCTCCTCTGGGTTTCACTCTGATGCTGAAAGTCGTAGTTTAGGTTTTAAATACTAGAATCATCTTTCATGTCCACAGTGTCTCTCTAGTATAGATGTCTCTATAGTTCATGTCCACAGTGTCTCTCTAGTATAGATGTCTCTATAGTTCATGTCCACAGTGTCTCTCTAGTATAGATGTCTCTATAGTTCATATCCACAGTGTCTCTCTAGTATAGATGTCTCTATAGTTTCGTATCCACAGTGTTCTTCTGGTATAGATGTCTCTGTAGATCATACCCTCAGTGTCTCTCTAGTATAGATGTCTCTCTAGTTTCATATCCAGAGTGTCTCTCTAGTATAGATGTCTCTCTAGTTTCATATCCACAGTGTCTCTCTAGTATAGATGTCTCTCTAGTTTCATATCCACAGTGTCTCTCTAGTATAGATGTCTCTCTAGTTTCATATCCTCAGTGTCTCTCTAGTATAGATGTCTCTCTAGTTTCATATCCACAGTGTCTCTCTGGTATAGATCTCTCTATAGTTCATATCCAGAGTGTCTCTCTAGTATAGATGTCTCTATAGTTCATATCCACAGTGTCTCTCTAGTATAGATGTCTCTATAGTTCATGTCCACAGTGTCTCTCTAGTATAGATGTCTCTATAGTTCATATCCACAGTGTCTCTCTAGTATAGATGTCTCTATAGTTTCGTATCCACAGTGTTCTTCTGGTATAGATGTCTCTGTAGATCATACCCTCAGTGTCTCTCTAGTATAGATGTCTCTCTAGTTTCATATCCAGAGTGTCTCTCTAGTATAGATGTCTCTCTAGTTTCATATCCACAGTGTCTCTCTAGTATAGATGTCTCTCTAGTTTCATATCCACAGTGTCTCTCTAGTATAGATGTCTCTCTAGTTTCATATCCACAGTGTCTCTCTAGTATAGATGTCTCTCTAGTTTCATATCCACAGTGTCTCTCTGGTATAGATGTCTCTATAGTTCATATCAACAGTGTTCTTCTGGTATAGATGTCTCTGTAGATCATAAATGCAGAAAATAAAAACCATCACAGTCCAAGTCTTCGATGACCTGCAGACCTGGTTTTGATGGACATCTCTCTGCCCTGAAATCACCGACACTAACGAACAAAGTCCATCATAGATCTCAGTGATGGACTCAGGGGTCCAGGGGTCCAGGTCTCTGCGGCTCAGACGGGGATGATCCAGCAGGTCTAAACCAACACTGAGGTGTTTGTGTCTGTGGGTCTGAACCTGAGCTCCTCACTGACGGATGTTTTTGTTGGAATGTGGACACGGCCGGGATTACCCGGGTAATCCTGGACCAGAACCACGCTAATCCCCAACCTCACACCTCTGGACATGACTGTGTGTGTGTGTGTGTGTGTGTGTGTGAAGGGTCTGAACTCTGCCTCATGTGGTCCAGGTTCAGCCCACCTGGAGTTCCTGATGTTCTCGATGACTGTAGATTATCTCAGAGCGTCCTCACTGATCCCAGCTCTGCTCCTTTTTGTCCCTCTCAATCTGCCGTACAGTGTCTGGAGTTCGGCGAGGGCTCGGTGACCGGGGACATGTGCGAGGATCTGTGTGTGCTCGGTCTGGTCGAGTACAAACGCTGCCTCTACTACGAGAACGGCAAGAAGGTGATCGAGGCGCGATGGCGAGGAAACCCGGTCATCCTCAAGTCCAAACTGGAGAACTTCTCCTCCTACGAGCCTCTGGGGATTCTGGAGTACCAGGTGACGTCTGTGTCTCATCTCTGGTTCTCTCTGTCAGTCAAGAACCTTTCAAAGTGGGTTTCCTGTTTCTATGGAGCTCCACTCGTCTGTTATTGACCTCCTCTTCTTCTCTCATGATTTAACCTTCTCTGTTTTTGTTCTCAGGACACAGCGGAGGACCTCTCTCCTTTGGACGTGGTTTTTTATGCAACTATGGAAGTGAGTCAGATCGGACGTGAGGTCTCGACAACACGTCTTCTTCATCAGCGTCTGCAGACAGAAAGAAAACTAACTTTTCCCTCTCTCCTGATCTCAGGTGAGGAACTCTCTGGGGCTGGCTGAGGAAGACGATGATGAGGAAGGAGGCGGAGGAGGAGGGAGTAACAGCTCTCTGGCCAGACTGTGGGGGAAGAAGCTGAAAAACCGAGATAAGAGTTACTCCAGAGCGGAGCTGGCCTCGCTCTGGTCTCTGCTGCAGCAGGAGGAGTACACCTTCCTCAGGTAAACACGGGTCCACCAAACATCCTGAGACTCTGGATCTGGACTTTAATCCAGCCGGATCCATCCATCTCTGTTTTCATTCACAACTTGTCTTCTAGTGATTTGACCTTCAGTTTTTACCCAAAGTAAAAGTCAGAGACTTTAAATCCGCCTACCAGCCTCTTCCTGCAGTTTCTGCCAAATCAGAGTCTGAGTCCTTGAAAGAGAGAGAAAGGTTCTGGGCAGAGCTGGAGGACCAACAGAGACGGACAGACGGGACAAAGACGCTCCGACATCCTAACAGGCTGGACGCCAAAACTCCACAAGTCCGAAAATAAAACCGACAAGTGAGGCGAGCCGCTAATCTGCAGACCGAGCTGCAGAGACGAAGACAGGAGGACCTGAGGGACTTCAGAGACTGTAGACCTGAACCGCAGAAGTGAGGAGGTATCCTTAACGACAAATACGACAAATAAACATGTGAAGAGAAGAGGAGCTGGAGAGGAGGAGAGGAGAGCATCAGCAAAGACACCGGTAAAACCAGGAACGGCACAGAGAGGAGGAGCTGGAGAGGAGGAGAGGAGAGCATCAGCAAAGACACCGGAAAAACCAGGAACGGCACAGAGGGGAGGAGCTGGAGCGGAGGAGGGGAGAGCATCAGCAAAGAGACCGGTAAAACCAGGAACGGCACGGAGAGGAGGAGCTGGAGCGGAGGAGGGGAGAGCATCAGCAAAGACACCAGTAAAAACCAGGAACGGCACAGAGAGGAGGAGCTGGAGTCGGAGGAGAGGAGAGCATCAGCAAAGACACCGGTAAAACCAGGAACGGTACAGAGAGGAGGAGCTGGAGCGGAGGAGGGGAGAGCATCAGCAAAGACACCGGTAAAACCAGGAACGGCACTGGGAGGAGGAGCTGGAGCGGAGGAGAGGAGAGCATCAGCAAAGACACCGGTAAAACCAGGAACGGCACAGAGAGGAGGAGCTGGAGCGGAGGAGGGGAGAGCATCAGCAAAGACACTGGTAAAACCAGGAACGGCACAGAGAGGAGGAGCTGGAGCGGAGGAGGGGAGGGGAGAGCATAAGCAAAGACACCGGTAAATCCAGGAACGGCACAGAAAGGAGGAGCTGGAGCGGAGGAGGGGAGAGCATAAGCAAAGACACCGGTAAAACCAGGAACGGTACAGAGAGGAGGAGCTGGAGCGGAGGAGGGGAGGGGAGAGCATAAGCAAAGACACCGGTAAAACCAGGAACGGCACAGAGAGGAGGAGCTGGAGTCGGAGGAGAGGAGAGCATCAGCAAAGACACCGGTAAAACCAGGAACGGCACAGAGAGGAGGAGCTGGAGCGGAGGAGGGGAGAGCATCAGCAAAGACACCGGTAAAACCAGGAACGGCACAGAGAGGAGGAGCTGGAGTGGAGGAGGGGAGAGCATCAGCAAAGACGCCGGTAAAACCAGGAACGGCACAGAGGGGAGGAGCTGGAGCGGAGGAGGGGAGGGGAGAGCATCAGCAAAGACACCGGTAAAACCAGGAACGGCACAGAGAGAAGGAGCTGGAGTGGAGGAGGGGAGAGCATCAGCAAAGACGCCGGTAAAACCAGGAACGGCACAGAGGGGAGGAGCTGGAGCGGAGGAGGGGAGGGGAGAGCATCAGCAAAGACACCGGTAAAACCAGGAACGGCACAGAGAGGAGGAGCTGGAGTGGAGGAGGGGAGAGCATCAGCAAAGACACTGGTAAAACCAGGAACGGCACAGAGAGGAGGAGCTGGAGTGGAGGCGGATTGTAAAACTGTTTGTAGATGAAGTAGGAGGAGCAGGAAGGCTGACGACGTTCTAATGAAACTTCCTTCTTCACATTTATAATGGAGGTGATCAGCTGATATTGACCGGTGTTCAGATCAGCTGATGTCATGATCGTTTCTCCTGGTTTTGTTATTGAGAACATTGTGAGTTTTTCCTCGTGTTCCTGTTTTGTGTTCAGTCTTTGAGGTCCAGACTGTGACCCTCCATCTTCCTCTTCTGTCCTCAGAGTCCTGCAGGACCTCAGCACCCATGTGGCCAAAGTGCTGGGCTCCTGCGGTCACTTCTACGCTGTGGAGTACCTTTCAGCTGGACACGCCTGGGACCAGAACATCTTCTCCCTGGAGGACGTGGCTGTTTCCGGGCTGCCGGGTCCGGGCCGAACCGGAGCTGGGGCCGGGGCCAGGGGGAGGTGGACCACCAGGGAGATGGTTCACCGCATCGCGCTGAGTTTCCTGGACATGGTCTGGCACTTTGACAACGACTTCTCCCACAAACTGCACCTGTGCGACATCAAGCCGGAGAACTTCGCCATCAGGAAGGACCTGACGGTGAGTTTTCATCACGGTCAGGGTGATTGGAAATGACCTTCTGTCCTCCAGAAGGACCACAGAGCCGCTCTGAAAGGGTTCGGTGTTTTCAGAGGATGTGATGGATGTAAACAGATTAGAGGCCGAGCAGATACAAAGGTAAAAGGGTTTTTTAAAGCCATTAGACGGAGGAGAGATCGGAGAGCAGACAGACGACTACGTGAGGCTTTTCCTGAGGAGAGATTATTCAGGCTGAAGCAGAAGAAGTGACCCCGCCTGCAGGAAAGACAAGGTCACACACACAAACACAGAAACACACACAAACACACACACAAACACACACAGAAACACAGAAACACACACAGAAACACACACAAACACACAGAAACACAGAAACACACACAAACACACACAAACACACACAGAAACACACACAAACACACACACAAACACACACAAACACACACACAAACACAGAAACACACACAGAGACACACACACAAACACACACATTTATCAAACTTCACCGTTACAGTCAGAAAAAATGACCTTTTTTCCTCTAAAACAAACTAAAGCTGAGAGACAGAGTCAGAGTTAGAGTCAGTTTTCTGATCCAGACCACAGTCATGTAAAAGCATGTTAGATCTGAGCGCTGCACCACCAACAATCACAGCTGGATCAGGATGACGGGCCAACAGGCTGAAAAACAGCCAGATAGAGTTTGTGGTTCCAACAAACGTCAGTGAAAACAGAACTCTTACTGTTCCCTCCGGTGTTAACAGGTTCGAGCCTCCATTAAAGTCCTGACGCAGAGCAGCTTGAGGCCCTCGCTGTTGTGGTGCCAGGAGTGTAAACACTTTTATTTGAAGAGAGAAATCTCATAAAAACTGAAAGGTTTTCAGCGTCAGAACACAAACGCTGTCTTTGAGGAAAGATTCGACTGTGTCTGCGGTCTGAAAACAGATGAATCCAGGAGGAGTCTGTCCTCGGACCTTCAGCTCTGCAGTCAATCAGCTGTGACTCAGTTTCCTTTTCAGTTTCACTTCAGAGTTTTTTTCTGCAGGTCGTGGCGATCGACGTGGACATGGCGTTCTTCGAGCCGAAGATGAGGGACATCCTAGACCAGAACTGCAGCAGCGACGAAGACTGTAACTTCTTTGACTGTTCGTCCAGGTGTAACCTGAACAAACGCAGGTGCAGCCCCCGCCGCCGCAACAGTAACCTGCAGGTGAGCCAGAGCCGGGCCGCTGATACCCGAGAGCACGGTGATGATTCATGTGAAACTAAAGCAGGAAACTTCAGTCCAGAAAAAACACCGTCCACCCTCAGACATCCCAGAATTCAAGATTATTGTCGAATTATTATTTTCTGTTCAGTGCAAAAAAAAATTAACTGTAAATCTTAAATTACTAAATACAAACAGCACATTCGTAGTAAAACATCTTTCTTTACACTTAATATTAATTAATGCCTTCACAGAAGTTTAGATGAATTAAATTAATCTGCTGGAATCATTTTTAAGATAATTTCTAATTTTCCTTCAACATCTAAGAGACGTTTTACATCAACTGTGAAAAACTTACATTAAGTGACACAAAAAAAGTGTCAACTCCCTTTAACACATTTAAAATTATCAATCAGTTTATCAGTCAGACCGTATCTCTGTGGGACTTTTCATTCACACATCGAAATATATTAAAAACAGACAAAATCCTGAAATATTCAGAATTTTTTTGTTTTTTCATTTTGTTATTTAATATAATAACAAAAACAAAATTTTAAACAACAGATCGAAAAATAATGAAATATTTAGAAAATGAAGAAATTAAAACAGAAGAAAGACTCAAAAAAACTGGAAGTGAGGACACGCTGTCATGAGTTTAAAGAGAGGGACACTGGAGGTCAGACAAAGATCTGAAAACTCAAGACAGGAGATCAATTAAACAATATCAATTAACTTTAAAAATGAAGGAATAAGTAAAATAATAATTTTATTTTAAAACTAATAGATGAATAAATAAAAAGGATAAAAAAGACTAAGATTTTACAATTCAGCCGATGAATAAATAAAATAAAACACAAAGTTGATCAGAGATTATAAATAAATTAAAGTTTAATAAATAGTTCAATAAGATAGACGAGGATTTAAAGTAAAGAAAAATAAATAAATAAAATACATGAACTCGGAGATGGAGTTATCTGAATCATGAAACGTTTATCAAATTTAAATGAGTTTTATTCATTTAAATTTGTTTCCTTTAAATCCGTCTTTATTTTGCTCTCTACCACAGAAGGGTAAACAGTTTTTTCTTTAAACTTTTGTTTAAACAGTTTGAGGATGTGGTGTGTTGGACTCTCTTTATTTTAAACTGTTTATTTTCACTATCAAAAGTTTTTTTTTTTTAATGACTTTACAACGAAAAATTTCATCTTCTGATCGTTTTTACTTTAATTTTTTAAACTGAAATATTCAGATGTTTTTATCATAAATCTTTAGTTACTCGTTTAACACGGAGAGTTAAAACATGAACTCTTGGCTTAGTTTTATATTCTGTTTCTTTCCGATCAGTGCTCACCTTTATGTCTTTATTTCTTATTTTCAGTTATTTTTATGAAACAATGATTTTTGTTGTTTGCAATACCTTTCTTTTACATGATGTATTTTTATTATTATTACAGTTTTAGTGTGTTTAAACTGACATTAGTAATTCAAGTTTTTATTGAAGGTGTGAAAAGAAACTGGATTATTGTGAAATGTTTAAAGTTTATCAGTTCGTCAACTTAAATCATAATATTCAGTTTTTCACAAAAAGAAAATATCTGCAGGAATCTCAAATTATTTTGTTTTAAGAAAAAGGAATAAATTAAAACTATTAATACCAATTCTATTACTATCAATTTGTGATATAATTCTTTATTGTAAAACTGTATAATTAAAGTTATATAACAAATATAACAAAAGTTTATCAGAAGAAAACACAGCTACTCTATATGATAATAATAACATTAATTATAATAATAATGATAATAATACTAATTAAAATAATAACTATAACAACAACATTAATAATAAAACTAATAATAATAAAAGTAATTATAAAATAATAATAATAATAATAATAATAATAATAATAATAATAACTATAACAACAACAACATTTATAATCAAACTAATAATAATAATAATAATAATAATAATAATAATAATAATAATAATAATAATAATTAAAAAAAACTAATAATAATAATAATAATAATAATAAAAACAAATAATAATAATAATAATAATTATAAAATTAATGCAAACTAACGACACTTTGCAGCATCGGCCTCGCAGACTCACACAAAATGTCCGAGTTTGGGTCCCAAAGGCCAAGTCGAGTATCACCGTCATCGCCGTCATCGCCGTGACAACAGCCGGACAGACTCTCATCGCCCTTCTGGCTCCTGTATCATGTGTCACATGATACCTGCATTCATGGGAGGAGAGTATGCATTAATAGGAGATGGAGGGAAAATGTTTTCCTGCAGGTGATGACGGGATGTGCACAAACATCTGATGAAGAAGAGAAGGAGGCGGCAGACGATGAAAACAGAGAAGAGAAACGCAGATCTGTTCCTGATGAAAGAGACGAGTAAAAATAAAACAAAGTTATAAAATACAAAAGATTTGTTTGGAAAAGAGAGAAATAAGAAATTAAAAGATCATTTTAAAATAGAAACAAACTGAAGAAGAAAGTTGGAGTGATTCTTCTTGAAACAAAGATGTAGAGGTAAAAAAACTCTGAGTTAGAAGAACAAAAACCATCAAAACTAAAAACAACATTAAAAGATAAAAAGTGATGAAAAGAGAGCAGAGATAATGGAGGGAGGATCAGATGATGGACAACAGGAGAAGAAGAAAGGAAACAAGAGAGGGAAAAAGACGAGTGAAGAGCAGACCAAACACAGCGCAGATAACACGGTGATGACATGCTGCTGTCCTATTGGTCTATACGGGACTCATCAGGTGACCTCTGATGACCCTCCACCTGTCAATCATGTCAAAAGAGAAAGGACCCATTGTCTTAACGTCGAGTGTGAGAGTGTTTTCCTGTTTTAGGAGGTTCTGGGAACGTTCGTTCTCGTTCATATCTCTGTAGACTTCATCCTCACTTTCAGATATTGATCCCTGATTGATGATTAATCTGAGGCCGGTCTTTAACTCCTCCTTTAAACTCCTCCTTTATGATATTTCTCTGCTCTATGATCGGCTCACATGTTCCTCTTCTTTGCTCCAGGTGATCTGTGAGAAGATCTTCAGGCCCTGGTTTTCTCCCACTCTGCTGGGGGCTAAAGCTGGACTCCCTCTGCAGGTGGGGGTGTTTCAGCTCCACTGATGGAGTTTATTTTGTGTTTATATCTCCTGAATCTAAAGGAACAAACTTCTGTTAGACATAAGTTCAGCAGGAACAGGTGGATCTCGTGAACTCGTCCTGTCTCGTGTTTTTCTGCACAGGTGGAGCTGCAGCGAGCGGTGCAGGAGTGTTCAGAAACTGAAGGAGGTGGAGAAGACAAAGAGGATGATGGAGGTGGGGGAGGGGAGGCGGATAAAGGCGGAGGAATCCATCAGCGTCTCCTCAACATCCTGACTCGCCTTCTTCAGGAAGGAGCAGCTTCAGGGGAGGGCGGAGAGTCCTGGCAGGGCAAAGGTCACGTCCACACCGCACTGAACTTCTGAAGGAGGGAGAGGTGGAGGTCAGAGACCTTCTGAGGAGCAAAAACACCTTCAGTGGAAGGAAGACGTGTCTTTGTGGTGTGATGTCCTCCAGAAGTTCAAGAGACGGAGGTGATGTTCTGCTGGAATCCTCATCCTGGGACTCTGGTGGACTTTGTCTGGAGGTAAATCTTTGAGGTCCTGCAGGACGATGGAAATCAGAGTCTCCGTAAAAACAGACAAAAGACTCCTCTCTGATCCAGGAACGAACACTTACGTCTGTCTCTGCTTGTTTGGGTCCTGAAATAAAAGACAGAGAACTTTGATGCTCCGTTTTTATGGACAACTCTCCTCCTTAAAGGACTTAACTGGACCTTTGACACCTTCTGGATAACTGGAACACAAACCTGACCTCCCATGGTTTGTCTCTCTGATTCTTGCTGTTTTCACAGGTTGGATTCTCTGTGAACATGTTACAGATTTTTCTGGATATTGAAAATATTGTCTTATTGCAGAAAAAGTCTTTAAAACTTCATTGCACTGAATCTGGGGACTGAGGACTGGTGTTCAGAGAGAGGCAGCTCAGCGATGTCTTGGAGACCTTCTCATTGGAGGAGTTTATTTTGGATCCAGTAAAGGCGGATCCTCTTTTATGATTTCCTAATTTTACAGATTTTTTAGTCTCAATGAGATTTAAAATCCTCATTTCTTGACCCGGATCAGATGTAACCCTCTGTAGATGCAGAGAAGATAACTACCGCTAATAATCCCAGTCAACAGGTGAACAGAAGTTTACAGCCTCTTTTTTAGACATTAACTGGATTAATTTGGTGTCAGATTAACTTTGAAGTGAATCCAGATTTGATCTTCCTCGAACTTTTCCTCTTCCACTGATTAAAACAGTCAAATAAAGACGTTTCAATAAGGCCAGAGAAACAGTGAGGAGGTCAGATACTGTGTTTCAAGACCAAAAATACACCAGAAGTAACATCCAGGTCTGAAAAAGCCGCTGCAGAAGTGTCTGTAAGATGTACTTTTAAAAACGGCCAGAGGGGGCGACTCCACTGAAAAGTCCTCCTCAGACTTTTCTTCAACATCATGATGTTGATTCAGTCAAATGTAGTTCTGCATCGAGTCAAACCGACCAGAGAGCAGAGAATCAGGGCGGGGCCGTCTGAGATGAACAACATGACAGAAATCTGAACAGGAAGTTAGGCTGTGGTCGACCTGAAGTCCACCACAGAAGATCATGGTGGTAGATCATGATCAGAAACATCACAGAGGGAGGGATGATGATGATTATTATTATTATTATTCATTCAAAAATAGCAGACGACCTCTAGTGGAGACTTAAGAAACTGCAGTTTTAGAACTTTTAAAGTACGTAAGCTTCAGAACTGTCCTGGTCTAACTCATAAATTAAAACCGGACCTCTTAAAGGAGGTCTGCGACAGAATCAGACTGACACCAGAAACACGGTTCTCTGTCCCTGAACGGCTCCTTTGTACGCCGGAGTTTCTGTTGACTGTGATCCACCGACTCAGCATTTATAATGCACAGCAGCTAACTGGTCTGTAGCGGGCCATGCTAATGTAGATAAACTGGTTCTGTTGGTTTCTGGTGTGTTGGTGAGCTGAATAATAAAATCTTTAATAATGTGAAGCTGACGGCTGTTTGTTTCTAAGGAACTGTTTCATATCAGCTGGTGGGCGGAGCTAGGCTAAGGTTTGTTCATTATTTTTATACATTAACGGTGTGAGTCAGACGCTGCTCCCCCGTGTCGTTCAGGAGCCCAAACAAAGTTAGCGTGCTACAATATCGGACAGTAGAAACCAACCAGAAAGTTCGGAAAATTGTCTGAATCCTCCTTTGGCCACGACTGCCGACACAAGCAAGAAAACAAAGTAAATACCGGAGACTCTGGAGGAATAACGGGCGCTTAAAACGGAGGTAGACCGGACAAGAGCTAAAAAGCCGGGTCAACATAAACCGGCGTCTGTTTGTGGGCGGGGCTTAAGAGAGGGAGGGGAGGAGCTGAGGGGAAAACTGGTTGGAGAGGTAGAGTTTACATTCAAGATTTCTCCTAACCCTAACTCAGATCCTGACTACAACACCTTTAACTTCGACAGGGATCTCAAGTCTTTAAATCAGGAAACCGACTCCACCCTGAACTGTAAAATCATCATAAAAGTATGAAAACACTCAGCAGGACTTTTCCTCTCACTGATCCTTATTTCTCCTCCAGATGTCCACCTCTGGGACGATCTGGTTTCTGCAGAAATCACAAAAATGTGAGAAGAAGCGGGAGATGAAAGGTAGACACAACATTTCAGACACGATCCCCAACATCCATCTGGAGAGAGGATTCAAAACACGAAACAACGCCGACATTTACAAAACACTGAAGAGTTTGGGTAGAAGAACAGACGTGACCACCACCACTGAAGTCTGGAAACACGATACGGTCTCAGAGTGAAATCAGTCGACCTTCAGCTGACCTCTGAGCTCTTGTTCAGATCCTCACTGGAGAGTTTTGTCTCATCATGACCCCAGAGCAGCGATAAACAGCTGAAGTAACATCTCTATGAACCTCTGAGAGACAATAACAGAGGAACTGACGGACAGAAGCAGGACGGAGAGTTCTGATCCGAACAGTCGATCTTTAACTGCTGACTGGACTGAAACCGGGTCAGTGGATGGAAACGACGTCTTGAAGTTGTTTGTGGCTGTAAGAGAGAACTTTGGCCATCGTCCCTGAACACTTATCTTCTGATCTGACAGCAGCCTGTGGGCTCAGAGGTCCGTTCAGAACCGTCCAAACCCACAGAGGGAGGAGCTGCTATTAAAGCTGCATGTTGTGAATTTTCTCTGTAAACTCAAACATGTGTCTCTGATGAGCGTTCGTCCTCCTCCATCTGTTTCCAGAGACAGAAAACAGACCGACTCATGTCCCCACATCGCTCTAATGGAAAATATTTACATGGAGATCCGTCTCTGCTCGGCCGGCTCCGAGTCAAACCCGGTCTGGCATCTTTCCAGGGTTTTCTTTAGGACTGAAGGGAGCAGCTCAGACGGACTCTGGGAGTTTAGAGAAAACCAGCAGGAGAAAACTATCTGACCCTCCTCCTGCTGCGTCTCTGGGTGTTTGACTCTGACTGTCCTCCAACACCGACTGAGATCTTTCTGCCAACAGACAGAGTGGTTTTCATTTTTCTCTTCATGGTTTATCAGCTGTTGACACGCCAACACGTCCATCTCCTTCCTCTGCTTCTACAGGTCCACTCTCTCAGCTCCAGCTGCTCCATCACCTCAGATCATCTCTCCACGGTAAGTCGGTGGATGTTTGGATGTCTCTGGCTCTTCACAGTCTCCAGTCCCGACTCGACTCTGTCTCACAGGCTGAGACAAGTTCAGCAGCAGGAATTCTTCCTGTCTGCCAGAACGGGTCATCAGATTTCAGGTTCATGCCTCTTCAGAATGAGATCATCAGGACTTGTTAATTAGCCGCCGTGTGGAGCCAGAGAGGGATCAATCAAAGACGGGTGAATACTCTGAAGTCTCACTCTGAGTCTCTTTTGTAGGTGGAGATAAATGATCCAGCAGTCTCTCCTCAGCCTGTTATTAAATTCTTACCCTCAGGTTTTATTTACAGAGCTGTCAATCATCTCGTCCGTCTATCTCCCAGTATGTTGGAGTGGGAGGAGTCGTGTCCTCATGGTAAAACCGGAGACGAGGAGTCGGTCTGGCCTGAATGAAGTTTCCTGGATCTAAACTCAGAGTCGTGTTTTCTCTCCGGATCTCATCTGCATCGAATTTGTTGATTTTCAGAGTCTCCAGCAGCCACTGGAGGAGCCAGGAGAAGCTGATCCTCATTATCCCTGAGAGGAGACACGCCTCCTCTTTAACTCACATTAAATCTCTGCAGTTCAGCTGCAGGAGAGACCAGCTGCTGAGGAGGTCAGGCCGAGGGAGGAGAAGAAGGGCGTGAGGAAAACGGGTCAGGTTCTTCATCAGGAGGTTAAAATTCAAGATCATCAAACATCTAACTGTCCAAACAGAGTCCAGAACCAGAGTCCAGAACCAGAGTCCAGAACCAGAGCAAGGTCAGTCCACATGACCCTGACCCAGAAGTGGGGGAGCAGGAGGAGGAGGAGCGGAGGTGGGGGAGAAGGTGGAGGTCCTGAGGTGGAGGAGCAGGAGGAGGAGCTGAGGTGGAGGAGCAGGAGGAGGAGCTGAGGTGGGGGAGCAGAGGGAGGAGTAGAGGTGGGGGAGCTGAGGTGGAGGAGAAAGAGGAGGAGCAGGAGGAGGAGCTGAGGTGGAAGAGAAGGAGGAGGAGCTGAGGTGAAGGAGCTGAGGCGGAGGAGCTAAGCTGGAGGTCCTGTGGTGGAGGTCCTGAGGTGGAGGTCCTGAGGTGGAGGTCCTGAGGTGGAGGTCCTGAGGTGGAGGTCCTGTGGTGGAGGTCCTGTGGTGGAGGTCCTGAGGTGGAGGTCCTGTGGTGGAGGTCCTGAGGTGGAGGTCCTGTGGTGGAGGTCCTGTGGTGGAGGTCCTGAGGTGGAGGTCCTGTGGTGGAGGTCCTGAGGTGGAGGTCCTGTGGTGGAGGTCCTGTGGTGGAGGTCCTGTGGTGGTGGAGGTCCTGTGGTGGAGGTCCTGAGGTGGAGGTCCTGAGGTGGAGGTCCTGAGGTGGAGGTCCTGAGGTGGAGGTCCTGTGGTGGAGGTCCTGTGGTGGAGGTTGGTAGAGCAGCAGCACAGACCTGGTTTGAAGCAGCAGGTCTGAGGACAGACCAGATCAGCTGTTTCTACACTGATGGTCATTATTGATCTGTCAGCTGATACAGGCTGGTGTTTGGATCAGCTGATGAACTGTGGGCGGAGCTTGAGTTTGGGGCCCGTCTGGAGTTTTCTCTTTGAAGGTGTTCAGGTCTTCATCAGAGTCTCTGAGATCTTCAGTTTCAGGTAAATCTCTGTAACTCTGTGTGAGCTGCACCATCAAACTCTGACTGTAAAGAACTGATCAGGGTTCTGGTTCTGGTTCTGGTTCTGGTTCTGTCTGAGTTCTGCTGCTCGGCTCCACTTCAATTAAAGCAGCAGAGATAACAAAGTGATTAAACGGCACGACGGCGCCGTTCCTCAGAAACTCATTTCACACTGAGTGAAGTCTGAACCTGGAGCGATGAACTCTGACACACACACACACACACACACACACACACACACACACACACACTCACACACACACACACACACACACACACACACTCAGGTGACCTCTCCTGTGATCCAACAGGCGCTGAGGCGTCTCCAACATGTGATCAGTTTCCTGACATCTGGCTGCAGTTTTTGCTGCTTCTCTGATCACAGGGCTGCTCACTTCAAAGAGTGTGTGTGTGTGTGTGTGTGTGTGTGTGTGTGTGTGTGTGTGTGTGTGTGTGTGTGCGTGTGTTTACAGATGAGTTGTTCAGAGGAAAATGTCCAAAAAAGAAGAAAACTCTCCTGAGTGAAAGTTTCTGTTTCTGAAACATGATATAAAATATAAATATAATAAAGATTAAAATAAACAACAGTTTACCAAAGTTCACTAAATACTTCATGATATATTAGAGACACTGGGGAACACCTGAAAAGGCAGCGCCCTCTAGGAGTCACTGGTGGTACTGCATCTGTTGTTGACTTTGATATTTTTCCTCTTTATTATTTTTCTGAAGTTTGAAAAGTTTTCAAAGATGTTTGTTTGTTTTTTTAACTTCGTTCATCTTTAATCGTGTTTCTGTGCGGTTGGCGGTCTGGGTGGTCTCCAGAACGTTTCAGATGTGCCTGCAGCGCCGTCAGGTTCAGGATTAAGTCAGGCTCTTTGTGGTTTGGTCCTCGGGGATTTCTCTCCGATCGCTGCAGGTTCGGACTCGTGGAGTTTTCTGGAAGTCATCAGAGAGGAAAAGGGATCATGTGTGCGGCTCAGTGTAACCTGGGATGATTAGCGGGCCCCGGACCGGACCCAGAGGCCCCGGCTCTGATGGATCACATGACCTCAGTAAACACTCTCACATGTTCAGACCTGAAGTCCAACCAGCTCTGACAAAACACAGATCTGATTTCAACAGCGGACCCCGATGGTTGGAGACTCTGATGGACTCGGGTGTTAAAAACCGGATCTTTGGTTTTCAGTCGATCTTCTTTCTATGACTGACCTCCATCTTCGCCTCCTCAGTGACTCCCGCTTATACGACACGCGTCACTTTCTCCGTTGCTAATCGATTTTCCTGCAGCTGATCCAAACTGTCCTGATTGGATCACGGCCTCGCTCTGCCGCCGTCTGACCCCGCCCTCAGTGGCTGACTCGTGTCACGGCTCAGACGGGTGGTTTTAATAGAACTTTAGTTTCTTCTAAAATCTGCTCAGCTGTTTTTGTTTACAGACTGACCCGAGACACTGAGGAGCAGCTAACTGCAAACTTCTGTCTCTGATTCCTGACGTTGGATCGTGGTTCTTCTCAGATCATCAGATTTGATTTGATCGGTCTTTGCATCATCAGTCTGTCATCATCCATTAAAATCAGACGGACTTTTGCATCTCTGCAGAGAATGACGACGACTTTATGACACAGAGGACAGAACGGACAGGTTCCAGTGTTTCAGTCTTTTCTAAAGATGTTAATGATTTTAAAGAAGAAGAGAAAATCTTCCTCCACGATCAAAGTCTGTGTCTGAACCTTCAAAATTCTCACTTCATTCTGAAGATGCAGAACAAGAAAACCCGTCTGCTTCCTCTGGTTGTTCCTCTGAAGACCGGTCCTCACTCCTCACCATGGAAACCAGGTCCAGATCCAAAGATCTAAACATGAAGACAAACAGAGTTCAAGTCCAGGATTCGAGGGACTTTTCGAGGGATTATCTAAACGGACTGTCTGATCTGATGAGTAAACAGGGTTCAGGTTCAGATCTACAGACCTGGGTCAGATCCACCTGATCCGGCTCTCTCATCACCTCCGGCTCCGTGTTGTTTCTTCTTCTCTGGATGTCAAAGCAGCTGCAGATGTTCCCGCTGGGAGGTCTGCTCTGGACTGAAACTAGAACCAGACTCAGTCCTGATCTGATGGTTTTACTCCACTGACTGCAGGTCCTCAGATCTTCAGAGCGGCTAGTCTCCAACGACAGTCCCGAAACTTCACACAGTCCTCCGGGTCGTAAACCAGGAAAGTGAAGCGTGAAGATTACCAGCAGAACCCCTGACCCCTGCAGGTCAAAGGTCAAACTAACTGTTGGTGTAAAATTACAGTTACCAGGAGCTCCACTTTAACCTCCAACACACTCACCAGGAGTCCAGAATGAAGAGAAGTGGATCACATGGGTCAGGTCTGAGTCACACACTGTGGAGCGACTCATGTGTCCAATCATGTGAAGGTAAAAGTCGAACAAATTTGGGTCATTTTATTGGACATGGCGCTGAAACTGATCTGATCACCAACAGAAGAAAACTCTCCCTGCAGTTTTAAAAGGAACCGTCTTCATTAACAAACCAAAAAATACAAACTTTTCAAAGTTAACGTTGGTTCTTTAACGTCTTAAAAAACCTTTTTAAAGTTTCAGTTGTTTTTTTAACGTCTTTAAAACCTTTTAAAAGTTTCAGTTGTTTTTTTAACGTCTTTGAAACCTTTTTAAAGTTTCAGTTGGTTCTTGAACGTCTTTAAAGCCTTTCTAAAGTTAACGTTGGTTTTTGAGCGTCTTTAAAACCTTTTAAAAGTTACAGTTGTTTTTTTAACATCTTTAAAACCTTTCTAAAGTAAGCGTTGTTTTTTTAACGTCTTTAAAACCTTTCTAAAGTAAGCGTTGGTTTTTGAACATTTTTAAAACCTTTTAAAGTTAACGTTGGTTTTTGAACGTTTTTAAAACCTTTTAAAGTTACCGTTGGTTTTTGAACGTTTTTAAAACCTTTTTAAAGTTACCGTTGGTTTTTGAACGTTTTTAAAACCTTTTTAAAGTTACCGTTGGTTCTCGAACATCTTTAAAGCCTTTCTAAAGTTAACGTTGTTTTTTTAACGTCTTTAAAACCTTTCTAAAGTAAGCGTTGGTTTTTGAACGTTTTTAAAACCTTTTTAAAGTTACCGTTGGTTCTCGAACATCTTTAAAGCCTTTCTAAAGTTACTGTTAGTTTTTTTAACATCTTTAAAACCTTTTAAAGTTACCGTTGGTTTTAGAACATCTTTAAAATCTTTCTAAAGTTAACGTTGGTTTTCGAGCGTCTCTCTGTAAATGACATTTTTAAAGACAAATCCACTGAAGGTATCAAAGCAGAAAGAAGGAGCCCAGTGTGAGCTCGGAGTTTGGTCTCCTGTTGGGTTAAAGAGTTAAATTCAAAGTGGAGCCTCAGGCGGTAACTTTCATCTGCTGCTCCTCTTAATGAATCAGACTCCAGCAGCAGAGTTCAGCCTCCTCCAGGCTTTTTAATTCATCATTCGGCTGCGGCTGGGAAGCATTCATTACATCCAGCTGACAGGGGAGGAGAGCGGAGGACATTTGTCAAAGCTGCAGACAATTTTATTCATTTCAAACATCACAAAGGTTGGATTAAAACCAAGACGCAGCTCAGGGAAAGATTCCTACAGCGTTACATCCATTAAAGGAGTCAAATCAAGATAAACCCTCATGTTTCCTCCGTCTCTACACCCAACAAACAATCACCTGCTGTCCGGGTCGATGTGCACAAATAATGTCAGGGTTAAGAAGCAGAGGATGAATCCCAGAATCTGTGTGAGACCTGTGTCCCTCTTTTTTAAAATAAAGGATAAAGACACGGCTGTTTGATCCTTAAACAGGTTCATGTTTATGGATGTTTAGGCACTAATATTTCATCTGAAATACTTGAATTAACCTGTGAAACCTCCAACAGTGAGCTGACCCTCCATCACAGTCTGCACCATTATCAGACAAACAAGGACGGAGTGAACCTGAGACCCAAAATAAGGATGTAAATATATTCTGAGCTTTTCTCTGCAGAAACTCTTCAGAAAGCAGCTGAAGATCTCTTTGATTTCAGGACCTTCAGACGCTCTCAGATTCAGAGACGCTCTTTGAAGTTTGTTATAAACTCGGAGAACGGAGGCTTTGAACCAAACTCTTAAAACAGCCGCAGTTTCTGATTATCTCTTTAATGAACATGAAGCTGTTTGACTGAGCTCAACATAATCAGCAGGAAACGAATCAAACTCAGAAACAAAGTCAGACTCAGCTGTCAGCGTCCACGGGAACAGGTCTGGATTCAGGCTGTCGTCTAAACTTATGATCTCAGTTTTCAGGTTTTTTCAGAGCAGCTCCTGACAGACTCAGAAATCACTCCGTCCTCTTCAGTCTCACTTTTCTTCTGGATCAATCAGTCCTGAAACCGGGTCACTGTGTGGCAGTTAACGGCTTCTTCATGTCGGTTTTCTTCACTTTGGTTGATGTCTCTTTCCCTCTGTTCTTTCTGGGCTAAACTCCACCCCTAGTGGACACTAGAGGAACTGCAGTTTTGAGGACTCAAGGGTTTTCCTGACCCGTCTGTCTTGGTTTCACCCTCATGGACAAAGCTCCCGTAGACGAGCTCTGAAACAGTAACAGGCTGAAAATCTGTCTCAGTTTAATGAGCTGAAAAAGGAGAAAATCTTTGGATCTCTCAGTGTGAGAGTTAACCAGAACCAGAACCAGAACCAGAACCAGAACCAGAGCAGCAGAGTTTCCTTCATGCTGACTGATTATAACAGCGAAGTTCTTCTGCTGGACTGGAATAGATCAGGTAGTCCTGGTTCGGTCTGGAGGAGATCAATACGAGGCTCACATGAATAATGAGGAGCTGGACGCTCATTAGTGCAGATTCTCAGATTTATTCTGCAGAGAAAACTCGGATAATAACTCCTCAGATCATACAAACATGCTGAGGGTAAAAAGTGATCCAGGAAAAAGAGTTTCCATCAGAGGACTTTCCTCCTCCCTCTCCTCCTCCTCCTCCTCCTCCTCTCCTCCTCCTCCTCCTCCTCCTCCAAAAAGGAGCAGGGACTGTTTCCAGACAGAGCGGATCGATACGAAGACGTGATTAAATCCATTTTAAAGAGATTCAGTCTCAGATCTACGAGTCAGACACAGCAATTAAAGACCTTCATCTTTATGCAGCACGCTCAGAGGTCGAGGCAGAGAGAGAGAGAGGCAGAGAGAGAGGGAGAGAGAGAGAGAGAGAGAGAGAGAGAGAACTGAGCACGCTCCGTTCACGCCCCGGCAGGACATCTCAGACCTGTGACGTTCTCTGCTTGTTTGTGCTGCAGGTAAGGCGATAAAATGATAATGATATATATCGAAAATTAATTTCCCTCAATATCGATATAAAACATGATCAATATCCTTTCCAATAGTCGTCATTCTGCCATGTTTTGGTCGACTATACGAACAGCCAATGAAAAGGGGAGTTTCTCCGGGTCTGAACCAATCATGTTCTGAATTAGAACCAAGTATCAACCAACTGCAGCGTCGTAGCAGACAGCAGCTCCACCCAACCATAGCACTTTAACAGGTGAAGCCGACAGCACTGTTGGTGAGAAACAAAGAAAATGAGTGCTACCCCCGACAGAAATGACCATGAAGGCTCAACAGATGACCACATCAATGTCAACCACAACACTGGCGTTAGGAAAACGTCGGTGGTGTGGAGGTATTTTGGTTTTTGGAGGTCGGACATGAAGCAGAGTAATGTGGACTGTAAATTATGTCGAGTACATGTTCTCACAAAGTCGGGGAATACCTCAAATCTTTTTCATGACCGGGTTGGATGAGAGTGATCAGGTCATGGCTGCTGGAGAGTCTGATGTGTGAGGTTCGGTTTCATAAGAAGGTGGAGTCCGAGGACACGCACAGCGAGCCTGAAAGAGCAACAACTGTAGATTTCTGTCTTTGTTCGGGCCTGTCAGGGAACCTTTTGTCCGGTGTTTGCCTTTTATTCGTCTGCATAAACAGAAGAGAAAAGAGACGGAGAGGAGAAAGGAGGAGGATGAATCGGCCTCAGACCTGCAGGGACAGCTTCATTGTCTCCTCAGAAAGAAAAACTGCTGCGCCCATAAAAACAGGACAAAGTCATCGCCTGGAGGAAGAACTGGAACGCCTCAGAGTGAAATGTCAGTCCACAAAAGCAGCAGAGAGGAAACCTGCAAGTACAGGGACCACCTGCACCGCTGTCAGGACCAACCCGGACCACCTCAGTCCACATCCTGAGTCAGGACTGCAGAGGATGAGGACTATCCTGTCTGTGTACTCAGATTCTTCATTAAAGACCCTTTTCTGCAGATTAATAATCCTGTTTACTGTAGAAACGATAATCCAGCTGATCTGTGGTTCTTAGTAAACGTGTTCGACCTCACAGTTGAAGAAAATCTCAGACCACTGAGCGGTGGTCCACCTGTGAACCACGATGACCCTAACCCATGTTGGGCAGTTTGAACTAAATCTTATATCAGGGTTTGAATAATTTCATATCATGGTAACGGTAAATATCACAGTTTGTTTGACTTAAAAATGACCATACTGTCGCATTTGTTCATTTTATTTTTATCATTAATCTCAGATTTGTAAACAAATGAAAACGTCAGAGCAGTCTGGGGATTTCTGATCATGTGTCGTCTCTTTGGCTCTTCAGTATCAGAGGAGCTGCTGCAGCTTCAGTTTTGTTTTTGGATCATTGTCGGATTTTCTAAGTCCGAAGAATCTCCAGACAACCGATGTCTCGACTCGCACCCTTTTTCGGGATAAGTTCCTCCTCCTGTTCCTCGTGTCGGGTGGGTCAGGCTGCCTCCGTTCACTCAGTATTGACACTAATCTCCGCGTCCACCATGACCTCCACCAGTGAAGCTGTTTCTTCTTTGTTGAAACTTTGCCGAGTAGTCTGCTGGACACGCTGGTGATTATAAGGAGCGCACCCAAACCTGACCAATCAAATGGAGCGAACAAACTCTGCACGACACACTGGTGAATATGCGGGAACGCACCCAAACGGACGCACTCCGTCTTTCCTGTTAGTGAGCGCAGACGACTCCACACTGACTCAGAGAGACGCAGCAGACTTCTGCTCTCTCTCTCTCTCTCTCTCTCCGGTATAAACGGTAGAGCAAAGTTTCTACTGCTGGACACTTTCATACCGTCACACGGTTTATACCGTCATACCTCCAAACTCTGACCCAAACGTTCACTAAACCATGAGCCGGACTCACTCTGAACTAACAGCTCATCCTAAATTTACTCTGAACCTCCACCTCTGACCCTGAAACTCTCCAGATCCTGAGTGACCGTCACCTTCCTTGGTCACCTGTCCCGCTGATTTGCAGCCCCTCTCGAACCCGAGTGACTCTTAACGAGCAGCACTTCTCACCATTACCTTTACTGATATTTATGGTTTGACGTATTCGACCTTTTGGGAAAAGGACACTCTCTCTTTTACTAACTCTTAGTGGAAACCCATAAATAACGCTCCCTAACACACACACACACACACACACACACACACACACACACACACACACACAGTTAGCTGGTGCGTATCCATCTCTCTGACTTTCTCCTGGTTTCTGTCCCACAGAAACAAAAGAGTCTTTGTCTGAGATCTGGACCAAGTCTCTCCTCTCTGCAGCCCGGCCAAGTCCTCCACATGAGGATTTAGGAATTAGGCCATAAAAAAGGAGTCAGGCAACATAAATCCCACAGCTTATGAAACAGGAACAGCCCCCCCACCCCGGACAGAAAACACCAACACAAACTTTTTTTCTCTGCGTGTCGAGACACTCGGGAAAGATCTCCACTGTTGACCTGTTGAGAGACCAAAACCTGCAGGGCGGTCCGGGGTTCAGGACTCTGTTCTGAGGTTTTTGGTTTCTAATCAGATCTCTGACAGATCTGACCAGCAGTAAAAAACCACTTGATCCTGCTCCACCACAGTTTTACTGTTTATCTCTGTGGGAGAGCAAAAACTGTAGTTCTTTTAGTGTCCACTAGGGTCTGAGTCCAAAGGTGAGTCAGTCCCCATGGAGCCCCATAACTGTACCGCAGAAAAACCCGTTTACAGCCTGGATCAGAACCAGTTCTGGTCTCTGTAGCTCTTCTCTCTGTCCATGAACACCAGCGCTCGTTCATACTGAGGCCGAAACTCCTGAAGAGACTCTTTACATGACAGAGGACACATAAACAACTGTACAGACAAGTGTGTGTGTGTGTGTGTGTGTGTGTGTGTGTGTGTGTGTGTGTGTGTGTGTGTGTGTGTGTGTGTGTGTGTGTGAAATAAGGGTTTATGGGACTCTCGGGGTTATGGGATGGAGCCAGATGCTGCGCGCTGTTGATATCCAGAGAAAGAAATGATGAAACACCTGACAGCTGACAGTGACTTCACCGACAGGGAATCTGAGCGGGGACACGCACACACACACACACACACACACACACACACACACACACACGCACACTCAGAGTCTCAGCGTGTCTAATCTTAGTTCCCTGATGGGGGACGCTATCAAACGGCATTGTGGGAAGCATAACGACTAAAACCCACAGGATCCGGAACGGCTCCGCTCCACTCCGGCACAGCAGGCGGATCAAATACCCAAGCATTATAATCAATGTGTGTGATTCCTCACAGTCCCTCCACTGTCCAGTTCTGCTGCAGCGGCCGGGTCAGATACGAAGGGTTTCTATTTTTGCATCAGTTCAGTACAGAGCAGCAGGAGCAGCAGAGGAAGTTGTATGCGGTTACAGAGTAAAATATCCTGTTAATTTTCAAAATAAAATCAGTACGTTGAACTGTTGTTAGATGCGGGTGTTTATTTACACCGTCCTTTATGTCTCACGGGATCTTGTGAGATCTTGTCCAGTCTTGCAAGAAATATCGGTGATCTGGTAAGCACTACTCCACCGATGGGGGAGTCAGATCAGATCTGGTGCGTGTGATATGCTTGTGTATTTGATCCGTCTGCTGGTCTGGAGCGGAGCAGAGCCGTTCCGGATCCTGTGGAACCCCTTTGTAAGACTTCACACAGAGGGACTCGGGGGGTTGGACAAAAAGAGAGCGTCTGATTTTCACCTGAACAGGTGAGGTCGACGTCAGCCGTGAACTCTCTGAGGATGACAGGAGCAGGTAGACGGTGAGACGGTCTCTGTTCCAGGACTCCTTTAAACTGCTGTCAGTGTTGGACTTTACCTTCATATTAGAGACTGAGGACGGCTCGGCTCGTTACAAACTCCAGCTCTAATTAAATAACCCCGTGTCAGAGGAAGGCAGCTTTTCCTCGTATGGAAATGAAGACTCCTCGTCCCTCTCTTGTCCCTCGTTTGTAAGCTAATATCTGCACACACAAACACAGACATGTCTCTGCGTCTCCGGCCAGCCGCTGACTAATGTGATGTTTCTGTTGGAGTTATATTTGGAGCAGATAACATGTCTGTTATCAGGAGAAGAGCCGCCTCATTAAGTTCAGTCCTGAGATGTTTATACTGAGAATATCTGCGGCTCAGACAAACACAGCTGCATGGCAATCGTCTGAGCTCTGTGTGTTTTCTCTGAGAGAGAGAGTTCACTTATTTCACCCTCATTTTCCAGGAAGAGACAGATTAGTTAAATCCACAAACACAGGACAGCCTGTCAACGTCTTTCTTCAGTATTCACACGCTGTTATCAGGTTTAGAGCCGATAGAGACCATGAAGACTCCGCTCCTTCTCCGAGGAACAACAGTCCGGGTTTGGAGGATCCACATCGGACAAACATCCAGTTATTTTAGGGTACGAACTGTGAGTACGAAGAGGACAGAGCTCAGGTCTGTCTGTTGGTTTGTTCCTTTTATCAAGCTTTGGTGGAGCGGGTCGATAACGGACCCTTACCCCCAATTTTTACCGCAACCGAAACGGCTCCGATCCAATGTTTTATTTTGTGTCTGTGCCCGACTTCCTTTCCAGCACGGGTTAATCTGTGCTGAATTTATCCGCCATGCTCCGGCGTCCAGAAAAAATAGAACTCTTGTGATCAGCTGAGGAGTCCGGCGATCCGCAGAGGAACGGAAAGAAGTCGGTGTAAATTGACACGTTAACTTGAATGGTTACGATCAGCTACGATCGGAGGATACGACCTTTTAGGAGACGATCAGGATGAAGGTGGAGGTCGGGGGTAACTCCCTAATGTCCAGAGTTCCTTGTTGCCATGACAGCACTGCACTTCTCAGGAGTTCCAGTTTGGTTCCCTCCTTTGTGTCATTCAGGTCCAGTTAGTGTGGAACCATTGTTCTACAGCAGGCCGACCTGAGCCGTCTCTCTCTCTCTCTCTTCAGCGTCGCTCTGTCAGCTCTTCTTACGCTGTTACCCGCTGACGTCCGTCTGATCAGCTGCACCTGTAGGAAACGGCCGGGTTCGATTCCCGCCTGTGGTTCCTAACCCTCTCTTGACCCCCTCCCTCTCCGTCCACCGAGCTGTCCTCTCAAATAAAGACGTGAAGAAATAAAAGCTCAAACATAAAAAGTGACCACGTCTTTCCTGCTGCTGAGCTTCACATTTCACAGGAGCAGCCACACTTCTGTCAGACTGCTGCTGTGACGCATCATTAACACACACCTGCTGACAACACACACACACTCAAGCACACACGCACGTACACAAACATCTGGTCTACATCAGACCCTCCTGACCGCAGCATGATGGGAAATGTGTGTGTGAGACAGCTGATGCGGGGACACATGAATAAAACATGTGCTGGAGTTTTTCAACTTCGCTTTAACACATAAAATTCAACAATCTGGAACAAATCTGAGCAGCAGCTGCTGAACTCCTGTTTACATGAACAAACAATAACAATAATAATAATAATAATAATACAGAACATTTTCTCATTTAAATTAACTCTTTTTAAACAAACCAGTGTGAAAACCTGAACCCTGTCCCGTTCAAACTCCTGCACCTGCCCACAGGTGAGTGTCAGGGTTTTAAACCCGGGCCTCCTTTTCATGCTCTCATCTTAAATAGTGTTGATATTACTTTAATAGATGGTCTCAGCCCTCAGCAGTGAAACAGGCTGTTAGACTGCAAACTTCTCATTTAGGGGGAAAACATCCTGAGAAACAGATTTCTCCTCAAACTGACTGTTTTTGTAGCCGACAGGTTCAGAAAGAGAATCAAAAAGGTGGAAAACAACGTTGTTCCTTTGAGGCTAAATGACTGTTTTTGTGAATGGAGTTTGGTGCCTTTAGAAGCAGGTCTGTAACAGCATCATCAGCTGAATTCACAGCTGCACAGAAACAAATCCTGAGTTTTCACCCGTCTTTACTCAGAGTTTTCCAAACCAACCTCTACAGGAAACATCTGGGTAAATGAAGTCAGTGGGCGACGGCAGATAATCAATCAAAGTGAAACGAAGAAGGAAGAATAACAACATCTGAGGTTAGAGAGAGAAAATCACTTCCAAATATTTTAAATCCTCCTGGAAAGTTTCAGATTTTCAATCTCCTGAAACCTTCCAGAGACGGGTCTGTCAGAGGGTCAGTCTCTGTCTCTGCAGGGATCTTCATGTTTCTGACACTTTAACAACGACAGTCTGAACCTGTCAGGAACAAAAACAGGAACTTTTCACAGACACACGTCAAAGACGAAGCTGCAGTCCTGACAGCCTGTTCGCCTGCTGCCACAACACGGACAAAAACAGCCACAGGAGAAAACATCGTAAGTTCCCTTTAAAACTGTGTTTGAGTCTTTGTAGAAAGAGAAACAGGAGAACATCGAACCCGTCCTGTTTAAGAGACGCAAAGAAGGAAACTCGTCTGCGATAAACTAAAGCAGAACAAAAACATGGAAATAACAGCCTCAACTATCTGCTCAAACTAACCTCAGATACCTGAAAACGTCTGCGTCAAACTGTCACTAAAGACCCGCAGTGACTTCATCTTTAACGCCTCAATTATCTGGGATGAAAAGCTCTCCTCTGTTACATCTTCTCAGATCCGATCAGACGACCAGATTTCACATCAAACCCTTAAATGAAGAGCTGAGCACAGCACGACTCCTCCAAAGGAAGGAGGTGACGTAGCTTCGGGTGAGTGTGTGTCTCAGGACTCAGCCAGGCAGCTCATGACCTTCAGCATCAGCTCCTCCTTCTTGTGTTTGGCGCTGACGGTCGCTCCTCGCGCCTTCAACCAGGTGAGCAGAGAGGCGGAGCTCAGCTTGGACAGCTGGAGAGTAAAAACAGAAACACAAAGTCAGAGATCGTGACGGACAAACAAACGTACATGTGAGCCCGCCCCCCTCCATGTAAACAGATGGGACATGGGTCAAACTCTAACCCCCTAATCTCCACCTTCATCCTGAACGTCTACGAAAAGGTCGTAACCTCCGATCGTAGCTGATCATAACCATTCAAGTTAACGTGTTTTTAGACGTCATTTCACCCCGATGACACCATGGATGAGGAGATGCTGATTCTAGAAGTCTAGAAGTAGATTTCCTCCTCTGGAAGGACACAATCTACTGCTTATATGTCTATGTGTCTGTCTTTAGAGAGACAACTCGTTATCGTGCGACTGAACGTGAATCTGCAGGTTCTTGTGAGTTCTCGTGATTACCGCTGTCTGTAATCCGCCATGAAGTTTGTCTCACAAGCGGATCTGGTAGGAATTGGCGGACGGCGGTTTAATGACTGACTGTGCAGCTCTGGTCTGAGCAGGAACACCGACTGACAGGTTAATCTGACAGGAATCAATCAGCTGATTACAGATACATGACTTTAAGAGATGACGTGTTTACGGCCCGTCTGACTCTGGGCCGTGTCGTCGTCGTCTGTGTTCTGGTTGTTCTCCAGGATAAAAATAAAGCGTATCTGTAAAAAGAAGAAAGCGTCCGGTGGAGAGGCTGTGTAAATAAAAGTCCAGAGGAAAAGCGTCTGATATATGGTGGTGGAAAACTTGCAGGTTGAAGCTGTAAAACTGATGAATGTTGTTATTAATGCAGGGAGCTCCCTGTGGGCTCGCAGCTCCTCCTGAACCATCCATCACTTTAACAGTCCTCCTCACCCTCCGGAGGACGGATGTTTGTAAGGAGAGAGAGCCGTGTGCACGCCGTTCATCACACTAACACGCTTTAATACATCACCCTAATGTGTGGCGTCCTCTTCCAGCGTGTTTACGAGTGGACGCGCTGCAGATTCATCACTTAGAGTCTGAGCGCCGGGCCTCTCTTTTCTTTACTCCTTATTATCATAAACCGGACCACCACAGCCACGACGGCAGATCAGAGGGTCTCTGATATCACCGATAAAACTCTCTTTATTCTGATCCGTGTAAACAGCCTGTCTGATGTGTTTAAGACGTGAAACGGATCAAACTGACCTCGAGAAATTATTAATCTGGAAAAGATTCTTAATCTCGATCCAGCAGACATGAACCTTCTGCTCCTCTCTTTTCTAAATACTCAGTCTGACTGATTGACAAACTCGACGTCTTTCACTCTCGTTTGTTTGTTTGTCCGTAAGTTCATCAATAAGAAACCAAACCTTCCTGACACTCTCTGAAACTTCAAGTCGAACTTCTTCTCATCAGTCTAACTTCACTTTAGAGGACTGAGACTCTGGAATGATCTGGATGTTTCTCTAAAATCAATATTATCCTTCAAATCCTGAAAAATATCATTAAAATCTGAAACACGTCAGTCTCTGTTATGATCATGTTTCTTCTTATGTGTTCTTATCATTTCTCTCTCTCTGATCGATGGTTCGTCTCTGTTCTCTTCATGACAGTTTGTTCATGTTTTGACCTTTCCTCACTGTGTTTGTTTGCAGCCTCCTCCGTCTTTACTGCCCTGACAGGAGTGGAACTCTATCGGCTTCACTGTTTTTAATCTGTGATAAATAAATAAATATAAATATGGGGCTTTGTGGACCACCTGGACCCTGGTCGAGGTCTGGACGTCCTGGAAGGATAAGTTCTGCTCCTCTCAACTCTCCAGTTTCATCACAAACAGACAAAGAGGAGGTGAGAGTACCTGACCGCTTCTCGCCATTTTCTCCACGTCAGCAACTCGCCTCACAGATTTGGATTTCTTCTTCATGGTCGACTCGAACCCCGCTCCCTGAAACAAAGACATGAGAAGAAGAGTGGGATCTCCAACCTGAAGGTCTGCTGCTGGACGGAGGAGAAGATCCAGACACAGAGAGGGAGGAGGAGGACTTTAAAGACCATAAAGGATCAGAGGATCTGGACTCACGTCTGTGTGACCTTCACAGTTTTCTGCAGGATCTTCAGCTGCTTTTGTTGCTTCTTCCTGCAGGTTTCCTCCAAAGCTCGCCCTCATGCTGGTTTTGTAGCTGGACTCTGGTTCAGACTGGATCTCTGGACCTGGACTGGGAGCAGGTGCAGGTTTAGACTTGGACGCAGGGCTGAAGGAGAAGAGCTGTTTGAGTTTTTGGTGACCCGGGAAAGAGCTGCTTTGAGGTTTTGGACGAGGGTCGAAGTGAGGAACGGTCGGAGGGTGAGGAGCAGCAGAAACTGAGGAAGACGAGGAGGTGGTGGAGGTTGGCGTCGTTGGCGTCGGCGTCTGTTTGTGAACCACAGAAAACGACACCCTCCTCTTCTCTCTCTCTCCTCCAATCAGCTGCTCCCTCTGCTTTTGGGCGCGCAGGACGGCCACGTTGACATGGCGAGACGGACACTTGTTCCTGAAGATGGGAACCAGCTTGGGAGGTGGAGGAAGAGGGGGAGGAAGAGTGAAGGAGGAGGAGGAGGAGAAGGACAGAGAGGAAGCCGGCTGGAAAACTGAGGAGAAAGGAGAAGAAGAGACAAGTGTGCAGGAGGAGGAGGAGGAGGAGGAGGAGAAGGAGGGCCAAACTTCATCTCTTTGACAGCTTTGACTTTGTGTCAGTCTGCCTTTGAATCCATTTCCCAGAATCCTTTGCACTCCATCCTGCTGGGAGAGAGGCGTCCAGGCTGAAGACTGTGACCCAAACCTGGTCTGCACCGGTCGGGGGTGAGGAGGAGGAGGGAGCTGGGTGAGGACCTGCCTGATGGAGCAGGTGGAGGTGAGGTTGATCTGATCTCCGCTCAGCATCTGGAGGAGAAACAGAAGAAGATCTGATGATCACAGACCGTCTCCATGGTCTCCAGTCCAAACATCAAACCCTGGTTTCACAAACCCCCCTGAGGAACCAGTCTGAGGTTCCTGAAGACCTCCAACAGGAGACCTGAGATAACTCCTGAACCCCTCTTCTGATTGGCTGGATTTCACTCTCCGTTTTCCTCCTCAGACTCTCTGATTCTGACGTTGAACTTTAAACTTCCACAATAATCTAAAACTCTGACAAACTCCTGAACTCTGCAGAAGATGATAAATATTTCAGCCGGACTCTGCAGGCGCTGAATCGATCTTTAGGGACGTGAGTTTCTCTGACTTTAGTTTCAGCGAGCTGAGAGTAAGAAGAGCTCAGGATCACCTCACAGTTTATAGTCTCATCTTCTGGAGGAGGATCACAGGTGCTCCGACACACAGATCTTACATCCCCTCTTTTAATCTGATTTTACACCAAACTCCTCCTCCTCCTCCTTCTCCTCCTCCTCCTCCTCCTCCTCCTCCTCCTCCTCAGGGTCACACCTCTGCGGTCATAAAACTCCCCATGAAGGTTTTACAGGATGGAAACGCTCCGATAATTGTTCCTCCTCCTTCAACTCGAACCTCTGAAGGTGTTTGTGTGACACCCTCAGTGACTCTGAATCAGACTCATGTCGTCACTGGACCACCTGGTTTTCACAGGACGGGGGTCTCTAACGGGTCTGGGAGAAGAAACTGGCCCACATCAGTCCTGACGGTTTTCAGACCGATCTTAGGAGCTCCCTGAGACCTTCAGCAGAACTCTGGACTTTAATCTCAGGGACTGTGAGGGAGTGAGTCTAATCAATGCTGTGACTCCGCCCCTTTTAGACAGAAGGTCAAAAAAACATCCACCTTAGTCTGAGTGTGTACCTGCACTGTGGCGGCGGCGTGCAGACCCACGCTGCGGTAACAGGGTTTACCGGTCAGCTGAGCAGGGAAGCCGCACACGCTCTGCAGACGGTCCCTGATGTCTGACAGGAAGCAGCCCAGCGCCCCCTGCAGGTCGACGCGGGGGAGACGCTGCACAGGCTGCAGGCGGATACAGCTCAGAGGGTAACTGCTCAGGGTGGAGGTTAAAGCAACAACATCCATGTTTGATAAACGGGTACGAACTCAAAACAAAGAGAGAGAAAGGTTCGTCTGAAGGAGGAGACAGGAAACACATCCTCACCTTAACGTCAGACACACCGACCCGCTAAGATCTGTGCTGTCAACACTTTCTGTCACTCTGGACTCACAAACTCACACTGACCTGGATTATTACAGATTAACAGTCAGATTATCAGAGCTGAAGGATACGTGAAGAGTCGGTCTCCCACCAGTCTGAAGTAAACGCTGCAGTACACCACCTCTTCTTCTGCAAGATCCGGGAGTCTGTAACCGTACTGCATGACACACACACACACACACACACACACACACACACAGACACAGACACAGACACAGACACAGACACACACACACACACACACACACACACACACACACACACACACACAGACACAGACACAGACACAGACACAGACACACACACACACACACACACACAGTCCATGTTTCACATCACTAACTTGATTCAAACTCAGTTCTCCTGCGTTGGTTTGAACCTCCTCTCTCTCCATGAAGTCCTTCTGTCTCTAAAATAATCCTGTTTTAAATTAATTATTAATTTATTATTAAACTCAGAGGATAAATTATAAATCCTCACAGTCGTGTTTGTTTCATAAAAGATCCTCCATGAGGTGATCTCTATCATCCCGCCCTCTTTGATTGACGTCCTGCAGCCTGATGATGATCTGCAGACCGAGGTCTTTTCAGAGATTATTATTGTTATTATTAGTATAACCTTTATTTAACCAGGTTTGTCCCATTGAGATCCAAGATCTTTTTTGCAAGAGAAACCTGGCCAAGAATGTCAGCACATACAGTTTCAATACATGATCACATTAATCATATAGAAAACAAAGAATACAAAGAATAATTGAATTTTCAAAATAAGATAAAATAATTGACAAACAAACATTTTCACTCCTGCAGCCTGGATGTAAAGGGTTTGATCACGGGTTTGAAAACATTCAGAGAGACTTTGGAGTTTCAGGTCTGATTTTTACTTGGAGCAGAAAATCTAAAAACTTTCTTCCTCATTTTTGTTCTGAGCTCAGGAACAGAAAAATGATAAAAGTCCGGAGACTGTAGGTCCTATTATTCAAGATTAAAAGAGATGATAAATAATGGAGTCATCTGAAGAACAGCCGTATAAATCAACACGTACTAATAATGTAAAGATGACCATTTTACTGTCTAGGACACAATGATGAGTTCGAGCTCCACAGTTTGTAATAAACCTCAGAGCGCCGTGATTCCCATGATCCAGCCTGTGTCCTTCATGTATAACACATCACTGTAATCAACAGAGAGAGTCGCTCTGGTTCTGCTTTTATTAAATCCACCATCTTAAACATGAACCTTCTTATCTCGCCGTTTTTAAAGTCAGCTGATGTCACTCTGCACCGTCTTAGAGTTACTGCATCCTCCTCAACAAACAGCTCACCTGGTGCAGTCAGGTAACACTCAGAGACCCAGAGACCCAGAGTGTGTGTGTGTGTGTGTGTGTGTGTGTGTGTGTGTGTGTGTGTGTGTGTGTGCGTGTGTGTACCAGGTGATTCCAGTGGTTCTGCAGGTCTCTGTAGGTCCTGAATGGTCCGTCTTTTGGCAGCTGGCGACTGATAGTGATGATCTGACCTTTCTTCATGCTAAACACACACACACACACAGACACACACACACACAGCTGAATCAGGCGTGTTTACAGAGAGCTGCAGCTCCCCCTGCTGCTCATACTCAGTACAACAGCAGCCTCTCATTCCTCTGAACTAAAGATTCATAAAAACTCTCCTGTCCCCTTTTTTAACCCCTGAGTGTCTGAAACAGCTGAGATGTTTATTTAGGAGAACTGTTAGAGGAGGTTCTCGTCAGTTTGTTCAGCTCAGAGGCCGAGCAGAAGAGAGACAGAAACACAGACCGAGGTTTAGGTGTTTGAAATTCTCCTCGCTCTCCACGCGCTGCTTCAATATTTGATCAGAAATGTCAGATATCCAGAGAAGAGCGTGAGGTTTGAGTCTAATGTGGCAGAAGGATGGAGTCGGTGAGAGGAAGGACACGAGGACGGATTTCATCTTTAATGTAGGCGGGGCGGTGAAGTGAAGACAGGAGAACATTCGTGTGCACAGATCTGATCTGAACTTGCTCTCTCATCTTTCTGTTGTTAGTGTCCAGCAGGTGGTGCTGTCATACCTGGGCAGGACGTGACACCAGATGGCTCCTCCCGTAGAGGAGGGGTCGAGGACGGCGTCAGGATCACAGCAGAACCTCCTCAGCACTAACGGGGAGAGGTCGAAGTCCTCCAGCTGCAAAAGACCAACCCCTGATGAGAGTTCACTCGTTAAATCCTGATTTACTGCTGATTGAATTCAGACCCTCTAACGAGCGAGGGTTTGACTGACAGGAAGTCAGAGAGGTAAAACAAACAAACTCTGGAGTCTGATTGAATCTTTGGTCATGTTCACAGTGGGAGTGAAGTGATTTTAGTCTAGACTCAGAACAGCAGAAATGCTAAAGAAATGAATATTTATCCATATTTAAATTAATATTTCCTCGTTACACTGGTTTTTCTCTTTAGTCTGGGACATCTAAAGATCAGCTGATCCTGTCTCTGCTCCAGTCTGCCTTAAACTCTTAGTTTATCTGTGTTTACACCGACAGAGCGCTGGGGTGTTACTTCTTACACAGTCATGAGACGACTCAGAGGTCAAACCCTTACAGAAAATGTCTGCGGCTCTCTGTTCACACCCGCTCTGTTAGCTTTACTTCTATTCTCTGCAGCTCAACACAAATTCAGAGACGCAGATCGACACGTTCATGTGGAGGTTAAATAAACGGTTTGAGGTCGCTCACGGTGGTCAGAGGAAGTCTGACTGTGTTCGCCTCGACGCTGATGCACAGCTGTCCCTCAGTGGTGCTCAGCTCCATTCCTGACACACAAAAACAACAAAAACACACGTTAGCGGACACCGGTGGGTTTTTGTGCATGTTATTCATCAGTTTGAGTTTCAGATTATCTCTGGTGTGTTTTTGAAGCTTCTTGATGCAGTTTTGCAAACCTCCTTCTGTTCGATTAAAAGTTTGAACCGATCCAATCCGCTTCATTTATACAGTATGTTTTAAAAAAACATTCAAGTTTACCAAAGAGCTGCACAGTCAAATTAAAGAACAAACACTGCAGAAGTAAAAAAAAACATCAAGAGTAAATAAATAAAAACAGGTAAAAAAAAACATTTAAAATGAAACCACATGATGTCAAAGGTTTTTTTCACAGTTCTCTGTAATGCACAATAAAAACACCTGAATGAATTCACACAACTAAATAATACATTTATTCAAATGCTTTGGCAGCTTTCACCGTTGTGCCACATCCTGTTTAATAATAAAATCCTCTCCACCTTTCACACCATCAGATCCTCTGATATTAACCTGTGATCTGGTTCAAAGTGGAGCGATAAAACGTTGAAGATAAGCAGAGGAGCAGATAAACTTACTGACAGCGTCGAGCCGTCCTCCCTCGGTCAGGAAGTCTTTACCTGTGGGGCAAACAAATATCCTCACATTTTGACCATTAAAGTCACAAAAACACCTTCAAAAGTTTAATGAGTGATTTAATGTGACAGAAGAACAAATTAACACAAAGAACACACAACACAGCTGAGAGGGACCTGCTGCCTCATATTTACTCCCACTGAAATCCAGATCTCTTTTACAAGGGGGACCTGACCGAGAGGTCGAGGTCGGCGGCACACGTCACAATAAAAATACTACTACTAATAATAATAATAATAATAATAATAATAAATATAATTATTATTATTCTAATTATAACAATAATAATAATAAAAATAATAATAATAATAATAAAGACAGAATAAGACAACACTTTTTTCACATTATTAATTTTATTTCTTTAGTTTAGACACTCATGTTCGTTTAGATTTGGTGCAGCACTTACCACACACAAACACACACACACACACACACACACACAAACACAAACACACACGTACACACGTACACACACAAACACACATGTTTATTTTATGCCTGACTGGGTCCAAGGTAAAGGTTTGATAGTGTTGCAACACTAAGCTGACACTTTTTAACCCCCACTAACCACACACACACAGACACAGACACACACTCTGACCGTCTGTTAATAATCGACCAACAGTGGACGATGATCACAGAGTCTCAGAGCTTCGAAGCTGCAGGTTTCTTTGTCTAAATTTGGTCTGAGGGTAAAATACGTGAATCTGGAGTTGAACGTTTCCTGTCATCAGACCAGAGTGTGTTTTTGTTTTTGACCCGACACGGTTTGAAACCTGTGGAGGAAAGCTGCAGGAAGTTTCTCGTGGAAACACTGTATGTCAGAGTGAAAAAGAGGAAAAGTCGAGGAGTTAAAATAAACGTTGAGCTTCATTCACAGTCGGACCAAATGAACCTTTAAAGACGGGTTCAAATTCAACATTTAATGAGCCCTTATCAAAGATTATTATATAAATCTTTAGCAGCATTACTGAGAACATTTTCTTTATTGTTTTCAAACCGTTTCTTTACTGAGCCAACCTTGAACACTCCGTGAGCATCATCCTCCTCCTATAGACTAAAAGAGCACACAGACGTACCAGAGATGAGGAAGAGTCCGGCTTTATTCAAGCTGGGAGTCAGTCTGGTGACCAGAGAGAAGGACAGACAGGCCTGGAGGGTCCCTGGAAACACACACTGAGGAGGGCTCACCTACACACACACACACACACACACACACACACACACACACACACACACACACACACACACACACACACTCATCAGCTGAAAGACGACTGACATATCTGAAAACCTGTGATAAAGTTTATTAAGAAAGAGGCAAAAACTCTGAGCGTTCACCATCTTCTCTCACCTGCAGCCAGCATCTCCTTCCAAACATCTGCAGGAAACCTTTTTGGAAAAACGAGATCTACAGAAGAAAGAAAGACAAAAACATGAAAACGAATATAAAAGGAGGATATTATCTGAAAGACCTCACATGTCAGAACTTCATAAACTGTGGTGAACTCAAGAGAACTCAGGCTGTCTCTATAAGAACCTGGACGGTCCCTCTCCTCCAGAACCTCCATCTCCAGACCATCAGGGATTCTGGATTTTGTTCTCCTGTGTGGATCCGCTCCTCCTCAGACAGCAGCTTCAAAGATAAACTTGAGGACAGTCTCCACTCTGACACCATGTCTGGATCCTGGTTCTTCATGGTCCAGTTTGAACCTCATTAGTAGCTGCAGTGATGAACTGAGTTCACAGTCGATGGTTTCTGAAGTGATTCTGAGTCCATGCAGTGATTTCCACTCCAGAGTCCTGTCTGTTTTTAATGCCCTGAAGATCAGGACCATCCAGTCCTGGTTCTGGTCCTTGTCCCCCTTTAGAACAGAGATTTCTCCAGATCCTCCTTGAATGATCTGATGTTCTGTAGACGATGAAATCCACTCAGGAACTTTATCCTGAAACTGTTGAACTCTTCGCTCACGCAGTCTCTCACAGAGTCCTGAACCTCTTCAGTCTTTTGTTCTGAGAGACGCTCTGAGTGTCCACCTTAGACAGAGCTCCACAGTTCGAGCGTTTCACTCACATTAACGACTGAAAATAGGTGTGTGTGAATTGTAAAATTATAACAAATGTGTTTTTTCCTGTAAATTCATTAAAAATCAAGAAAACATAAAACTAGTTTAAAATAAGTTTATAAAATAACTTTAGAGATATCTCTATTTAACCTGCTGAGGGACGTTAACGCTCAGGTCTGACAGGATGAAGTGAAATGACATAAATCACATGATTTCATCCAGTTAATGAGAGCAGCGTGAGAAGGAGGCATTTTTATGTCATGGAGCTGTCAGTGGGACCTCCTCTGCGTGTGTGTGTGTGTGTATGTGTGTGTGTGCGCGCAGACACACGGGGAATGTTTGGAATCTAGAGCAGCTATGTTTTGGCAGCGTGTCTCTGCTTGGGAAGTGTCGGCACGCAAACACGTCTCTGAGCCCTGCGGCAGAGGAAGTTGTCCGATCTTCATCTACAGAGACAGAGTCATTAATGCAGCCAGTGTGTGTTCAGTGTGTGTGTTCAGTGTGTGTGTGAGCATCATGCTGAAACAACAGAGAGTATAACTACAAGCATAAACCTCGAGGAAAATGTACAAGTTTCTCTGATAAATGACAAATTCAGCTAATGGGACTCCTGGGGTTCGATCTATTTCTGCAGAAGAGAGGGAGCTGATTCATGGATGTTAGAAATACAGACATTTACTCCACAGGACTCATGCATCAGGAACACTAGCCTTCAAAAAAGGCTAGTGGAGCAGAAGATACTGGGGTCTTCAGCCGACAGACAGAGGTCACAGTCCACCCCTCTAATTTTCTCATCTCGTAGCAGGAGGAGCAGTCGAGACCTCCCTCTCAGCAGCAACACTTTCCAGCTCCTCCTGGGGGGTCTCGGGGCATTTCTCAGCCTGATGGGATGAACTCTGAGTCTACCCTAGGGCCTCCTGTAAGACCTCCAGTGGGGGGACATTTAGGAGGATCCTTATCAAATACTTGAACCACATCAGCTGAAACTTTCTGATGTGAAGGATGACGGCTCTCCTCTGAGCTCCTGACCTTACCTCTACAGCTGAGCACGACCCCGGATCTGACTCTTTCCTAACACACCGCAGCTCATGACCACAGGTGAGGGTTGGAACGTCAGTTTAAGACTCACTCCCAAACCAGAGGGAACAACCCACCATTTCCCGACAGAGATCATTTAGAGGTGCGAATTCTCACCCCAATCACTCCAAACACACGGAGCTGCTCTGTACCACAGCGACCCTGTAGCCAAGGTATGTGTGTGTGTGTGTGTGTGTGTGTGTGTCTCACAGCCATGACTGCTGTTATCTCAGTGAAGGAGTCCAGAGCCGGGGAGGCCAACACATCGGAGTACAGCAGGACCAGCTCTCTGTGAACAAACACACATGAACAGGGTTTACTGAAGGACACAAACACAGGAATGCTGCGTTCAAGATCCTGTTACTCTGTCCTTCACACAGAGCAGGGACAAACAAAGACTGATCATGTTCAGAGGGGATTACACCAGATCTGGTCGAACCTGTCGGCAGCTCTCACACCTGAAATATATGAAAACTTTGGACACAACAACTTTGGCTTTTGTCATTAAAGGAAACTTTAACTCAGAGAAGAAAACGTCACTCTCTTTTCGTGATTTCAGAAACTGTTTTTCAGGACATTTTATTTCTAGTTTTATGGAGCAGAGACTTAGAGCCGGTCCAGCCGGTCCACTCCAGCTGCACTGGTTTCACTCTTCACATGCATCATTCTCACAATCACAACTGGCTCTATTTTAAAAGTTGCAAGGTTCCCAGGTCCTGCCTCTGCTCTGACCATGGCCTCCACAGCCCTGATGAAATGCTGGACTCACATTTTCAGCCCCTCCACTGTGAAGTATTCCCCCTCAAAACAGCATCATGCCAGTAATCACTACTACTGTGATTTTACTACAATTTTAATCTTGACAGAGACACATTTTCTCACAGCTGTCCTCATCCCGAGTCCGGTGTTATGTAACAGGTGATAGCAGGGCTGCCAAGTTTCAGAAAATGACGAGAGTGAGACTTTAGCGTTACGATGTGTTCGGCATAAAATACCTTCAGCTGCTCTCCCTGATGCTCGTCTTAATGAACCAGAAATTAGAAATAAAAATTGTAGCAAGAATTTTGACAAAAGACATTAATTTGTCAATATTGTATTACTTTGAATGGGTTTTAAATGTCGGTGCTGTTGTGTGTGTGAAAGACATTTAGAGACGCCAAGACCCGCCTTATGTTGCTTCTGATTGGTTTATATCGCGTGGTGCCTTCCATGGTTGGTTAGCAGTCAAGCTACCCCAGAAGTCAGACATCGAAGCTGAAAATGGCGTCACACCCGAGTTACGAGCGTTTCAGTTGTCAAGTCAGAAAAAAAGTCAAATCGGAGGCCTAAAACAAGATGGCTACATCTACGAAAGTTAATTTAGCACTTGCATTATATTGAGACAAGGCAAGCTTTAATAACTATGAAATAACTTTCATAGATGTAGCCATCTTGTTTCAGGCCTCCTTTTTTCCGACTTGGTAGCTGAAATGCTAGTTAACTCAGGTGTGACGTCATTTTCAGCTCGCACATCTGACCTCCGAGGTAACTTAAACACAACATTCTGAACAAAGGACTGATGGATTGGTCTGGGATTGGTTATCTCAGTCAGTCAATCAGAGTTACTCAAACTACGGCGAGCCAAGAAGTTTATTATCATGAAAGAATTAAATAGAGAGAATTGAACGGAGAAATATAAGCGTGAGAAATGTCAAGTATGGTGTGAGAATGGGTCAAAATATGTGACGTTTGTCAGCTCTGTGGTAGTTTCCTGCTCTAGTCATCACCTGCAGGTCTTCATCTGTTTGCTCCTCGGCTCCTCTTCCTCCCCCTGCAGAGTCAGAGTGATGCAGCAGAGCTTCTGCAGGTCCGGGAGGCCGAGGAAGAACATGGACTGATGGGCTCCTGCACTCATCCTACACACACACACACACACACTTTCAAGTTAGCTCCTTTTGGTTAAATATTCTCATACATATCAAACTTCTGAATTGAGCCTCGAGTCAGACATATAATGAATAATAAACATAATTATCTGTGATTTTGGCGCTATCTTTAATGCCAACAGGCTCCTACTGTGTCATATCACCTAAATGCTCTGGGCACTTGTGGTGTTATAAAGACAGTAAAACATTATGCTTTTGTCACTGCAGTCTTCAGTGTATTTAAATACATTATTAATGACATTTACGAGGTCGAATTAACTCTGTCATCATAATAGAAATCATCCACCAAGAGTAAAGGAAAATAAAATCCACCATAATCTTCAATGAAACTCTAAGATATTTCTCAAATATCATTTAATTCCTAGCTGGCCTCAACCGGACTCTAACCTAGCTTTAAAAAATAAGCTAGGAGCTAGTTGTAGCTAGCATAGCTCGCTAATTAGCACAGCAAAACCGAACATTTTATTAACTTAGCAGATATCTATTGTCACCAACCTTGTGTCTGTATGTAGAGTAACTTGTAATAAATCTTATTCCCGAAACGAAAACGTCGTGTCTTGAGTGTTACTCCGTAAGTTTATTAAAAGAAAATACGAACAAAGAAACAGTCAAAGATTTTCAGGAAAAAGAAGAGCTCTCACTCTGTGACTCTGTCACTGCTGCGATATCGGCTCACTTTATCCGAAATAAAACAAAAGCTAAACTTGTATTTTCTGCATTCAATTATCACATCAACATGGAACTGTTAATCCTATTGATAGCTATGATAGATAAATAGATCAAATAAAATCAACAGATTTTAATAGGGCCTTGTTTTTGATCAAAATTGAGCCAATTTATGAAGAAAATTAAGTTTAGCCTAGTTAATATCAGTGACCACTATTTCATTCACTTATTTCTGTGTTTAATTGTTGTTGACTTCTGGCCAGAAGCCGCAATTCACACAAAACTCACATGCAAGCGGTCATCCCTTTTTTATTTAGCTCTGCTTGGCAGGTACTGCTGGAGTTACTCTTCTTAATAGACAATCTTTGATCCGGAGACGGTGGATTCTCCCGCCACTGAGCAGTGTGAGGAAACCTAACTCTGGTTTAAACAACGGGCCATTTCTGCCACTGTTTTATAACTTTACATGTCAACTCTGGGATAGGCACCACAAAAAAACCACGAGCTGCCACTGAAACACGCATGAGGAGGTAATAAATCCTTATCGCGTGAACTATGTGACACGCAAAGGGCGTCGTTGCGTGAGAAGTTTTCTTGGAAGACGTTGGACTGAGATGAACTTTAGCCCCGTCCTCGCCCATTAATTTCTGCCGATTGACAGGGTGGGGGCCAATCAGAGGGCTCTGATCATACCTAAGGACGAGAACAACCAATAGAAAGGTGAGTAGTAAGATGGGGGGCCGTCTCCGTTGTTTCAGTAAATATTTAAAGGCTTTGTATATTAACAGTAACAGAGGCGCGATAGCAGGAAGTCATTCTTTCAAAATAAAAGCACGATGGATCGTATGCGACAAAAACAGCATCTGGAAAGAAAAAAATATGCATATTTCGTGCGAAAAAGGGACCATCTGTGAAAAATCGAAAAAAATCTAAATAATTAAACTTGTTTATTTAATGTTCTTCATCTTGAATTTGTTCATTTATTTATTTCAGTGGCTTCTCAAAGACTAAATCCGTAATTTCACTTGTACGGTGGCTAAAGACCTCCACTGCTCCAAATAAAAAAAAGTGTGCAAAAAAAAAAGAGTCACAACAGAAGTTACTGATGCAAAAAACAAACAAACAAACAAAAATTAAAAAAATGAAGCCTGCTGCAAATAAAAAAAGAAAAAGAAAAGAAACTGGGCAGATTTAAAAAGAAAAAAAAGCAGTAACTTTTTTCCCATTGCCACTTTTTTACATCATTAACTTCATTTGTGTTTATTTAATTTTTTTTTTTTTATGCACCGTTTCTTTTTATTTGCAGTAGGCTTCGGTTTCTTTTGTTTTGTTTCTTTTTTTTGCATCAGTAACTTCTGTTGAGACTTCTTTTTTACATTCTTTTTTTATGTGCATCCTTTTATTTTCACTGTAAGTAACCTTTTTTTCCATCACTAACTTCTGTTGTGTTTTTTTTTTTTTTCTGCACCGCCCCTGTTTTTGTTGACAGCAGGCTTCGCTTTCTTGGTTATTTTTTTTTTCTTTTCATTTTTTTCTTTTCATTTTTTTTTTCTTTGCATCAGTAACTTCTGTTGTCACGTCTCTCTTTTTTTTGCATTCTATTTTTATTTGCTGCAGTGGCGGTTCTTGGCCACCGTACACTTATACCACTGAAACGCTACATACCTCTGTATTATTACGGTTTGTCAAACTGGATATTTTCCAAACCCCAAACTTGTTAGTACTTTTATTTTGTAAGATAACGCCGGGAATGTTGTATCGTCCACGTGTTAGTTTGACGGATCGATGCACGGCCGATAGTCAGGACTCTCCTGTTGATAGAAAGTGGGTTAAATGTCGGTGTGTTTTGCGGAGTCACGGTCCTGACAGGCTCGGCTGGATTATATAACCACACTCGACTCGTTTAGCTGCTTCTGTCGACTTCCAGCGGCTCTTCGCTGTCAAACTGTCGCCGTTTTCAGGGACGTAAAATGGGTGAAAAGGAGGAAAAGAGCCCCGATGGAGTCAAATATTACACACTGTCAGAGATCGAGGAGCAGAACTCGTTCAGATCAACGTGGATTATCATCAACAACAAAGTCTACGATGTGACCAAGTTTCTGGAGGAGGTGAGGAGTTCAGTTCATGTCCACGGAAACTTCAGGAAACACGCGAGTGGAAATCCTTTTTTCTTTTTCCAGGAAACAAACCAGAGCAGGTTTCAGACCTCAGGCTCAGAAATATGTCAACAAACAGATTTCCTTCAGAGCAGACAGAGACTTTAAAATAATACAAGTGGGTTTAAAGAGAGAAATCTGACCTTTTTGGTTGGACTTATGTGTAAAAATAAAAGAATTAAAATTAGTCAAAAAAGCATAAACACTTGTAGCTGCTGTGGCCCCAGACAGGCTCCAGGGGGACCTCTAAAAGTTAAAGTTCCACTAAGGACTTTTTTTCATTTTATTACATGAATGGAATTGACTGAAATTCACATTGACGCCTTTTTATGATGAACAATAGCAGACAAGACCATCAGCATTAAGATAAGTGTTTTATGTCTTTTAATATTTAATGTTTGAAACTGGTGCAAGGGGACGGCTGTCCACGGAGCGCCCAAACATCTCCCTTTAAGTTTCATATATGTCATTTAGGATTGGTGATAGGCTACGTTTCTGCAGAATGGGACTTTTAGAAAATAAATAACAGAATATAAGTATGTAGGACAAGATAAGCAAAGACTGCTTCATCCACAGGGGGCGCCACTGAGACCCGAGTAGTTTCTGACAGGAGCTTTAATCAAACCTAAAACTCCTGTAAGATGTTTTTAAGTGAAGCTAACACTGTTACCTCTTCATGAAGGGTGAAATCACATGACTAAATCCACAGGAAATATAATATTTGTTTTGATTATAATGGTAGAAAGTGATAACACTGGGGAGACAACAGATAGGAGGATTAAATACACGATAACCATTTTTTAAAGAAAACCCAAATCATACAGATACAGGACAAAATTAGCACAAAGAGTTAGTCCACAGGGGGCGCTAAAATCAGCTCAAAGCAAAGTCCTTTACTGGAGCTTTTAAAGATTTTGAGTTTCTGCTGGTTTGTCTAAAGACCAGAGTCAACATTTAAAAAATCTGGAATATTTTCTGAATAATTGAAAGTTCTGATCTGATTCACCTGTAAATCTTAAATCTTCAGGTTCTTGTGATTGTTTTTCTCTTTGCAGACAGATCCTTGTTTATTAATAACGCTGATATTACTAAGTGATGATAAAGCTCCGACCGTTTGAACCGTCTCCTCTGTGAGGCTGCAGACCTTCACAGTGACTCATTAGTTTTCTTCCAGGGTTACGCTGTACACGGTTCAAGGTGTGGACAGTTTTTATGACGCCGTTTACCGCAGCGGTCTGATAGTGTTAGTAAAGATCATCAGCACTGAGCTGGTCCAGGGACTGAAAATACTCCTCTGTTGATTTTAGAGCATTTCCTCCAGCTGTTAGATATTTGAAGGCCGTGGTTCTTGTAGTTTTATAGCTCGACAGAGGAAAGGTTCACGGTTCAATCAGGGACATGCTGCAGGCCCAGACTTAAGCTGTGGGTCAAGGTAAATCATTGGCAGTGCACTCTGACACCGAGTCAGGGAGGGCTGAGTGTTTCAGGGGGTAGAACTTTATATACAGTTTATGACTCCATAATCCACCTGAAGGTCCGTTTGACCTGTGTTCAGACCCAGAGAGTGATGACGGTAAGAAGAAGGAGACTGAGACTGAGACTGAGCAGGTATCACCCCCCCACCATCACAACAGAGAGAGACCAACCTCAGCGGGGAACATGGTGAAGTGGGTTGAACTGAAACTTGTTGACTTATTGTGTTTTTCACAAACTGGTTTATTTCCCGTTGAGGCGGACCACTCTCCTCCGTGTCCCTGAGCTGCTGCTTCAGATCCGTCACTCTGCTGAGCTGTGAGGGAGTTAGTGGATGAAGATCGGCATGAGGTCGCTGTAGCGCCATCTACAGGAGAAGTCAGGGAACTTTTCAAATGAAGGAACATTTTCGAAGTGAAACCGAATCTTATTCTCCGCATTTTATTTCTGAAAATATCGGTGAAAATCGTCAAGTTATGGCTGATTACCGATTAGTCTCAAACGGGCTAAAATTGGCCGATCTAATTGGCTCGCTGATAAATTGGTCGGGCCGTAGTCCAGAGTCCTCTTTAGACAGAAACGTGTCAAATATGGCGGCATGAGTCAAAGCTGAAAAAGTCTAAAGGCTGTTTCTGAAAAACGTCAGTCAGCTGAGACACATGTGCCGTTGAGTGTGCATTAATGAGGACCCGGACCATGCAGAGTCGGGGGGGGGGGGTCGGACCCGGACCATGCAGAGTCAGGGGGGGGGTCAGACCCGTCACACACAGACAATAACAGGGTGAGCCTCAGATTCCTCTGCTCACAGAGCGTTTCACAGAGCCTCATTGTTGTCCAGATGATTGAAGAACATCAGAGAGCCTCAGTGCTGGACCGGCCCACATCCTCCGTCATTAACACACACACACACACACACACACTGAGTCCTGCTGCCCCACATACTCACCAGAGCACCAAATGACGATTCATCCACCGCTGAAAATAGTCCCTACAACAGGGCTGCTGTTTGTTGACCTCTCAGTGTTGATGGTTGTTGAATAAAGGTCTGGTAAAGGCTGGTTCTGGTTCTGGTAAAGGCTGGTTCTGGTTCTGGTAAACCGGCTCTGGTTTGGACTCTCACAGTCTGACGGTTTTCGAGGATCCCTGCAGATCTGGAGCTGTAGGTCAAAGAAGACGAGGATCTTTTAAACCTCAATAATCCTCAACTCCATCAGACCTTACTGATTCACAGTCAGAACTTATTATGTAGGATTCTCCATAAAGTCCAGAACCATGACCTGTGCTGGACCTGAGCCGGTGTCAAACCCTCAGAAATCATGAAGTGTGCGTTTGTTTTCTCTATCCCAGCATCCCGGAGGAGAGGAGGTGCTGAGGGAGCAGGGGGGAGGAGACGCCACAGAGAGCTTCGAGGACGTCGGACACTCCACCGACGCCAGAGAGATGGCTCAGGACATGATCATCGGAGAGCTGCACCCGGTCAGTGTGTTACTGTGTGTGTGTGTGTGTGTGTGTGTGTGTGTGTGTGTGTGTGTGTGTGTGTGTGTGTGTGTTCATGTTGAAAAGACTGATTGTTTGTGTGTTTGTTGGTCTGCAGGACGACAGGGAGAAGATCGCCAAACCTGTGGTGAGTGAAAACAACTGTAGAATTAATGACAACTTCAAGACATAGAACCAGGGGCATTATGGGAAATGTAGTTCACATTTCCCATAATGTCTGATGGGTATGATTGATGGATTTTTCCTGTTGAACCACAAAGAGTCTGATGATGTTTTTGATTTGTGTTCACAGGAAACTCCAGTGACCACTCTGAATGATGAGCCCAGGTACACACACACACACACACACACACACACACACACACACACACACACACACACACACACACATACACACACACACATGCACACACACACGCACTCACACACAGAGGAACTGAGACTAACTTAAAGACGTAGAGTGTTTGCTAAGTCAGCAGACAGTCAGTTGACCTTTAGTGACCCTGACAGTCCTCCCTGCAGTCTCATCAGAGGATCTCTGTCGGTCAGTTTAGGTTATTAGTCAGTCAGTCAGTCAGTCAGTTAGTTAGTTAGTTTTTTAGTTAGTTAGTTAGTTTTTTAGTTAGTTAGTTAGTTAGTTAGTTAGTCAGTCAGTTAGTTAGTTAGTTAGTTAGTTTTTTAGTTAGTTAGTTAGTTAGTTAGTTAGTTAGTTAGTTGGTGAGTCAGTTTAGTTAGTTAGTTAGTTAGTTAGTTTTTTAGTTAGTTAGTTAGTTTGTTAATTAGTTAGTTAGTTTTTTAGTTAGTTAGTTAGTTAGTTAGTTAGTTAGTTAGTTTTTTAGTTAGTTTGTTAGTTATTTAGTTAGTTGTTAGTTAGTTAGTTAGTTAGTTAGTTAGTTAGTTAGTTAGTTAGTTAGTTTTTTAGTTAGTTTGTTAGTTAGTTAGTCAGTTAGTTAGTTAGTTAGTTAGTTAGTTAGTTAGTTAGTTAGTTAGTTAGTTAGTTAGTTTTTTAGTTAGTTAGTTAGTTTTTTAGTTAGTTAGTTAGTTAGTTAGTTAGTTTTTTAGTTAGTTAGTTAGTTAGTTAGTTAGTTTTTTAGTTAGTTAGTTAGTTAGTTAGTTAGTTAGTTAGTTAGTTAGTTAGTTAGTTAGTTAGTTAGTTAGTTAGTTGGTGAGTCAGTTTAGTTAGTTAGTTAGTTAGTTAGTTAGTTATCTAACTAACCATTTTCTCTCTCTTGCAGCTGGTGGTCTAATTGGGTGATTCCCGCTCTGACAGCCGCCATCGTCACGCTGCTTTATCGCATCTACACCCAAGAGAGCGAGTGACATCAGAGCAGCAGGTGTGATGTCATCAACAGGTGTTCCAGTCAAACAGCCCGGGGTTTGATGGACAGCTGTACCAACCAATGGCAGAGCAGAGTGGGAGTGGCAGAGAGGACTGACTGCAGCAGAGGATTAAAACAACAACAACTCTACACTGCCGCTCTGCTGCCATCGCACTACATTACCCAAGATTCATTTCATGCAGTTGAACCAACCAATCACATGGCGATATAACAATGAAGTCAAACGGCGACATGTTGAGATGTTTTGTAAAATCGGAGTGATGATAATCTTGTAGATATGCAGAGGATGTTTCATAATTCTTTTTATATCTGTGTGTCTGAATGTAAATGTGTTAATATGCAATCAGCAGCTATTGGAGCAGCAGTGTCATGTGACCGTAACCCTGATTCTGTCCTGAAGTTGACGTATGAAGTCTGAATGTCCTGCTCTGACGCTAAAGGTGCTTTTGTAAATTTCAGTTCTTCCAGTTCTGATGTTTGATTTGGAGATGACTGCTTTGGTTTAAAAAAGCTTTGATTTCTTCAGACTCTGTGTTTTATTTTCTCTGTCAGAGGAACAGGAAGTTCATTTTCTCTGTGATGGACGTTTGACTGTCTGCTCCTCCTTCTTTTCATACTGATGAGAAACAATGAAACAGTCTCAGACAAAAAAAGTGAAAACAATTCAAGTCATTGAAGTCAAACCCCAACTTTTTTGACCTTTGACCTTTTGTAGGAGGAGGCATGTGACCTCTGGTGCTTAGCTGTTTGGTTGAAGTTTGTTCAAAAGCTGTCCCGTTCACACCAGGCTGATAATCAATCTCTATAATTATTATATCAGCATACGTCTAAATTAACATCATCTGATAGAGAGCTGCGGAGACCGTACAGAGGCGATCCAAACTACATTAGGAATAGAGGGGTCTGTCTGATCCGCTGAATCCAAGAAGGAAGGAGGAAGTTTTTATTCAGCTCAAAGAGATTTATTTTCCTTTTCAATAAATCAAACTTTGAAACATGAATTTGATTTTGACTTTCTGAAGGAGAAAAGCTGTAGAGGTCAACAGAAATATCAGCCTCTGCCTCCTCACTCTCTGAACCAAGAAAACAGTTCACCGGCAGGCACAGGTGACTCACACTTAGTGACGAGTGAGACAACACATCCCTGCCTCCACAGAGACGTCTGAAAGTCATTAAGAGAGTTGAAATGTAATGAGTCCTGATGAACTGTCGTAACGTTTGAGCTCGTTTTAACAGACGCTCCAGAATCCTGGAGCTCAGCTCTAAGTCTCTGAGCTGAGACACGGTGACCCGGCCTCTCAGACTGATGAGTCCAGGTCTCTCCTCAGAGCGTGGATGGTTGAAACAGTTTTAAAGTGATATTGTGAATCACCTGAGTGGGACTCTGCAGTAACAGCCCTCTCCTCTCTTGGTCTGTTCATTAAACTCACATCAGTGTTTGACTGACCTGGGTTTAGTCTTTTCACAGCTGGAGGAGTGTGTGTTACAGGTCTGTCTGATTAAACTGCTCTTCATGAACCTCAGCAGAGACAGAGTAAACCTGCAGCGCCACCCTGTGGATACCCATCATAACTACTCCTAATAATCAATCAAACTAACATAGTTATTATGAATAAACTCAAACAAGGTTCAATAAACTGACTAAATAAATCTAAAGTGAACAGATCCTCTCTGTTTCTGTCAATATCAGCCAGTCATGAGTTTTAATGACATCTAAGTTTTAGTATTTCAGTTTTTTAAACACATTTTTGTTTTTAACACTGAAGCTAATGAAAAGGAGGAGGACGCTGCTGGAGGTCAGAAATAACAAAAAATGCTGCCATCTAGTGGTGAGAAGTATGCATCAAAAATATCAAATAAAAGCTCAAAGTTTGGACTTCAGTCACCTGAGGAAAAACAGAAAGGGTCTGACTTAAAGAGCCACAAAAAAATTAGTAAGATTTTATATTATTTTTTAAAAATATCTGGAAAAAGATTTTTTTCTTGTTGGACTGAAAGATTTTTTTTCATCATAAATTAACCCTTTCCTATTTTTGATATGAGATAAGATCATATCCTGTCAGCTGACTGTGGCTTCAGTTTATGGGCTCTGAACACTGATCCACGACTTCTTGAACTTAAGGCAGCTCCTTTATTTTCAACTGGTTTTAGTCGACGGCGTCACATCACTCCAGTTTTATCCTCCCTTCACTGACTTCCTGTCAGTTTAAGAATTGATTTTGAGATTTTATTGATTACTTTTAAAGCTCCTAACTCAGCTCTCTCCGAACTACATTTTAGAGTTTTTACTCCCTTCTGAGTAAAACTCTCAGCCTCAGATCCTCTGGTGAAGTCCTCCTGGTCGTTCCAAAGTCTCTAAACTAAAGCTGATCGATCTTTGTCCATCAGAGCTCCTCGACTTTGGAACGACCTTCAGAGGAGAGAAGGAGAACAGCAGAGACAGACGCTTCTTTAAGTCAAAGTTAAAAACCCACTTTTACAGACTTGATTTTACGTGATGATGTCTTTTATCTCTTACCTGTCATCTCTTCTCTCTTTTACCTCTTTTATCTTATTTCAGCTTTTCTGCCTTTTATCTTCTGTTACATTTGAACTCTTTTCTTAATTAATCTTTTTGGCCTGTTATTGTTTAATCTCTCGCTCATTTCTGTTTCTCTATTTTATCATTACTATTATTATCAGTATTACCTTTTATCATTTTATTATCTTTGTTGATTTTGTCTTTTATATTTACCATCTATTTCCTGCTTTCTACCCCCCTTTTAATGACATTTTCTTTTTTCTTCACTATTTTCAGTTTGTATTTTGGTCCTCATGGTCTCAGTTTATATGACATGGTTCCTGTATTGTCTGGGTTCATTATGACAAATGAAAATGACCTTTAATTCTGTTTTAACTGAGCTTTGTGTTTTTATCTGCCTTTTTCCATTTTATGACTACATGTCAAAGCACTTTGTAAACTTCTGTTTTTAAAAGTGTTTTACAAATAAAATTATTATTACTATTATTTCCTGATTAATCCAGGTGTGTCTTATTATTGTGACTAATCAGACACACCTGGATCAATCAGTTTGTCCAATCATGTAAGACAGGAAATACAGGTGTTGCCTTAAATTCAGGAAGAATTGGATCATAGAGCCCATAACTGACACTCCCCCTCAGACCAGCACTCAAACAGTTAACCTCCTCCTTGTTTATTTCAGGTGAGCCCCCTTAGAGCGTGTGACGTCTGCTGGACGCTGATGACGACACGGGTTTGTTTACCGGCTGCTATATGACGCACACCTGGAAGCCACGTTGTCCCTCTGCTTTACGTAACCACGCTCCAGGTGGTCAGACATGTGACAGAGACAGTCTTTGATAACATGAGAGAGAAAATCAAGTTATTAATAATCACACAGAGACAAAGACACCAGGATGATCGGGAGGAACTCAAAGGATTGTGGGAATTTGTAGGATTATTAAGACATGTAGTTTGGTCAGAGGAGGAATCTACAGGGTAAAGAAAAAAAAACACTTCATTAAAAAACAAACAAAAAAATTTTCATCTTGGGACTAAAAATGTTTAAAATTTAAGAGTCACAGTCAGAATTTAACACAAAGATGAAATATTAGACACATTCAGTGTCTAATTAATAAAATTAAGAAAAATCATTTAATATATTAAAAATGAATATTGAGATTTCAAAGTTTCTATAATAGATCAAATATAAATAATTTAAAACTTACATTTAATTTAATATTAGGTTTTAACATTTGACTTTTAAAAAACTTTGATTAAATATTTGACACAAACATTCACGTTTATACAATAATATTTAAAAAATGGATCCATATAATAATATTTAAATTAAGCACTTTTCATTTGGGTCAAAATAAATAAGAGTAAACCAACATTTAACTGACTTTAACCTGATAACAGTTTGTGCTGACTGTGGTCGAGAAATCATTTTGAAACTGTCTCAGTGTTTTTTGTTTTTGTTGTGTGTGTGTGTGTGTGTGTGTGTGTGTGTGTGTGTGTGTGTGTGTGTGTGTGTGTGTGTGTGTGTGTGTGTGTGTGTGTGTGTGTGTGTTCTGGAGTTAAAATGTGGTTTTATTGTGGTTTTTAGATCAGTGAATTTTTCTGAGGAAATAAAAACTGAATTAAAAAAACTCACAGAGCTGAAATAAACTCACGATTAGAGAGTTCAAGTTTTTTTTCTCTCTCAGATTAAAGACGTGTGTGTTCTTTATGAAATAAAGTTTATTATTGTTGTTGTAGTTATTTTTATTGTGACGTGTGTTCTTTTGTCATTCATGTTTATTGTTGTTGTTGAAGTTATTTTTATTATGACGTATATGTTCTTTTGTCATTCATGTTTATTGTTGTTGTTGTTGTTATTTTTATTGTGACGTATTTGTTCTTTTGTCATTCATGTTTATTGTTGTTGTTGAAGTTATTTTTATTATGACGTATATGTTCTTTTGTCATTCATGTTTATTGTTGTTGTTGAGGTTATTTTTATTGTGACGTGTGTGTTCTTTTGTCATTCATGTTTATTGTTGTTGTTGTTGTTGTAGTTATTTTTATTGTGACGTGTCCCTTCCGTTAAAATCAGGTGAAGGTTGTCGTTTGTGACGCGACAGCGCGCGCATTTCTGAGAGCAGCTGTTCAGTGACAGCACTGCACGCGCTGTGCTTCAACACGTACCCCTCTGGTAGGGGCGGGAGTCTACTCTATACAAGACGCTCCACACCGGGACCCCCATCACCTGCCGAGCCACCTGCAGCCACAGCACACGGGGCCGCCGGGCACGATGTCCCGCTCATTTCTGCAGGGCTACGCCGGGGGAGAAGCGCCCTACCCGGGCCGGAGTGTGGAGAACGGCCTGGAGGAGGAAGAGGAGGAGGAGGAGGAGGAGGAGGAGGACCTGGAGGACGAGGTGGACGCGTCTCGACTGGAGAAGTTTATGAGAGACCGGCGGAGAGCCCAGTCCCTGCCCGCCTACCCCGCGGAGCTCCTGGAGGGGGTGTCCGGGGCTGAGGGGAGGAAGCGCGTGAAGTTCGCCGACTCCATGGGTCTGAACCTGGCCAGCGTCAAGCACTTCAGCACGCTGGAGGAGCCGCAGATACCGACCAAGGTCCTGTCCCGTCACAAGAGCTTCCCACCGCAGCAGGACTTCCTGAGCGACCTGTGCCAGAGCCTCAAGACCAGCCTGGACACGGACCGGCTGGTCTGCTGCTTCCCGGACCCACGAGACCCGGAGCAGAGGGTCCAGCGGCTCCGCGTGTGTCTGGAGAGGGTCACCATCAGCCACTTAGACGTGCGGGGTCAGATCCGGGTCCTGACCGACTGCTCCGACAAAGAGGTGGGAATGAGGTACACCTTCAACGACTGGCTCTCCCACGTGGACGCGCAGGCTCTGCCCGTGGACGTGGATCAGCCGGGCTTCGTTGGGGAGCGCTTCGGTTTCACGGTGTACACGCCGCCCTTCATGGACCCCGGCTCGGCCGTGCACTTCGCTGTGTACCTGAAGTGTGAGGAGGGGGAGTTCTGGGACAACAACGAGGGGCAGAACTACACCCTCCGGTACTTCTGCATGCCCGACAGCGCGCCGTTTGTCAGCGCCGCTTTTCACGCCACCTGAGTGCTGCGTAAAAGCTGCAAATCTGTGCGTAAAAGCTCCCCACCGTGCGTAAAAACCTCTGCACCCCCCACCTGATGAAGGAAACGGTTTTCTGCTGCTTTTGTAATCTTCTGAGAACTAAATTCATCCCCGATCCTTCATGAGCTTCTTCAGGACAGGGAACTTTGCAGTGTCACAGTTTCAGGACCTGGTTTTTCATCCGGACTCAGAAACACCTTAGTTCATCCTGGTTTTGACTGTGATTCTGTTTTGCCTTTTTAATGTTAATCAGTGTTTGTGGAGGACACAGCTGACATTGTGGATAATTGTCTGAACTTCTCCTGGATGGATGGACTTAGTTTGAGGACAGAGGAGGAGGAGTGTGATCACAGCTAACCTCAGAGCTGCTCACATGTTTCAGTCACAGACTTCCTGATGCTCAAAGGTTGACAGTTTCCTGTTCATGTAACTGCAACAATCATGTCGACATTGAAACTGTGATTACCTGAAATATCAACTCAATCAGAGCAACTTTGACATGTTTCAGTCGTCTGTGTAGAAAAGTTCACGTCAGACAGAAATGAAGGAGAAAAGGTGGAAATGTGTTACTTAGACTAAAGTTATGGATTTAATTTCTGATGAAAGATGATGATCAATAAAAAGAGTGTGTTCATGAAATGCACCCGTGGTGGTGTTTCTGTTGAACTGATTTCTTTCATGTTTCTATCGATTTTGTTTAAAAATGAAAATTAAACTGGTCATTTTCTTGAAAGCTGCCTCTTCAGGACTCGGCTCCCTCCATCAGTGTTTCTGTATTTGGACCTGCTGTGGACCTGGTTCTGCTCCCTGTTGGCTCCGTGATGATAACACAACACGTCCTCTTAATGCTGAGTGTTGTGAGACAGAGGTCAGAGGTCAAGGGTGGTCAATCAGAAAAATCACTCTGCACTCACCAAACAGTCAGAGGGTTCCTGGTCCCTCTTCAGACCCACCAGGTCCAAAACAAAGTTCATCATCTGTCTTTGCAAACAGAGAAACAGTCAAGAAAGGCAACAGTGGAGGAGGCCTCTCCACTGAAGGACTGGGTCCAGGACACTGGGCTCTGGGTTTTCTGGGTTCTGAAATGTTATCTTTTTGGAATGCTGGTGATCTAGAATACTTGGTTCTAGACCACAGGGTTCTAGCATCATGGGTTCTGTAGGATGCTTGAGTTCCAGAATGATCGGTTCTAAAACGTTGTGTTCTGGAACCCTGAGTTCTGGTATGTTAGGTTCTGAAGTTTAGGGATCAAAAACACTGGGCTCTGGGACGCTGAGTTCTAGAATACCATATTCTTGAACGGGTTCTGGGGGAGTTGGTCCTGTTGTGATAGATTATAGAGTCCCAAGTTTTGGAACACAGAGTTCCAGAATGCTGAGTTCTGGAATGCTGGGTTCAGGAACACCAAGTTCTGGAGCTCTGGGTTACAAGAATCTTGATTCTGGGGTGCCAGGTTCCAAAATGCTAAGTTATGAAATCCTGGATTCTGGGGAGCCGAGTTCTGGAACTACTGGTTGATGAACGCCATTTACCGGAATGCTGGTTCCTGATGTCCTTGAATTCAGAATGCTGAGCTCTAGAGTTCAGGGTTCCAGAGTACTGGATTGTGAAATTCTGGACCTTGGAATTCTTTGTTCTGGAATGCCAAATTATGGGGTTCTCTGTTCCAGGTTCTAGAATGCCATGTTCCTAAAGTTCTGTAATGCGGTAATCTTTGAACAGAGGGTTCTAGAATTCCGGGTCTTGGACTTCAGCCTTTTTGACCTCTTACAAACTCAGTCCTTCTTTCTTTTTACTTTAAAAGTGACGACTGTCTCACCGCACGACTGAGTGAGCAGATATTTGAACACACCCACTGGTCCAGGTGAGAGTGGTCTGTAGTGATCTGTCAACTTTTCACCGGGGTTAAAGTTCGGTGGTCCGACGCCGCTGAAAAAAGTCCTGTTGACCAACCTGACGACATCTGTTTGGTCGGTCAACAGTGACAACAGAGCGCCGACAGCTCGAATAGCAGGACTGGCTTTCCTCACTCATTTCTGCGCCAACAGACCCGCTCTGAAAAACAGCTCTTTATGAGATTATTCAAACACAACAGACAGATGATAAAACGGGTCATCTGAGGACCTCATCCTCAGGGTTCCTCAGCTGCAGCCCTACAGAGCCAGTCGTTGGAGAATCAGACTCTTGTTTTAGATTAGAGGGGACCTGGTCTATGCTTCAGAGCAGCTTCTGAACTTCTTTACTCTCTCCTCGACTGCTGAGCGTCACAAAGCTCAAAGCTCAGATTTGATAAACCCCGAACATGGACTCGTCCCCCAGAGCCTCCTGTCCATGTTTTCATGGAGGTTTTGAACTTCTCTGAGGCGTGGCATCGTAAAACCTTTCTGAAAGTAGAAGACTTCAAAACTGGATCCAGATTTATTCAGAGATCTGAGGAGACGGAAGAAAGACCAGCACGTCCCTGATTGGCTACAGAGGTCAGACCGAGTCCATAGTCTTCAGATGTGAGTGTAGGACTCGCCCCGATCACGTTCATGATGCTGCAGAAGCATCCAGTGTGTATGTGTGTGTGTTTGTGTGTGTGTGTGTGTGTGTGTTTGTGTTCATCTGATGAAACTACAATCACTCATTGAGCAACATGTGTGTATGTGTGTGTGTATGTGTATGTGTGTGTGTGTGTGTTTGAGTTTTTGTGTGTAAGTGGGTCAGTGTGCTCATCCTTAAACCAACAGACCCTCTATTAATAGCAGCTGCTGTTACCTGGAGGGTCAGTCACCTCCTCCACCTTCATCTTCACCCCGCTCCACCTAAAATCAGACCCACCCTCTCAGCAGCTCCATCCAACCACGCCGTCAGAGTGTGTTTCAGAGTCCTTCACCCAAAAACACCACCAGGGTTCAAACCCGGCTTGTCCTCAGGTCTGTGGGACCAGAACTGAGAGAAGTGACTTTGACCCATGATCAGGACAGGACCAGGAACACGAGCTTCAAACCCCTGACAGTCATTCCATGATAGAACGCGGAGAACAGGAATCAATATAGATCTCTTTTTTTAAAGTCGGATCAGAACAGACCAGGATGAGGGCAAAAAGACCGCAAAAAGTTAGACCCCCCCTCCAGAGATGAATGTTGTCGACCGCTTACTTCTCTAGTTATACCAACTTTAGTAACGACCGCAGGATAGCAATACAGAGAGCCACGCCCCCAACCAAAACGCCACTCTATAGCCACAAATAATGCTCAGAACAGCACCTAACTTCATCAACAGGACATATAGGGTCACAGACATAGTACTAGACACCAAACATCTTTTTAACTTTGACTCATTTCTTTAGCAAAGAGACTAAACACAACTCACCTACTCTCTTCCAGCAGACGCTTGTTTGTAGCGAGACCTCAGGCCAGTCCATTACAGACTACAGCGGGGTGCAGCAGCTCAAGGAAGAACATTTATGATCATTTCTTTATCATTTCCTTGAAGTAATAATCATCATATTGATCATTTTACAGACGCAGTAGTTCTTCTGTCTTAGCGTCTCGGTCTGATTGTATTTCCATGAAGAAATGATCATAAATGTTCTTCCTTGAGCTGCGGCACCCCGCTGTAGTCTGTCATGCACTGGCCTGAGGTCTCGCTACAAACAAGCGGGACCACCTTTCTGCAGCGTCCTGAACTGGACCAAAGGTCTGAGGGTGAACCTGGAGTTCTGGTTTACCTGAGACACACTTGAATAAAGTCCAGTGCAGGTGTCATCAGGACCCTCTCCTGGTTTTGACTTGATTTAATCTGCTTTAGTGGACTCCAGATTCACCTCAGACCAGGAGTCTCAGCAGCGTCTTGGCTCGGCTCGGTCTGTGAGAGCAGACTCTTCTGAAGAAAACCTCTGAGACTTTAAAACCCAAAGAAGAGGAGTGAGCGCTGGTTCTGTCTGCAGGTTCTTTAATCACATGTGGGTTACATTTGTGCGTTTGGACATATAAAATCTCAGGGATGCACCGCTCAGTTCTTCCCCTCATGGTGTTTCTGTAAAGTTCAGTCCAGGTTGAAGACCTTTCCATCTCCACCTGGATGATTGAGGAGCTGCTGGTCTCACAGGTTTGATCTGATACGAAGGTTTGAACCCAGGATCCTGGTGGAAAGTGAAGGACCAGGACAACAGTCTAACTCTGTCCTGGTTCAGGTTTTTGGCACTTTTTGGAGTCGGTCTTTCAGGTTAAAGCCTCAGCTGAGATTTTCAGTTAAACTTTGTTTATTTCTGCGCTCCATGATCCTCTCATGATCTTTGAATGAGGCGTCACACACCTGCTCACCTGCTCACCTTTAACAGTGAGCGGGTTCTTCAGAGCTCTAAAACAGAACCTGGGGACAGGTGAAGATGAGATCTTTGAAGACTGAAGACGGTTGAACCATCCTTCATGTTAGAAGTGAGGGAGAAATCTGATTGGTGCATCCATGACAAAACAAAAAACATTCACATTCTTCACAGCTGTTCTGTCCTACATCTCCCACAATGCACCTCACACCTCCGTCTACAGCCACTGAAATTAAACCGTGTTTACGAAGAAGACAGAGCGCTTTGGTTGGTGGTGGGGATGGTGGGCAGTGATTGGCTCCTGATTCTGTGACATCACTCCTCTGCATCTGATGGTTCAGAGCTCCGCCTCCAAAACCAGGTGAGGGTTTAATACTCCACCACGGTCTTCTGGGTCTCAAACATCTTCCCGATGACGACCTGCGGAGAGAAAAAGAGGAGCGCAGATTTAACCCAGGAGATCTACAGACACACGTCAGCTCTGTCCAGAGGGGGGCGCCAGAGGGACCACGACAGAGGACATGAGTGCGTGTGTGTGTGTGCTCTATGTGTGCCTATGTGTGTGTGTGTGTGTGTGTGTGTGTGTGTTCTGTGTGCTCTGTGTGTGTGTTCTGTGTGTTCTGTGTGTGTGTGTGTGTGTTAGGTCAATATTATCTGAACTCTGTTGTCAAATAGAAGAGCCAATTATGGTCCAGTGTGATGGCACTGTACTGTATGTACAAACTGAGCGTGTGTGTGCGTGCGTGCGTGCGCGTGCGTGTGTGTGTGTGTGTGTGTGCGTGTGTGCGTGCGTGCGTGCGTGCGTGCGTGCGTGTGTGTGTGTGTGTGTGTGTGTGTGTGCTCAGGCCACAGTTCATGATTGATTTCCTTCTTTATTTTTGTACAGAGACATGACGAGTTGATCTGCAGAACATGTCCAGATCTGACCCCCTCTCACACACACACACACACACACACACACACACACACACACACACACACACACACACACACAAACACACACACACACACAGACACACACGTCCTGAACGCTGAGCTGCTGTCGTCTGAACACACTGTTCATCTGTCCACTCAGAACATCAGCTGATCCTTCACCTGCTCCTCCGTCAGGACGCTGAGTCCAAAACAAACGTTATGAACCAGAACCAGAACCAGAACCAGAACTTGAACGTTCTTCCAGTCTGATCACAGAAGATGCTGAAGAAGACCGAGTCGGACCATCACCATTGGACGGTTCTGATGCACATGGCCCTGACTCCACCTGCTCCGAAGAACCGTGAGGTCACGGTTCTCCAAATGTTCTCAAAGTCCAGTTTCTCAGCAGGACTCTGCTACTTCAGAGTTTTCTTGGGCCTGAAGACCAGGACCATCCAGTCCTGGTTTACTGAACTGTAGATGATGAAATCCACCAAACTGTTGGACTGTTAGCTGAGGCGGTCTCTCACAGAGTCCTGGTGGACCTCTCTTTGGATGTTCCTCTCAGAACTTCAGACAGCTGAGATGTTTCCTTGTTAAATCTGTTTTTGGTTTCTGAGGGTTTGGGGGGTCAGACTCTCTCTGGACTAAAAGGATCCGGATCAGCTCTGCTGCTCCACTCTGTTTGTGTGTAGTTGTATCACTGCACCTCCACCAGGGGGCGCTCCTCCTCTACAAACAGCCCGTGTCCATGATCCACTCCGTCTCCTCACCTCATCAATTATTCTGCCGTCAACGCTCCCTCTCTCTCTAATACACCCTCCCTCTCTCTCTCTCTCTCTCTCTAATACACCCTCCCTCCCTCTCTCTCTCTCTCTCTCTAATACACCCTCCCTCCCTCTCTCTCTCTCTCTCTCTCCTCACTCTATCACAGCAGACCCCCGCTCGCCCGGCCGGGGCCCCCCTGTGTGTATTGCGTCCTGATTGGCTGCAGTGTGGCGTAGGAGGGAGGGGGGTGGTGGTGAGGCGGGCGGCTCTCAGAACCAATCAGCTCACAGGAGGCTTGGCTCTCATGTAAATTGTTGCGGCTGTGTCTCCTAACAAAGGGAAGGCCTCTCTCTCTCTCTCTCCCTCTCTCTCGCCCGCTCTCTCTCTCTCTCGCTCGCCCTCCCTCCCTCTCCTCATCTGTCTGTTCTGCTCCCTCTCCCTCCATCACTTTCTCTTTTCTCTCTTTAGATTTGTTTCTCTCTCTCTCTGTCAGCGTCATGAATAATGAAGGCGGTGGCGGCGGCGCTGCAGACAGGAAGGACCGTTCACGTTAAACCGACATCAACAACCTCATTAAGACACAGGCGTCTAATCACAGCAAAGCATGCTGGGATATTCATGAGTGTTTGTTTTCAGAAACTCTCTCAATAATGGATGAAGTCCCTCCTGTGACGTCACCCAACAGCTCAGGTTTCCTGACCAAGACATGACCATATTTGAAAAAGGGGCGGGGCAAGAGAGTAACATACAATTCAAACTGAACCGAGTGACATTCAGAGTTTACAGAACGAACCTTTGACCTCTAATTTACACACACACACACACACACACACATCTCCTGAAAGTCTGATCAAGAGCATCAAAGTCTGCAGTTCCTAAAATGACCACTAGAGGCATCAACAACAGTGAGTCCACATCATCATCGTCTGAAGTTCTCCAACATCATCCCTCCTGTTTGAGGTTTAAGAGGCTCTTCCTGCTGAGTCAGAGGAGGTCCACCTTCTTCTTCTTCTGTGGTGTCACTCAGTCAGTTTCCATGACAACTGAGAAAACCGAATTATCGTCTTATTCCGATTAAGACCGAACAACTGAAGGTCATGTAAACACCTTAGTCCGACTATAATCAGAGTTTGAGAACTCTGATTAAAACACCCAGATAATGAGATTAGAATTCAATTTTCTCTACCATGTGACCAGCGTAGTCGGAGTATGAAGCCACGCCCCCCTAACCCCGTAACAAAACCCCCAGAGTAGAGGAGTAGCGTTGGTCTCCTCTTTAGAAAAAGTAGCGCGTCCATCATGTAGGACAAAACCAACGCTGTACGATGCTCCATCTTCTTGTTTCTCCAGCAGCAGTTGTAGACACTCGGACACGTTTGATTGGACCTGACAAAGACGGTCACAGAGACCGCTTCAGCAGACCGGAGTCAGACCAGCAGAGACCACCAGAGTCTCTGTTTGGGTTTAGAGGAGTCCAGAGAAGACTTGGACTCTTCTGTCCCAGATCTACCATCACTGCAGGACTCTCTCAGCGCCTTGCTCAAGGACACTTCAGCGTGGGGGGGGGGGGGGGGGGGGTGGCTGGTCCTGCTGTTTAATTTATGCTAATCTGACCAATTAAAACTCTGCGCTCTGATTCCTCGCTTTAACCCCCCGCCTTTCTCGTTTGTCCCTTCCTGCCTCCCGTAATTTTTCCTCTGCTTTCCTGCTGAGTGTGTGTGTGTGTGTGTGAGAGTGTGTGTGTGTGTGTGTGTGTGTGTGTGTGTGTGTGTGTGTGTGTGTGTGTATATACGTCTTGTTGAACGGTCCTGAGAGTGTGTTTTCCAGAAAGTGTCTCCTCTGGCTTCTTCTCCTCCTTCATTATTCATGCATGTTTCAGACCTCAGCTCCGTCTCTCCGTCTCTCTTTTTCAGTCCTCCTTTACTCGTTCTTTTTCTCATTCTTTTACCCGTTTTTTCCTCTTTCTATTCTTGTTTTTTCCCGTTCTTTCTCTCAGTATTTTCCTCGTTCTTTTTTCTTGTTCTCCTCCTTCCCTTCCCTTTCTCTCTCTTTTTTACTCGTTCTTTTCTTCTTCTTTCTTCGCCCTTTTCTCTCTGTTTTCCTCGTTCTTTTCCTTCTTTCCTCCCCTTTCTCTCTCTGTTTTCCTCGTTCTCTTCTCGTTCTCTCGCTCTTTTCTCTCTCTTTTTCCCTCGTTCTTTCTCTTGCTCTTGGTTCTTTAAAGTTTGAAAGAACAGATCAGGTCTGAGACGTGGAGGTGGATCTGAGAGGACCTCACTGAACTCTGGTCCACTTCGGTCTTCACTCATGTTCCATTTTTTCTTTCCTCACTTTTTCTTATTTTCTATCTTTTCTGAAAAGTCTCGTTTGTTTTCTTGTTTCTTTTTTAAATGTTTGTATTTTCCGTTTCTCATTTCTTCACTTCTTGTTTTTCTTTTTTTTCCTCATGAACTTTGACTCTCTCTCTCTCTCTCTCTCTCTCTCTCTCTCTCTCTCTCTCTCTCTCTCTCTCTCTCTCTCTCTCTCTCTCTCTCTCTCTCTCTCTCTCTCTCTCTCTCTCTCTCTCTCTCTCTCTCTCTCTCTCTCTCTCTCTCTCTTTGTTTGAGTTTGTTTCTATATTTCGTGCAGACATGAGTCTCCAGTATTTTGCGGCCGTGTCGTCACGTCTGCTCCTGATTGGTCAGACCTCCATCATGTGACCCTCTCTTTGTATCTGCAGATAAATCCTGAAAACTCCACCGATCAGGATGAAGTCCATTTTCTTCTTCTTGACTTTAAATCAGTTTGTCACAGTCAGCTCCAGTTTCTCCTCTTAGTGTGTATTTTAGATAAACTCACACTGTGAGTGTGACCACAAACACACAAACACACAAACACACACACACACACACAGTGTGCGGTTGGAGGCAGGAGGACGCCATGATCAGAAGGTTTGAACAGCGAGCGTCTTTCCTTTACAGATCAGAGACTCTGCATGTGGAGGAGAACCTGCAGCTCTCTGTTCGCTGTCTGTGAGCGCCGAGAAGTCGAGAAGGCGGAGTCAGGATGATTGAAGTGGGTGTAGGAGGAGAAGTTGGTGACACCATCACTCATTAAAGTTTGAACCGGTCCGGTGATCTGATCCTCCCTGAAAACCTCCAGACTGAGACAGGAGCTTCGATTCAGCCGAAACCGATCCATCAGGACCCGAACGCCGCCATCAGAACCTCCCTCAGAGGAGGAGAGAGCGCCAGACATCTCCAAACCCACCAATGGGACGTCTCCGTTTACACACTCCTCTTTCTGGGACTGTAACTGTCTGTCTTTGACCTTGGAAATCTCCTCTGCCGAAGCCCCGCCCACCGCAGTAACGAGCTCGTTTGCCTGTCCCTCACCTCGTTAACGAGATTCAATGACTCAAAAGGCCACGCCCACTTTGTACGTTCCTGCCAATTAGGTCCCAATCCACAAAGAGCAGACATCAACCAATCAGAGTTCAGATGAACAGTGATGAGGTGGAAGTTTAGGCCACGCCCACCGAGGAAGAGGAGAAACAGACTCACATGATGGACTCTGAGCACACACTCATTAGAGAGAGGAAACTGTGTGTGTGTGTGTGTGTGTGTGTGTGTGTGTGTGTGTGTGTGTGTGTGTGTGTGTGTGTGTAGTTCCCTCGTCTCAGTCGGTCGCACAGACAGACAGAAAGAAGGATGAAGATGAAAAGAGGAAGAGGAAACAAACGAGGAGCAAAGCTGCTGATAAATTTCCATCTCAGGAACACGTCCTCCTCTCTCTCTCTCTCTCTCTCTCTCTCTCCCTCTCTCTCTTTCTCTCTCCCTCTCTCCCTCTCTCTCTCTCTCTCTCTCTCTCTCTCTCTCTCTCTCTCTCTCTCTCTCTCTCTCTCTCTCTCTCTCTCTCTCTCTCTCTCTCTCTCCCTCTCTCCCTCTCTCTCTCTCTCTCTCTCTCTCTCCCTCTCTCTCTCTCTCCCTCTCTCTCTCTCTCTCTCTCTCTCTCTCTGACTCCTGCAGCACATTCAGACACATTCAGGTTAATCCAAGTATCAAACTCGGAAACATTTTCTCTGTTTCTCGCTCTCTCTCTCTCTCTCTCTCTCTCCCTCTCTCTCTGTTTCTGAGTTTTCATGTTAAACTCTCGTCTCCCCCCGACTCTCCCTCACTCCCTGTTCTTACTCCTCTCTCTCTCTCTCTCTCTGTTGAAGTTGATGTGAAAACGCAGCAGGTTACAGTCAGACAGGTTCAGTTCGCTCCTGTCTGGGTCCTGGGAACCCCCTCCATCCCTCCATCCCTCCATCCCTCCCTCTCTCCATCCCTCCCTCTCTCCCTCTCTCTCTCTCTCCCTCCCTCCCTCCCTCTCTCCCTCCATCCCTCCCTCCCTCTCTCCCTCCCTCCATCCCTCCCTCCCTCCCTCTCTCCCTCTCTCCCTCCCTCTCTCCCTCTCTCCCTCCCTCCCTCCCTCTCTTTGATTTCAGCTGCCTGTTCTCGCTGTAAACTGACTCTCTCATTAATCGTCTCCATCAGCGCAGCAGAAAAGAAAAGGACAGAAAACTCGAACACACACACGTCGATAACATCAGGCGGAGAAAAATACCAGGCGGAGAGTTTCAGGGAGTGAATCGATCGATGGAGAGGGAGAAGAAGAAGAAGGAGAGGGCGGGAAATTAAAGAGAGAGAGAGAGAGAGAGAGAGAGGAATGAGGGACCATCTCAGACTGATGGGAGACACCAGATCCCGGTCTGACACAGACTGGGTCCACGGTTCAGACTGAGGGGTCAGTGAGGAGGTCTGTAGATGTTCACAGACGTTCACCCAGCTCAGGAGAAGCTGCTGTCTGCTGTGGAAATTAACCCCGCCCACTTTAGAGTATCCTCGAGTGTGTCTCTGTCCTTCACTCCTCCATCCTTTACTCCTTCATCCTGTCCTTTGTCCTTTCCTTCACTCATTCATCCTTTCCTTTCCTCCTTCATCCTTTCCTTTGTCCTTTCCTTCACTCCTTCATCCTTTCCTTCATTCCTTCATCCTTTCCTTCACTCCATCCTTTCCTTCATTCCTTCATCTCTTTCTTAACTCCTTCATCCTTTCCTTAACTCCTTTATCCTTTCCTTCACTGCTTTATCCTTTCCTTCATTCTTTCATCCTTTCCTTCACTCCATCCTTTCCTTTCCTCCTTCATCCTGTCCTTCACTCCTTCATCCTTCCCTTCGTTCCTTTTTCCTTTCCTCCCCTCCACATCCTTTCCTTCCCTCCTCACCTTCCTCCCTCTCTCCTCCTCCTCTTCTCCTCGTTTTAACAGTTGTCCTTACATCACATTGCCTTCTACAGTCAATGAATTTCATCATGTTGGTGTGTGTGTGTAGTCAGTGTGTAGTCAGTGTGTGTGTGTGTAGTCAGTGTGTGTGCGTGTGTGTAGTCAGTGTGTGTGTGTGTGTGTGTGTGTGTGTGTGTGTGTAGTCAGTGTGTGTGTGTGTGTGTTTGTGTAGTCAGTGTGTACTCAGTGTGTGTGTGTGTGTGTGTGTGTGTGTGTGTGTGTGTGTGTGTGTGTGTAGTCAGTGTGTGTGTGTGTGTGTAGTCAGTGTGTGTGTGTGTGTGTGTGTGTGTGTGTAGTCAGTGTGTGTGTGTGTGTGTGTGTGACACAGTTGCATCAGGCCTTGACTTCCAAGAATAGAAGAAGAACCACCAAACAAAGTCGCAGTAAAAAACACCACCGAAGAAGAAGAAGATCAGCTGTTTAAAACTCCGGGACGTTAAACTTGGACAGATCGGAATTCCTGACAAAAGGCAGAGATTTCCCAGAATCCTCCTGCACCGCGCCGAGTGAACATGAGAGTTTCCTGTTCCCCATTAAAGGTTCATAACGGAGAGTAAAAAAGTGAACTATCCCTTTAACAGCCACATAACTCAGGTGTGTCTCAGAGTCACTCGACACCAAACAATGTCAGGTCCAAATTTATGGAGAAGATCGGAGAATAAGCAGAAAAGGAGGACATGTCTGTGATTGATTCTCCTCCTGGACAGAGTCTGGAGATGATTTATGTTCCTGCTGTAACCAGAGAAACAGACCCTGTCCTCACACTTCTCTGTGTCCTCCTGTCCAAACTCCTCTGATCACTCTCGGTCTTTCTGGGACTCCAAACTGGCAGCTCCTCCTGAGGGCGGCGCAGGATGAGGGTTTGAGGGTTTGAGGACTTCAAAAGTCAGAAATCAATATTCAGACTCCAACAGAGGGAGAGTTAGAGGGACTGAAAAAACACATGAGAGAGAGAGATCTGAGGCTGCAGAGTCCACTTCACTCTGACATCCACTCCTCAAGGAGATCCTGAAACACAGAGGAGGGACTGGAGGAGACAGAGGGGCTCCTGGACTCATGTGAGCCCCTGGTTCTAGTTTTATCAACCATCTCACCTGTCCAGAACATCACACAGCAGGACCAGGCTTCACTAAACCGAACTGGACTGAACCGAACTGCTTCTGTTGGGCCGTACCCATGTGACCCAGAACCATGTGACCCAGAACCATGTGAAACCAGAGCGAGCCGACCTGAAGCCTGTGATGATCAGCAGCTCCATGATCTCCTACAGGAGTCCTGATGACGAGGCTTCATCACGGAGATGTTTTTAGGACTTTAGGACCAGAGTCAGTCAGACCTGAACTTCCTCTCTGTCTGCTGACAGCATCAGAGAGAGAGAGAGAGAGAGAGAGAGAGAGAGGGAGAGAGAGAGAGAGAGAGAGAGAGAGAGAGAGAGAGAGAGAGAGAGAGAGAGAGAGAGAGAGAGAGAGGGAGGGAGAGAGAGAGAGGGAGAGAGAGAGGGAGAGAGGGAGAGAGGGAGAGAGAGGGAGAGGGAGAGGGAGAGGGAGAGAGAGAGAGAGAGAGAGAGAGGGAGAGAGGGAGAGAGAGGGAGAGGGAGAGGGAGAGAGAGGACAGGCAGAGAAGAGACCTGACTGCTTTTATCCACCTGAGCGAACCCCCCCCCCCCTCCTAGTGGAGTTTTTCAGCGCTGGGAAGTCACGTACAGCGTGTGTGTGTGTGTGTGTGTGTGTGTGTGTGTGTGTGTGTGTGTTGTTGCTCTGTGTGTGTGTGTGTGTGTGTGTGTGTGTGTGTGTGTGTGTGTGTGTGTGTGTGTGTGAGACCAAAGCCCGGTAAAGCTGGCTGCACCCGTGGGGCGTTCAGGTGTAACAGCAGCAATAAAAAGCGTGGGATTTCTGAGGGATGGAGCGAGGAAGGCGGAGGATTTTCACTGATGGAGAGACGGGGGAGAGAAAATGAAAGAGCAAGGGGGGGGGGGGGGTAAGAGAGAGAGGTGAGGGTGAGGAGGAGGAGGAGGTGAGGTGACGCAGGCTTTCATGCAGGGTGTTGGCC